ATTTTTTACGAAATTTATTAAGCGAGATATTAAGTAATACGCTAAAGGGGCGCTAAGCAAGGATTAATTTAACGCTTACTTTAGCGTATTGCTTAATAACTTTACGAATCTAAGTTGTATAAATTAATGAAGGGTACCGTTAAATAGCTTTCTTTATTACGAATCTAATGGTATATTTTATTGTTTTATACGACTAATATTCGTAGAGTTATTAAATTATCACGTGATTAGCGCACCGACGTTTTTTGTATGGGCTGGTGGGGTAGCCAGGTCAATTAGGTGGCCAGGTCAAGTGGGAGATGCGTTATACTTATAATTAAATAAATTAAATAAGATAAAATGCTAAAAGTTATTTTCTTTTTAAGTTGTAAACTTTTAGGCTCATAACCAGTTAAAATAGTACAGTATGAATAGTACTATAGGTAAGGAATCATACTGTATATTGCATTAAGGAACTAAATCTAGGTACTATAGGTTAGGATGGTACATCTGTTTATATAGTAGAGTGTATGTGGGTCGAAGTACCAGCTACCAGGATTATCCATCCCTGCCTTCCTAATTCCAATAATCGTTATACCTTCCTTCTCGGACAATCACACCTGATGGAGAGATAGCATTTACCCTTAGGCATCGATAAGTGCACTATGACGGCGACTACATTCCATGCTACTAGGCCCCAAATTACGGGCATTGTATGCGGTCATGAACGTGAAATGCAGCGTACCATTGGTGTTCTTACGACCGGCAACAAGTAGAAAACATCGTGCGCAAAGCCGCAATAGTGTTCAATACATGTTCCGACTTAACAGGTTCCGTCTCTCACTTAACCAGAAAACGAACAACTCAAATGGGTCTATGTGAAAACCTTAGCAGCTACACCGTCGGTAACTAGTACTCTCAGGGAGCGAAGATGCTAAAGGGGATCAAGAACATTAATTTTGTGGCTTCTATGGCTTGTCGTGAATCTAAAAGAAGAGTGACCGGGATTCATTCTTTGGTGGATATTTAAGGTAAATGAATACCCGAGTACGGCTCTTTCTTTCGACATGGTCTTGATTACGAACTAGTAATAAGCTATACTATCATCAGTGATTTTCACAGCGGCAATAATTTTCAGCGACTTCATAGGTAAATACAGGGTTGGCAAATTAATATGTAGTATTATTACTACAGTGTAATATTACTACTGTAGTATTATTATTAGTAACTATTTTTAAATACTACTATAGTATTAATAAGTATAATTATTACACTACACTTATTACTAGTAATACTATATATTATAAGTAGTATTATTACACTTATTACATTTATTATAATTATTTTTATATTTTATAAAAGAAACTTTATAAAAAAAAACCTTAATAAATTATATAAATATATTATATAAATTAATAATCTATATTAATTATAATTTAAAAAATAACGCATCTCCTACTTGACCTGGCTACCTAATTGACCTGGCCACCCTAATAACCTATATAAAACCCCATTATTTCAATCTTTAATAACTTTACGAATACTAATTGTACGATTTAATAATTAGTACCTTTAAATCCGTTATTTAAAGGGGAATCCAGATGTATTTTTTACTATTTTTTATAAAATTTATTAAGCGAGATATTAAGCAATACGTTAAATGGGCGTTAAGCAAGGATTAATTTAGCGCTTACTTTAGCGTATTGCTTAATATCTCGCTTAATAAATTTTGTAAAAAATAGTAAAGGGCACCGTTAAATAGCTTTTTTTATTACGAATCTAATGGTATATTTTATTATTTTATACGACTATTATTCGTAGAGTTATTAAATTATTACGTGATTAGCGCACCGACGTTATTTGTATGGGCTAGGGGGGTGGCCAGGTCAATTGGGTGGCCAGGTCAAGTGGGAGATGCGTTACTTTTATACTTATTAATCATTAATAATAATAAAATTATATATTTTTATATTTAAAAAAATTACTACATTAGTAAATTAGTAATACTATATGTAGTATATAGTAATACTATTATAGTATTTAATAATAGCAATACTAAACTACAGTAGTATTAGTAAGTGCTATTACTACACTACATGTAGTAGTAGTATTACTAAATACTACAGTAGTATTACTAATTTCCAACCCTGGGTAAATAATTAACTTAATTCTCTTGTAATACTTTCCCGATTGGGATTCCATTATAAATCACCGTCTCTCAACGTGCGCTAATGTTTGGCGCTCTTCGCAGATACCTACCTCTCCTTACCGGCCTGCGCGTTATGCTCATGCAGTTTAACACACCTTTGTAAGAACGTCATTACAGTCTCATGCACTCTTGCTTTTGATTTCTATTCACTCAGTTTTGTCTCTGCCTGTAAGTTTTGATTCACTAGTTACGTTAGTGGTTATCCCATTTAGTCACATTTCATGTCTGTCACGTTTTGAAATGATCAACGTATAGAAAAAAAATTGAAGACCCGTTTCGTACAAGTGAGGAAACATTGTTACCAATTTGTAAAGTCTTAGAATCATACGGCTCCAATGATGCGCTCTGTAGATCTAGACCCATCAGTAGCAAAATGGGCTCATATTGCCATAACGAATAGATCGAGAACGTGCAATAGCTTTGACGGGAGTGTACATATGCCACGTGCCTCTAGTGATGGCGCCATCTTGGGCATCCCAAGATGGTTAGCGGAGGAGGTGTGGTGATCAAAATGGCGACAGCATGGAAGGGTCGGTGACATATCTGGATAGACGTCCTGAAATGGTTCGAGATTAAACATGGTTATGACTAAGACTCCTTTGGAAGACAAGCAGGGGGTCTCCGGCTTGTGGTTATGTTGGTGATCCTACCCTAAGGCTGACGTGCATCTGCTAGCCGCCCATCATTTGTTGCTGCTACACTTAAGCCTCACGACCGGTCGTCGGGACGAGTATTCAGTTTATGTGGAGGGCTGAATAGGCATACGCGTAAGATGTTGAACTATCGAGTTTGACCGGCCTTTAAGAAATCACCACAGGGCATTTTCAATTTACATAACGAACGAGCCTTTATCTTACAATAAAGGCCCGACCACATTTACTAACTTGTATTCATGTTTGACGCGGAATCTGCCGCGAAATCCAAAGCTGAGCCTCTTGTGGTGTGAGCACTTTGCCTAGTTTTGCGCAGACTAGGTACTTGTCCAGTTCTCCGCCACCAAGCTCATTTAGCCAATTGAACTGCGCCCACAATAGGTACAGTTGGTTCGTACGTTTCGGTAGAATATACTCTAGGATGATCTATGACTTTGATGTGCTCATCTCAGACGAATCTACACATAAGCTGATGGTAACCACCCCTAGTTAACCTGATAGTGCCCCAAGCTTTTATGGCGGGTTACCATCAGTTTGTCTGATCACTCATCTCAGAGTCACGTTAAAAAGGATTACTTACATCAAGGACTTTGAAGATGTTGACACATGGATCTCGGTCCACTAGTGCTTAGCTTAGCTGATTGATCATCCACTTTATTGGTAAGTAATTTTTCTTTTTCTTCTCGACACCAGCCACTATTAGCGGATGATGTTGCTGTTGTGGCGCCACAGCCGCGGACGTGCGGAAGCCGCCTGCATTCGATCCTAAACTGACATGACTACCGACGCCTGAACAGGCTGATACTCTGAATTCACATCAGTTCCCTACGTTCTTTCAACTGTTTGTATAAGCTCAGGGGCATTGGCGTCCCAGTCAATGATGTTTCTGACATCGGTCACGTGAAGAACATGGGCCTACTTGATGGACGTGGCATGGAGCAAGGGTCAAATTTAGATGTCATTATCTGCATCCAGACTAGTGTAGGTCCATCCAAGGCTGCATGTCACCTACCTACACCATCTGGGCAGTAAGCGTATGACGGGCCGACATATTCGCAAAGTCCTGCAGGGTTACGGATGCGCGGCGTGACTTGCTGACGTCTTAGGATTCTGAGCCCCTGAGCATAAGCCGGCAGGCTACGCAAAGCTATGTTAGCATCGTTTCTTGTGTTGTCAGCCGCTGTTACCCGCCAATTCAAGCTCTGCTGTCCGGTATTTTCATTACGTGTTGAATCAGTTGCGCACCCCCAAAGCTTGGTGCGGCTCCGCCGGGGGGGTTGGACTCCGATTGGCTTATGCCGCGAATAAAAGTTAGTCCACCCCTAAACTACGGAGAATAAATTTCAGGAACAAACATCGTACCACTGTAACGAATAGCATATACGAATAATTATAGATCGAAATCCCTTGACCTAATATCACTAAATCTGTAATCCTAGACTCTATATTGGCAAAAGATTGTGAGCCGTATAACTCAACCGTAGTGGCTGAAAATAGGACTAGTTAATTAGGTCCATTATCTCTTTCCTGAATCGGATTTCGGGGCTTTCTAGCATGAGAATAAATGAGATTGGGAGTGACCTTGTTTTTTCAGGACTACAACTTGATCCGGCCATACCGAAATGTGTATTGTCAGCGAAGTAAGAACTCATTGACAGTAACTAGTTGAATGTCTACGGGAATAACTGCTTGGCGTTCCTAGATGCCATTGAGGCTACCGCTTTTGTCTTTGTTCTGGCTTCATGACACATGGATTCTACTAACAGCTGAGGTCATTCGGAGTGTATCCGCCTTAATCAGCCATAGTCGGTGAAGAAACACAATAGCTTCATCGTAAGGCTGCGTGACAAGATCATTCGACAGAGCTACTCAACATGGCAGGTGCGTGCTCAAGGGCTCCTGGTAGCACGCGACTTGAGTCCAGAGGTACTGAAGCTTCAATCTGGCAGAATCTTGCTTGTCTATAGTGGCAGCTTTCAGGCTTGGCCACAAGATCATCCATAAGCATAGACTTCTTGACGTTTGAGTATAAAAGGGAGGGTATGCCCACGGTTCCGTCAAGAAGAGGCAATACATCATCACTTTCGCAACAGTCACCAAACAGTCTCAGAAACTCTCAATTTTCTACTCTAGAAAGTAGCGTCACCATTCCAACCAAAATGTTCTCCAAGGCTTTCATTCTCGCGGCTGTTGCGGCCTTCACCACCTCCGTTGCTGCCAAGAGTGGCGATATGACCTTCTTCAACCCTGTAAGTCCATTGCACCTTACCAGAGTTTTGCCTCTAACCTCTGTTCCCCTTTCAGGGCCTCGGAGCCTGTGGCGGTACCGACAACGATGGCTCCCCAGTTGTCGCTCTTAATCCAGTGGACTACGCCAACGGAGCCAACTGCGGAAGATGGATCACCATCCAGGGCAATGGCCACCAAACAGCCGCTCGAGTTGTTGACCTGTGCCCCGGCTGCTCCAACGGTGACATTGATGTTTCCCCAGCCATCTTCGACGACATTGCCCCGTTGGATGTTGGCCGAACCCGAGTCAACTGGTTCTTCCAGTAGATGAAGCCAGACAGCCCTTTGGAATGGGTTTAATCTAAGGATCCAGTGCAGCTGTCGGTTGCGGTGGACATTTGATGTAATAGGAACGCCTGAGATGGTATATATGTGGAGGTTATGGACGCTCGCTTTATCACAGATAATTATATAGTTTCGCACACTATATCACAATCTTTGGAATATTTTGAGCGAACTGCATGCGCCTCCATTGCTAGTATTTCTGGTAGCTTTTGCTCATGAGGTGCGATATAAAAGGTTGAGGTTATCTTTGCAAGATCGAAATATGTTTTGATCAAACGTTGCACAAAGGTAGAACGTTTCTCGTTGAACATTGTGATGAGCCTAGGAACTAATCGGCTTACTCTATCGGCTGGCTTCAGGACTCCGGAATATCACCCCTTGAGAGATGTATTGATATGTCTTAATATGAGTGGCATGTATTTCTATAGGAATGTCACATAAACTTTACAACTATATGTTGTTGATACCTCCTAAATTCGAAACAACGTATTTCACGCTTATCATCTCATATCTACTATGGTTTGCTTGGCTTAAGATAAAATAACATTTCCATAATAGCCAAGGCCAATGTGAGCGGATTGAGATGAACACCCGGTTATTACTTAACCTATGGGTTGAATGACCCAAAGAGCTGCAGGCTCTGTATGGCCCTTAAGTGTTGGAACATAAATATAATCTGACATGGCTAGTAAAATACTTATCACGTGCGCAAAACACTTACCTCCGATTAAAGAAAGAACACGAGTTGGAGATTTGGATTACTATTGAAATAGTAGTTTATTGCGGCTGTCTAGGCTAGAAAGCAAGCAAGATCAACCATGAGTTGCTACTAAGCATCTAGCCCGTCACTTATTCAATTTTGAAACAGAATCTCCGTGAAAAACACTTCAGGGGCAGGGGCGATAGACAGAGTAATTAGTTGAATTGGGTAATAGCATTGGGTATGTTCCATTAGATCGATATCTTCCGTAATACTACGTGTGACATATTACTTCCCAAAGCATATATTGGAGTATATACTGATTTGTGAAGATGACCACGATATCACCTCATCAGGAAATCACTAACCTTACAGCTCTTCTGAACTTTTTAATAGAATGTATAGGACTGTTCTAATTGAACTTCGCATCTTGATCTAGCACTGTTACAAGTGTTCCAGACAGCGACACAAAGAGTTAGAATCACAGATGGCTATTTGCAGTCCGAGTCTAATTACACACCTTGCTATGAGTTCTAGTTGATGCCTTTTATTTTAATTCATTCATACATAACCATCATGTTAATTATTGACGGGACTGAACTACATCTCCTTAGGTTGTATTTCTTAAACTTCGTGTATTACAATCTCACGACTCTAACAAAGAGATTGTTTGTGTACATACCTAGCATAAACATGATGTCTTGAATCAGCCTCTTTCAAAAATGAATATCATACAGTATACCAATAGTTGGCTATCCTAACTCAAGAGCTGGAAAGTCAGCATGGACTCGCTCCAGCCCTCTATGGTAAAATAGGGAGGCGCTGTGCAGATCGCTTGATTGGAATGTCTACCATGTGATACATCAAATCAGACAATTCCATACTTTCACTGTCTGGCTCAGAACGGGAGAAATGTGACACATGCGACCCATTTGGTGACGGCGTTTACCCATCAAAGAAAAAATGGATGAGAACTATTGGTGCTTCACTGGGGAAACTAACAAAAGCTGCTATTATATAGAGGACCCCTGAAGGGCTTCATCCAAAAATAGGTTTTTCTTTTTGCCCATCCCTTACGAACGAGTGTTTTCCGATCGGACAATCGCCATGGATGTGCCGATATACACCAAAAGTCATAGTATACAAGTTTTGGATTACAAGGAAGGATCACAAGCCACCGCTTTGCAAGTACAATTCACACAGACTCTATATTAAGCACAAAGATAGTCCTACCCCTCGAACACCTTCTATAAGACAAATAGTAGCGTTACATCAGGATCGAATCCGCGGCATTGCGTGACCACAGACCAATACAAGCTGGTATGATGTATTACTCCGCAAGCCATCAGGCGTGGGGCTGTTCTTGGCTTTCCGAGAAGGGCTCAGCTTGGAAAACCTAGTTTGAACTCACCGTCGCAGATTCATAGTTATTGTGGTTACAGGTAGGTATTGGACTACAGATCTTAATAGTCTAGATTTCGAAGCATACATCGGGTATCTTTGCTACGTATTTTTATTCAAGAGACTTGCGGGTTTGCGTGTGGTCTAACCCAAGCAGTGCACGTGCCAGTATGGCCTTCAGGTTGAGGATTTTATCATACCCCTGTACCTTACGGATCTAGCTAGTGAGCGGCACTATTGACACAACTGGTAGCGCTGAGCGGTAAGCTTGGAGGTCAGCTTTCGGTGAGTGTCCGCAATCGGTCACAATTTAGATGCTTCGTATCCAACGACGCAGCCTTCCTGAGTGTGCGGTTCCATGGCGCTACAGCATTGGTTACCCCTTGCTGATACTGGCTCAGCCACGTCCAATTCTGGAAGATGTGTGACTACAAGAGCATGAATTCGGCTCGCTAGGGTGGCTGCGGCACAGTACACTACGCAAACAGTAACAGTTTATTGGGTGTTGACCAGAGCGCAGGGATCGCTTTCAGACTTATATCCACCCACAATAGGTTACCAGTGCATCCCCTCATATCAGAGTGCCTCAGCTTTTGTGTCACAGTTGGTTCAAGGATTCAAATACTCTTGCAGCCTCAATCAAGCTGACGCAAGTCCTACAGTAAGGAGTAAGTGAGTTTGGGATACTATATATAGCAAGGGTAACGTCCCAAGACACTGAGAAACCGTGTGTTCTACTGCCTAGATATAGTTCACGCTCCTAAACGTACATTCGCATGCTCTCCACATACAAGGTCTTAGCCGTCAATGCCTATCAAAGAAACTTTGGTATTATTCAGATAGAATCGCCCATCCTTGATCAGCCTGCCTTTCGTGAACGCCCGGGTGCTGTATACGGAACTAAAATGGCTACAGCTGAGTTGAAATCTTTCGCTGCAGGGTGCTTAACAAAAATATCCCAATACCATAACCAGATTGATGTTGGCGTTGTGGAAAGTGCTTCTCGGAATATTTTTGAGGTATCCTTAGTAAGTAAAACCGGTACCTCCGCATTGTATTGGGCAAACTAAACAGGAAACAGGCTGTGTCATCGCTACTAGAGGCGGACTGTCCTCGTGATTTTTTTCTTGACGAGGAAAATACCCTTATTTCGACTTTGCGGGAATGGGTTGACCATGATAACATCGCCGCGAGGCTTCGTATGTTATAATAACATTGTCGTCTATCTTCTATCATCATACTCACAATTTGGAGCAGTGCCGCGCACCAAAACCAACATTGATGTGACAGCAGCAACCATAACTGCCTTAAACCTGTTGGGACAATCCACTTTGCCAGACCGGCTACTTGAAAGCTTTGAGGATCTAGCTCATACCCAACCCCCTAGCATTGAGAGCGATGACCTTGCTACTAATTGTGAAGTTCTTATATCTTTGCTTCATGTCGAAAAGGGCATTGATCGCTATGGTGCACAGATAGAGCGAGTTGCCACATCAGTCTGTTCAACATGGTGGGCTAAAAGTCATGAGCAGGTAATGAATGGAAGGGTAAATCATTGCTCAATCACTTTAAATTAATGGTATGCTAATGATCTAAAGAACATATGTCCTCTGTACTCCGTTATGCTGGTTTCTAAAGCCTTGGCTACATATGCAGTGGCAAAATCAAGTACCACAAACGCAAAAGAAGGTAGCTTGGATGACAAGATCAGTCTCATGCTAACAGAAGTACTTGTCAACTTACTTCGCACGCAGCATGCAGATGGCTCATGGGGTCAAAAAAGTAATTTCGAAGAAACTTCATATGCAGTCCTCGCGATAAAATATCTTACTGCATTTCCATTTGCAAAAAACTTCAAGGACGAAATATGGGGTGCTTTAACGCGAGCGTTTAATATATTCGGACGCAGAACCACTGAGCGCTATATACCAGCAGAGCTGTGGATTGGGACGAGCAATTTCAGTTCTCATCTGTTGTCTCAAGGCTATTTTCTGAGTGCTCTTGGGCAGCCAGCTTGGCTAGACCATCCAAATATGCATAGGTTCGGTCGTTCTGATTTGTCAAGCTCCTCAGTAAAGCTTTCGAAACTTGCTCGCAACCTCCCACTTCTCCAGGGCTCAGAAACTTGGGAGATTAAGTCATGTCTTCTTCAAGGTGATTTCTTCGCCAGAATGTTGAGGGCCAGTATGCCTCGTATTTTTCCTAGAGAGAATATGCGGAAGGAGACATACCTTGATTTAGTTCCATTCACATGGGCAACATCCAGACAGTTCGAAACTCTCAGACTCCGAAACCAGGAGCTGCTGGATATGATGGTTCTTGCAGTCACTATTTACCAAATTGACGAGTTTATGGAGGCCACAGTCATACAACTGGACGATTCAGATATGCGTAAGCTCGATGATATATTTGAGAACTTGTGTTCAGAGCAGTTGACAATCGAGACCAATCGGCCTATGAAGAGCGGTAATGAGAGTTCATCTAACAAGGAGACATCAGAGAAGAATCTTAGAGCCATTACTAAAGTTCTAAGAGAATACGTACAGTTTGTACTACAGCATCCCTCCGTTGCCAGCGGTCGTCCATTGCTTCAACGACAACTCCGATCCGATATCAAACGGTTCCTAAGATCTCACCTCAGACAAGTGAAAGACAACTTACTGTTGAGGGGTAATCAAATGAAAACAGTCGAATCCATACACGGTTCAGTCTTCAGCTGGGTTCGGGGTACATCTGCTGATCACACAGGCGGGCCTTTTGCGATGACTTACTATCTATGTCTCGTTGAGGGCCGACATAACCCTCCACAGCCTATAAGCACAGAAGGGCTATACGTCGCGCAGATGGTCAGTCAACACCTGGCAGCGTTATGCCGAACTTACAACGACTGGGGCTCGAGAGCTAGAGACATGGCTGAATTTAACGTCAATTCGCTTAACTTCGAAGAGATTCGGAATAATTCAGAGGTTCCCAACTGCTTAAAGGATAATGGAGCTTTCATTAATCAACAAAACGGAATTGTATCGATGAGTGGGCATGGGGAGCCAGAGAGACGCCTCTTATTCATAGCCGAGTTCGAGCGACGCTGTATGCTCAACTGCCTTCGTGAACTCAAGGATATCGTGAACCCAGAGGTTTATGTTGCGGTCAAACTCTTTTGTGATGTCACTGATATCTATGGCCAGATATATGTGGTGAAAGACATGACACCCAGGCTCACAGAGCAGAAGTAGATGAGGCCATTCAAGAATGCTGTCTTAACTTACAAGTAATAGACGAGTTATAAAGTGAGACAAATGGCAATACCAACGCTTTCCATACTTCTTCTAGGAGTCTACAATGATAGCTCGATCGAGTTTAAAGCTGCGTCGCCGCCCCTTAACAAGCACAGCGGACATTATTGCTGCTCTTAAGGGCTTCTATTGGTTCCATCATATGAGAGTAATCAAGTGACTTACAAGGAAACACCGTCACTTGTATTATAGAAACGCAGCCCGCGTACTCGCATACACGTTGACAGCAGTATTAACCTCCAATCAGTGGCGGGGACTACACCTAGCTATTAGGAATAATATCTTGACGCTTAATCAAGTATCGCCCCGAATCGTCGCGAGTAGACCAAACTCGCCAACTGAGCGTGCTCAACTGTAGGTCATCAAGTAATACGGTGTAAGTATGCTGCGATATTTACAGAAAACATCTTTCTTGAGTACACTAGGTAGTACATGAGTATCTAGCATAATGTAGATACCGATAGCCATTCTTTTGTTTGTTTGGCAGTTAGGACATGATCAAATAACACAGGTAGTGTTATAATATAGCTACGCGGGCAGGATCCGCCTTGCCCTCTAGTAGGGCTTGGAGTCAAAGCCAAGACACTAATGGACGTCATAATATTCCCTAATATGCAGACTGAGGGCATCGCACAGTTAGCTCACACCTAGCTAACTCTAGGTAACTATTTTGGGTAAGAGAGCTAATCCTGTACAGAGCCTTTAACCAAAGACGCCACCCAAGATGAGCGCACTGGTATGAGGTTACTTGGCTGCATGGGCATATTATCATGCTGAGCCTCAAACTTAACCCCTCTTCTACGTCACTCTCCGCAGAGCTACGGCAGATGATGCACATTCAGCAGCAAGTGTCGAATTACTCTTATACGTACGTATACCCTTATAAAAGGGATGAAGATGAATTAGCGATCTTTGCAAGGGGCAGCTGGTGATCTCTGATGAATACCTCGAAACGCTTGGAATATCTGGTTTCAATTAGAAGCGGTGTTGGGTTTCGTTACAATCAAACGACGATACACGATCATCGCAATGGTTTAGTACAGGCCTGATGAGAAGCAGTCTGTTTTATTTTGTTCAGAATAAACGACAATCTGGCGCCCAGTCATCAGTCATACCTATGTAATAATATACTACATTCTCCTGACATCAAAACCCAACCTCATTACCCAAATATATGAAACACGAATTAAAATCATAGATTACAGTTTCTGCTGTTTCCAGCGATAGTAATGCGCTTACCACAGCGCACAGGTTGGCTCCTTCTTTTTGCATTTGAAAGCTTCTAGGAATGCTGCTGAATTCTGAGGGGCGACGCGCGAACGCGCAAAGGGAGGTGCGTGTGCATTTGGTGTAGCAGCTTGGGCGGGTGTTAGTCTAGAACACCAGACCTGGCCGTAGGCGATAAAGAAGAGCTGATCTTTCGTGAACTGTTCCAGGCCCGGCAAGCCTTTCTCCGGGCACGCGTTGTCGAGCTTCTTCCACATATCATACGAAGTCAGCAGGCCACCGGCGTCCGCAATGTTCTCAGCGAGTGTGGTAACACCGTCCACGTAGATCGTTTCGTTCTTGCCCGACTTAGCAGTGACCCCGTCAAAGCCAATGATGGGCACCTTGGAGTACTGCTCAACGAAGCATTGAGTCTTGTTGTCGAAGGTTTCCGCGCTGGAGTCAGACCACCAATCTTGCAGTCGGCCGGTTTGATCGAAGTGGCGACCGACGCTGTCGAAACCATGAGTAACCTCATGGCCGGCGACAACGCCTAACCCGCCGTATGAAAGGTACTTAGGCGCCTTACGGTCGAAGAGAGGGAATTGAGATATGCCGGCAGGGACGATGGCAGTGTTTCTCTCACGCCATTGCCGGGCGTTGGCGATCCAGGAGTGAACACCGTAGTTAGGCCATGTATTTTCATCAACAGGGAATGAAAGGGCTTTCCACTCAAGTTCAGAGTACCACTTGCGGATAGAGAGTGCATTGGAGAAGTACGAGCCTGTGATCTTCACGCCATCGTAATAAGCCTTCAGGTTTGTGGCGTTGAGCGCATCGGGCGTATCCATAGGGTATCCCACGCGTAGAGCCATATCGTCTAGCTTGATCTGGATGAGCTTCTTGGTGTCGTCGTCTATCCAGGGCACATTCTTCGCGCGCTCGCCGAACGAAGCGAGGAGGTTGTTCATTAGGGTAGTCACTGCCGTGCGATCTTCGTCGTCGTATTCTTGTTCTATGAAAAGCTTGCTAGTCATCCAAGCGATACTCGTGTCGAGATAATCGGCGCATGTGTCAACTCGGTCCGCAGTAGGATCCTGTGACTGGATTAGTCATACGAAAATTACGAGAGTCAAATAAAAGTTAGCGAGCTGTAACTTACAACAGATCCTGCGACGTAGGATGCATAGTTGCCGTAGGCAGAGAAGATCAATACGGTCTGGAGGGTAGCGGTGGATGTCTGGCTGACAAGCGTGGAAACGTTCATCCATACATCCGGTATTTGGAGCTGCATTCGCTCGACCGAGTATCCCTCTGGCGCCCTGCGTTCTATAACCTCTTTGAATCCCATTGCTGGTGCAGCATTCTCAGCTTCTTCGACTGTTGTAGTATAGTATAGAAGATCCTATACCTAATTAGTTATCTATATACTACAGACGATTGGCAGTTAGCTTAAGGAGACATACATCCAGGTCAAGACCCGTGGAATCGGCCAAGGCGGTAGCAAATACCCCAGCCAATTGTGTCGAAAATGTTAACAAACTCTTCGCCAGCTGTTTGGAGACACCTTGCTCGACAGCTTGTGGTATGAGCACTTCGATGAGAGCTTCAATAGTTGTGACATTGCCCTGGGTAGCAAGACTAGAAATGTCATAGGTGGATGGAATAGGTTTATCGGCGGTTGGGCTGACCAAGTTGAACGCAGGAATCATGGACTCGGGGTTTTCCACATCCACGAAAGTGCCAAAGTCTCCAAACACAGCTGCGCCAACAGAGTTCAAGTATGCGAGTGCATCTGCCCATTTCTCATAGTTGCCCTCTAACGTTTTGTTGGAAGCATAGTTCTCAACGGGAAATAGCTTCTGTACCTGAGCGATTATATCAGGGACTCCGGCTAATCCATTCTTCTCAATCGTATCGACATCTAGGCACGCAGCGAAATCACCGGCCACCATGTTAAAAACATCTTCATCGTCGCTTGTAGCCTTTTCAGTGTTAGATGAAGCAAAATCCATATTATGAGTGAAACCCAAATGCACTTACATCGCTCTGTGGGTTGTAAGGGTGAGTTAGCAGCTGTACGATGACATCCTTGTTTCGGTTCTGGATTCCCGTTAAAGTATCAGTTACTTCGAATGGGTGATCCGCAGGGAAACCTCCGCAGACGTCTAATCTTTCATTAGCTTCATCATTTCGAGGGCTTTATAGGCATAGATGCTCACAGGCGTCGAAGTTAGTGCATGGGTCAATGGAGTTGTATTCTGGGTGCATGTTGGTGAGTATTCTTGCGGTGGCCTGGACACAGGCCGGTGTTGTGCACAATCCCAATGAGCCCGTCATATTGGCAGCCATATTAATCTGTAAGGGGAAGGAGGTGTGAGAGGCCTGATGCAAGAAGTTCAAACCTCTTCTGTTGGAATTGTCATATTTTATATTTTTAATTATACAGCCTCAGTCGAGAGACCTCGCTCACGGCATTTTTGAATGACGTATTTCCTAAATGCTTGGTATTTAGGAATAATCTTTTTTTAGTAGCCCTAGGTAGACCTTGAGAGTCAGCTATGGTAGTGCCCATTAAGGATTTAACTAACACTGCTTTATTGGCTAGCAGCAGTGGCTGAACAGACATCAGGCAGCGTAGATCATAATAGCGGGCTCAAAATACGGCGTAAACAGATCTCTTGCCCAGCTGGCTGTCAGCACTAAGCCGTATTTAAGGTTGCCGGTCTGGGAAATATATAGGCCAAGACTTCTGATGCCGCAGTCGCTGATGGCCCGCAATCTTATGTAGTCCCGACCTTCAACCCAATAACTTCATAATCACCAAGTAAGCCAAGTTGCGCCGTCCTCATTAGCATCGCAAGTTCTGCCTTGTGTATACTTCACAAGTCCGAAGGTGGAAAACGTGGTTGCGGTGAGCACTGCCAACCCCACAATGGCCACCTTGCACTGCCAAGTAGTTTAGTGAGGGGCTAAGCGCACCGTTCCATGGCAATGGTACGTTCACTATATTAGTTGAGGCTTGAGACATAAGCATGTAGGTTAGTGATTTTGGGGAATTTGTGAATAGTGGCGATGTCATGGGGGAACGAAGACGGTGGCGCTAAAGGCAGGGCGAACCTCTGAACAACTTTTAATGAGCACGAGCGGAACCTTCCGACTCCATTCGCGACCTAGGTACGTCATTCTACTACTACTTGCCTTCAACAATTCCAATATAGAGGTAGGTATGTTCCTAAGTCCGTAAGTTGACTTACATATATACCATTATATTCCTCAAAAGCTAGGTAGCCTACCTAGCATGCCTTAATACATAAGAACCATATTACGGATTACTTAATAATCCATCGTTGCTTCCTCGGATAAGCCGCCCCTTGCCGTAATGTATGAGTGTCATAACTGGAGTCGCATATTCGAAAGGCACGGTATACTCGAAGGAGGTCAATGGGATAATTAGGCTGATCTGTATTTTGATCCATCTCTGGGCCCTTCAACACTCGATGAGGGAGAAATGATATATGAACGCTATGAGCAACATGGCCAGACTCATCGACGCTTATTGGCAAGAGATATATGTAAATGTCAATATCAGTTTAAACTTGGCAGCCTACAAATGTAGTTTCGAAACCGAGTAAAACAACGACAATCCAAAATCCCAGTAAATCATCTAGCCGTGGCTATCAACAGACCTACCGGCATAATGTCACCTCCAACCGTCTCCAACTCTGACAGACCGATAATTGCCCTCGAAGAGCACTTCCTCTCTCGCGCTGCTCGTGATATAGAGCCCAATTCTCGTAACGAGAGAGAAGAATGGGATACGAACATATAGTTGACGACAAGTGGCAACTGGGCCCTGGGTCCTTTGGCCTACATCCTGTGAATACGAAGCATAACAGGATCATGTACGTAGACTATCCCGTTCACAAAGAGTGCCGATGCTTTAATACGGCTGGAAGAGTTGGAGGACAGTGAAATGGTCAACAAAAAGGAATTGGAGGGCATCCGGTGGAGGGAATGCGGCTCAGTTGCCAAGACTGAATGTGAATGCAGGGTCAGATACTGCTTAAAGTTATGGTTCATTGCGCGATGTGTCATATAAATCAGAGACTCTTCTCATAGGCTATTTAAATAAATAAATAAAAATAAGGCTCATTGAACATGGGAAAGGCAGCCATGTCTCCTCCCTTACGAAAATCCCCTAATTCCTTCCTAAGTACACAATACTCTCACTACATTAATTCGAGTAGCAAGGCAAGCTCTTCCTACAATACAACTATGGACACGGCATGGCCCCTAAGCCCAAGGAATGTTAGCGCCGACTATCATCAACCCTCAGTCATTAGCGCAAAAGCTCAACAATTACATGCCAACAACCATCAACTTGGACTTTCAACCTTTTTTTTTTCTCTACTTCTTTTCTTTTTCAATTAAAATAAGTTATGTCATATTGCTTACACCAAACAGCGATAGAACACAAGCTAACTGTGAGGGTAAAGAGGGGTTGAAAGAAAGAAAGAAAAGAAAAAGAAAAAAAAAAAAAAAACATACAACACCAGGGATTCGCTGGTCGTCACCGACCCAACTACTAATCTGGCGGTATCTGGCTTGGCTATGGGGGAGCGGACGGGACCCCGCATTTTCCAGATCCTATGGTCGTATGTAGTAGACTATTCTGTTAATTCCCATTATATATCTTACAAACCCTCCCTACATGTATTGGCTTAGTGCCAAGACTTTGACTGTGTTCAAGTTGAGGAATCGCTTCCTACCCCTTTTCAATCAGCCACCAAAAGAAATAATCTTGTACTATGTACATCGGCTCTTGACTGTTGATATTTAGCTGTTATGTTAAGCCTGGTGACCACGCCATGCCCTTTACCGTACGTGATCCTGCACGTAGTTCCCAAACAATGATCTTTCTAGGATCAGGGGGTGTGCACTCTATCCACTCCCATCGTATACAAACCGCACTACGTGATGGAATGCGTCGCGGGCCTAAAACCGTACATGTTTTGAGTATGAGTTCGAATCTGGAACAATCATCTTAAGATTCGACTTGTGATCGCGGTTCTTTTGTTGTGCATACAAATGCTGGAAGGTTAAGATAGAAGCCTCGAGAATTGGAGCTTCTAGCATCTGAAATTGGAGTCCCCAGGTTCAAGGCTTAAGACATCCATGGATGTGTCACTACTGGACCTTCGTACATAGGCACTTGATAAACCTCGGGATTTGATAGAGATGCTTACCAATCGAGTTGCATCAACTATAACTGCACCTAAGTGGAACTAATTCATTTCAAAGCAAGACGCAATTGAATGAGTTCAATATTGCCACTTATCGCGCCATCCCTTTAAAACTGTAGGTGTCCTGTTTACTACTTTACTCACGCAAAGCAAATCTTGATCAAATGTACTCCAGTTTGATCACTAATCGAATCATAGCGCTCGATTTCTACTCAGCTTTCTCGGCGATATCAGAGGATATGTGCACAAGAGAGCTCGTAATTAATGTTACTACATCTAGCAAATATCATGTCCCGGCAGACGGGATCATATCACACGGAGTATCGGAGATCGATGAATAATCATTTATTAACTTCACGAAGAGCTGGTGCGAGGAAGAAGAAGTTGGTGTAGGTGCCCCTTCGTGTCGAGGGACCAGGGGTGCTTCATCAACAACTACAAACACAACTCGCCAAGACGAGGTCGGCAGCTGAGGTATGGTAGCAGTATGGTTACACGAATGCGTGTCGATTAATAAGCGTAGGGACCAGAATTTATACATAAAGGACAGTATGAACCAGAAAATCATGAGGCCATCCTCAGCAGATAGCAGTATCTCCGGCCAAAGAACCCTTTTATCGAACGCTCAATCCCATAGGAGTCATCTCTTTGCTTCCAAACAGCTTCATCAACATGGCTCAGTTTAAGAACGTCCTTATCATTGGAGCTTCTGGCTTTTTTGGCAATCTTGTGCTAGAGGCTCTCCAGAAAGACTCGGACTACACATTAACGCTCTTGCAGAGGACATCATCTAAGACACGTTTGCCGGAACATCTGAACATACTCACCATCGCCGACTCATACCCAATTGAGGAACTTACTTCCGCATTCGAGGGGCAGGACCTCATTATCAATTGTATTACAACGCTGTCGGTGAAGGACCAATACAGAATGGTAGATGCCGCTATCGCCGCGGGGGTCAGACGCTATGTCGCCAGCGAATACGGGCTAAACAACATGAACCCAAAAGCACAGGCCCTCAACAATGTCTTCGCGGACAAGGGGAAAGTCCAAAGCTATCTACGTGCGAAAGGCGACGAAGGCCAGATCGAGTGGATGAGCATCTCTTGCGGGATATGGATCAAGTGGGGGATGGCGCACGACTTCGTCGGCATGCACGTGCGAGAGCGCCGGTTCGTGTTCTGGGACGACGGCGAGGGGTTATTCTCCTGCACGACCGAGGAGAACACCGCCGCTGGTCTTGTTTCGGCGTTGAAGGTCCCCGAGGAGACGAAGAACAAGAATCTGTTTTTGAGTGATTTCGCTATCAACCAGCGACAGCTTTTCGATGCGATTGAGAGAATCCAGGGTATCAAGTACCAAATCGAGACAATCGACAGTGAGAAGCTCATCGCGGAGAAGAAGGAGGCGGAAAAACAGGGCGATGGATCCGCGACGATGGCACTCATTGAAACAGGATTCGTAACCGGCAAGTTTGGCGGGCATTTAGAGAAAGAGGGTGTTATTAGTGAGTATATTCTTCCCAAGCATTAGTTTCCCCTGGTTCATGACCCCATCTCACCTTACCCTGCCTCTTGTCATGTCAAAATTTAAGTCTTGACTCCAAAGTGCGATAGCTAATCCGAGTGCTATAGTGAACCAAAAGCTTGGGCTTCCTGAGCGTATACTGGATGAGGTCGTGGCTGATGCTCTGAAGTCGCTGGGAGTTCTGTAGTATGCCGATTCGTTAAGATGAATCGCGAGGCAGACTGTTTATTTGTCAGCATGAAGTTCGGCTAGATGTTCTGGCATTCGAGTTGAAATTACATATACTACTGTTCCCTTCTAGGACAAGGCCCCCTTCCCTTGCAAATGACACGTGATACCCCGTATACTGTGAAGTTTGAGCATCCGCGGTATGTTGTACACTTACTCTTCTAGAATTCCTGGGCTGTAATTGCGCAGGATATGCTTAGCCTGATTACCAAGGTAAACATATATAGAGCTTGAGCATTGTCAGTAGCGAGCGCTGTGGAAACATCAATACCTCTACAAGGGTTGACGTCTCCTATTGTTGTCTAACATTACTCATAGCAAACGAACTTCCCACACCTTCATTCCATTTCCAACTCCCTCCGTATACCATTCATAAGCAACTGAGGGCCAGTTTTCGTAGAACAGGAAACATAGGCAAACACAGATGGGAGGAATTATTACGTGGGCGGGGTATTGCTCTGAATATCATGTACGCCGTACTAATTTGTTTGTTCTCTTACGCACCCAACGTAAGATCTTTTTACAATACGTTGGTTGGATTTTATTGTGTAGTATTTTTCTTTCCAAAAAGCTGCTGTAAATTCATGTTTTAATCAACCAAGAATGTTGTAAAAAGGAGTCTCTAGATATCAATACTTAAAATTATACCTTTTGAGCTGGGAGCCAGTCCTAGCAGGGTTAATGGATGAAGGTTCACTAGAGCAGCGAGATATTGTACTCACATACGACTTGAGTTTGTATATAACTCCCTTTAATGTGACACGTATATGCGTATGGGTTTGCCGTAGTACAAGTCGGAATGCGTCAATATCAAGGGAGGAGGAAGGCGGTACGAAGAACGAGTCTACAGCAGGGCCATCAAAGTATAAGATGCACCCATCAATAAATTCCGCATAATCTTAAAACACCTCAACTTAAGTTATATCTTCCATTACTCTCACCAACTCCTTCCCGTCCGCATTCAATTCAGCACCAGTCAGCAATCCATCTTCAAGAAAGCCCCCAATTTCATATATCTCATACCTTCCCAAAGCGCTGCTTCGGCTCTGATTCATCTTCAAATGTGCTATTACGATTGGAATGAGACCTTATGCTGTGACTGCGAAGGAAAAATAGCGGAGGGTTGGGGGCCAATGACACAAGAGGAGCAAGAATGCAAAGATGCGGGGAATTGTTTGGACAAGAAAAAAGCCAACGACGGGCAGCCTAATACATCGTATAGCCAAACCCCATGCGGAACTTGCATAGCGACTCCAAGCGGTAGCAGTTGAACAACACAACGAGAGACGGGAGTCTGGCCGAGAACAATAGTCGCATTCAAGAAACCGACAACCTCTGGAAACCATCTTACATATAGATGGTGGCCTCGTGATTATTCACGGGCTTCAAGAGGACTCGTTATATTGCCTCCTACATTCATTCACATCTCAAGGCAATTTGAAGTCATAAAACATATACCTTCCTTTTTGATTCGCCTCTCTTTCCTTCTTTCGGGAAGCAAAGTCAAACAATCGCACCTATTATTGCGTGACAATAACAAGAGCAAGTCGGCTCCCTCCGGCTGCTTATGGAGCCTTCTATCTACTTCAGAATTATCTTGTCGAGAGATTTAATTTTGATATCAGCCCCAAGGAACATGTCACTGAGATGGAAGTTTTCTATCTCTTTCCAGAGAGGGGAATGGCAATGTAGTATACTTGTACCTAGTATTACTACAATATCAAACCAAGCCTTGCCCTCCCACAACCTTGCTAGGAACATCACAATGGGACTCTTCGAAAATAATTGCCGGGGATACGCGGCAACGCTTCAGTAAATGTAGATACCTAGGGTCGTGACAGCTTGATTTTTTACAGAACTTGATACACCTACTATGATCTACTCAATCTAGTTGACCCGATACATTGCTAGGAGAAAATCAGAGCTCATAATACTGAATTGGTGATATATAAGGTGAGGAGCTGATAGATTGGGTTGTTTCCAAGCCTACTCAGTATGCATCTAGCGTATACCGGGCCTCAGTACTGCTACTATAAAAAGGAATGCAGAAAGACTAAGACAACATATGGTTGTTACATGTCACGTTGGTCATGTTAATAGGATTTAGGCAGTTAGGGGAAAGAAAGGATCAGGGATTAGGATGAATCATATATGTATTTGGGCGTCAATGATAGTAATAGTGCTGACTTGGGATATCAGACGGCTAATCAAGCGCTTAGGGGTATCAAAGATGCCTTGACTTGTCGTATGCCCTGTTTTCTACCTGAGAACCGCGAGCGCATCCAGTGCATTGACAATTGAAGTAGCACCGGGGTGCCAAATTCATCCCAAGTCATAAACCCCTTCACCAGCCAAGTAAAAAACTCCAAAAGTCGTAAAGCAAGTCTATAGTCATAAGGACAAAGTAAGGGCCCAGAACCGAGACCTGATAAAGGTGTAATGTTGTGTTTTGGAAGGGTTTCATCAAAGGATGTCTTATATCAAGACATCATGTCGAGTAGAGACATCGAAGAGCACATGTAATCGTGTACCATGTCGCTTAATTTCGACCTGGCATTAAGGTTTCGGTACTGGGCGTAGCTCTGTATATACAGCGCCATGTGTCGAGGTAGTTGTCTACCAGCGTGCTGCCAACATCCCCTAAGGGTGGTGAAGAGCAATAGGGTATGTTCGAATCTCACGCTGATGGATCACAGGTGTAAAAGTGGTGTTGAAGTGCCTCGCCTTGATCTCCACTGTTGCATTGGTCGGGGCGTAGAAAGGGGCAGCGACGCCAACCTGAACAAGAGTAGCAACAGCTAAGATAGCAGCCAAGAATTTAGCCATGGTGAGGTAGTATGAGAGGATTGTTTAAGATGACAGAACCACTGAAGACAGCAAAGACTGGAGATGAAAGGAAAAGGAAGAGTTATGGGAAATTGAGAAGGAGTTCTTCCAAATTTCAGGGCGGAGAGAGACAGGTCTGCCTCCTTATATCGCCAAACCAGGCCATCGTCACTAGGAAATGTTTTACATCCAAAGTGGAAAACACTTGCCGATCAATCTCTACATCTTGGTATCCCATTTGATCCTTAGAATAAAGACGTGTATAGCCCTTGTATTCGGTAATTCTCATTATAATTGCGTACGTATACCCCACGCCTGTTCACCTATCTCCGATTTACTATAGAATGCCTAGCCAAGACATGGGCCAAGCCTCAACGTACCCGTGTCATTCAATGATAGCTAGCTCAGGGGTTCTAGGAACTGATTGGTTCAGAGTGTCAATGAGATCGGCAGTCGAAAGCACCATCTGTAGCCGCATGTTTTATAGCTTCTGAAAGGAGGACTCGAGCAGAATACTGCGATAACCGCAACAGGGGTCTAATATCAGCGACTTACCACACTTGTTACCCCGTGCCGATCAATAGGTGATCCCTAATGTACGATGACTAACCCCCGATGTTACTGAAAGAGGAAAATCAGATCGAAGAAAATATTTTCACACTTCGTTCTCGATAGACTAACATGTTGGCGATATTCCCTTCAAATTGTGTCGAGCGGTAGATAGTATGTTCACGAACAACAACTCCAGTCCAGGCACTAAATCACCACACTAGCGCTCAGATAGATCATGATGACCTCATTATGAAGAGCTGCCCACTTTGCTTTGAGGTATCAGTATGGATGTTAAAATATTTGTAATCCGTCTACTCCAAAAGGTATATCACTATCAAGTTTCGGCTGAATGCACATGTTGAAGTATCGCAGACTTCGCTCACGTACCTTATAAAACCTCTTCATCGGAGCTCTTTACCTCCTGTAGTACAAACATCCTTAACCTGCCCATGCGCTCCAATGGGTGACTACGTCAAGTTAGTGGGAAGACGAAACGCTCGCGTCATAAGCGTATCGTACAACGGCTCGCATGCAATACTACCCTACCAGAACACGCGTTTGCCCATGGCAGCCCAACGCTCGCTCGCTTAGTTGATCCGATTAATATGAAAGAACCTTCCTGACTAATTGATCTCGACTCGCTATTGCTACGAAGTATGTGTAGGTGGTATTGCAGCGAGCATGCTGTTACTCTGAGCCGCTGCCATACTCCAACACTCTAAGCGAGATCAGTGGTATTCGCCTGTGGTACCTAGTCGAGTTCACCATGCTTCTTCAACGAGTCAGAGGAATCCTTCGTTTCTTTCTATCGCGATTGGCGTTCACCGAGAATCTTCGACATCAATGCTAGGCTAGTAGGACGTAGGACGCGTTCAATGATTCCCAAGCACCGAACCTTCTCTAGTGTGACAATCGCACTGGCGGACATTCCATATTAGCTTAGCCCTGAGTGCAGGGCCAAATGCCGATCGTAGCGCCTCCTTAGCCTTGGACCTGTCGATCTGGAGATCACAAAGGCTAAATGATTAAAAACCGTCAACCTGGGCAATTCGTCGGATTGTCCGCCTTTTCTGCCACAGCCGTTATCTGTAGCGCAACCTAGTTCTGCATCACTATCTCCCATTTTGAGAAATGGAGGCGCCGATCATCGACTCTTCCTCCCACTTGACAAGTTGACAGCAAGAGGCCACCGAGGCATGGAAGATGAGGACATTAGCCGTTATCAGTGACCCCAAGAGCCTAGATCATAAAGTTAGAGCCTCTCCTTATTCACGCCAAACAAAACAAGGTATCTATCTCCCCAGCCGACAAAAAGCCGACCCGGATCCCAAGCTCCGCCCTCGCCGCAAGAAACCAGCGCAGCACCTTGATCCATCATAGTGCCTGGTCGAACATCGACAGCAAGCCGCCGTGGCCCGTCCTCTATTCTTTATTACCCGACGCTTCAGAAACCTGGCAAAGACAGATTATATCGTGCAGCAAACCAGGTCCATCCCGTGTCTATTTATTCAATGGCTACCAGGAACAGATGCTAGCAATTCGCCTATGCGCTGTGCTGGTCGTCTAGTATCGTGGGTGCCACAAAACGTGCGATCAGCGCCAAGTACCGATTGGATCGCTCAAACCTACTCGTTCGTCCTTTGGCAAGCGAGCGCGACGGTCATCTATCACGGCCAATCAAGTGATTGCTCATATATGACTGCAAGCTTGCCGTTAAAGATCCGATCCGAGTCGCATCACACCCTTCAGCGTTTCAAAGTATAGCACACGACAAATATTTCTCCGGGCACCTTACCAATATCTTAGTATCTTAGATAGTTGTTTGCGAGTCCACGCAACATATGCTTGGCACTAATAGGTAGGAGGCGGGTGGGATCATATTCTCTTGATTCTTAAGAATGGATATTGCGGTACTTGCCACGAGATAACGCGCGGGATCAAGAGGGATTTTGCGAAAACACAATAGCCAACTAATATTGGCAGCTTACTAAAATACCGTGAGCATCTTCATAGCTTCGTTGATCGATTCTCCGCCAGCTAAACCCGCCGAGTAGCTTCTTGCCTTCGCCAATAGCGCTGATCGCTCATTAGCCTAGATGAGGTGATGTGGCAGGATTCTCCTTATCTTGAATTTTCCGAAAGCGTATTGTCCGCTCAACGTCGCCATTCGAGACGATCTTGACCACAGCGCCCTACTGGCCTTCGAACCCTAGAAACTCAAATCTACGAACAAGGGATGACAGGCTAAGTGATAAATTAAAACGCAACCGCAGAAAAGGCAACATTTGTTATCCTACCCAACTCGGTACTCGGCATCCATGAGAATTCTGCCCGCCCACCGACTACTTGGTGTTACAGTACTCACATAGACGTCCAGTAGGCAGGGGAATGATACTGATGTCGGTTGATTTACTGACCGTCCTGAGCTAGTGGGGAATCACTCAAGTGATCACACAGATATATCATCATGATACCATTCAATCTATATTACTGTTATTGAGCACACGAGACATTTTGGGCTTCCACAACCGCAATTGTTGAGTACCCAATAGCCTACATGTATACGTAACATCTATCCGACCGGCAGACTAGCAGAGCATCTATGTAGGTAGACATTAACACCAGTCACGATTCTTTCTCCGTTCATGTAACCAAAACCTAGGTACTATTTACTTCAACTGACATGCTAATACCCCGTTTAATCTAGTGAACTCATCAGTCATGTCATATGCAACAAACAGCAGCAGTCAATATATTCATTAATATTCACGAGGAACGGAATACAATCAGACAACCCTACATTGCCTGATAGGAATTACCCGAATAGACCTCCAGATGAGAGCGCATATTACGCTAATACTTGCCACCTCCCACGAGCAACTCCTAACTCGTAGTGATGCGGCGAAACTCATCCTGAGTATGTAAGCGCACTTCGTCTACCAGCCCGCGTTCCCTCATACCCTTCAATATTGCCAGCACAGCAGGCGACGCGCTTTCGCAATCAACCCCAACAGAGTAGACCCCGCTGCCCACCGCTCCAGATGTTCCAACCGCAATCTCCAGGCCGTCTTCCAGCGGCACTCCCATATCTGCCCCATTGGCCGGCGGAAATCTCGCCGACGTCGTTAGAAACAGATGTCTCTGACCACACTCGTCGATAGGCACATATTCGAAAGTCTTCAGCACCTCTTCAGGGTAAATATCGAGGAGCTTTGTCTTGACAGTGCCCGGGTAATCATGGATGAAACTGACTTCTGGCGCACCCTGGGCGACGCCCTCAATGCCAAGAGTCACGAGCGACGTGAGATGCCCGCGGAACTTCTCTACCGGAATGGTAAGCGCTGGGAAATCGTTGCGGTCGATCTCGTCTTCGTGGCTGCCGCCTCCCACACTGACAACACGACGGAGCTCTGACGCGTGCTGTACCAGAGGAAGGAGATTGGTGATGAAGCGGACACGGGCGTAGTAGTTGATTGCAGCTAGTAGGTGAATGTCCTCCGCCGTCTCTGTGACTTGTGATTAGTCCTCGACAGTAGTCTTAGTATCACGCGTACATACTAGACCGGTCCAGACTCGCCACTCCGCAGCTGAGAAAGAGGAGATTGATAGACTGCTCCCTTGCCTTGATCTCTTCGCATACCTTGTCCACATTGCGGATCAAGCTCACATCAGCCTGCCGGAAGATGAATTGGCCGGTCGGATTGAGTGCCTGGCACTCGGCTATGATACGGTCCGCAGCTTCTTGCGAGCGGCCGACGAAATACACTCGTGGGCTAGCAGCGTGCTGCGCGAATTTCTTCAGAGTCGCTTCGCCGATGCCACTTGTCCCTCCAACGAAAAGCGCAACCAAGTTACTTGGCAAGACGGAAGAGATCCGCGCATTGGAGGCATTGACAGCTGAAAGAGAAACCATTATCCCTTTAATTGGAATATTAGCATTGCTACTACATTTGCCAAGGGGTGTCTCCTAAGAATAGTCAAGGATCTCTTGCATACTCACAATCTTACGATGAATTAAGGCGTTACTTAAGCTTATGTGAAAATGAAATAGAAGCAGCACTACAACAAGACAGATCACTCATATAGGTATATATATAGCACCCGACATCAATCATTTTGAAAAGCAAGAACGTCAGTAAACTATCTGATGATGTACACATGTGTATGGAAAGAGACACTGCTGGTGATATGCGACCGATTCGGTATTTGTATAAGCCGCTCATTGGCCAGAAAACGCCGAAGATGCGTCAGGGGGCCGAGCAATGCGGGCCGGTCGGTGGCCGCAAAAGAGGCAACGAGATGACCGCGGAACTCCGCCAGCACTTACAATGTCCCAGGTTATCGACAGTATTCGATTCGACTCATTAGCTACGGGTCTGGAATGCCTCAAAGATCTATGCAGGAGCGATCTCAAATAGGAATGAGCCGCGGCAAGACTCGCTCGGCCTGTAATCGCTGCCATCAGCAGAAGCTCCGCTGCATCAAGGCGGCAGAGCAAAGCGTTTGCGAGCGGTGTACAAGGCTTAAGATCGAATGCCGTTACAGCCCGCGCGAACGCCGGGTTGGCCGAAGCGGGCGATGCAGGACCGGTGCTTGGCCTCAACCGAGGAACTTGGCTCCGCTGCCAATGCCGGACACACAGCAGACTATTCCCATCCCGGGGGGTAATGAGTGCGGTTGGCTGTCCTTCTCCGGTACAGGAGTTAATAACGCCGAAGGACTGCGTAAGCATTTGAACTTGACGCTCGTGTTATACATAATTCCATTAACGCTTCGCTCTGCTACCCAGGTTACCTCGGCTCAGATGCCAGGTCCCTCGATGTGTCTACAAGTCAGCCGTACCAGCTCACTGAGACTCTAGACATGTATTCATTCAGCCGCGATAGTGGCTCAGTGCTACCCATGATATCTGACAATCAGGCCATGACGAGCGGGGTGAGAGGTGATTGCACCTTCGAGCCGCTCGACATAAACAGCCAGTATAACGATGGTCCGAGCTATGTACTAGGATATCCTCTCACGTCAACAACCGGGCGACTAACAAGCTTGAATATGGCCCTTTGTGAATGTGCTAGTAAACTTCCCTCCATCGAGCCACGCCGTATAGAGCCAGCAGGAAGTATTCACAATACTCATGTCGCAAGCAACAATAAAAGAGAGGCCGCTCTCTTCGCGCTCGACGAATTATTCTGTGCCACGAACGAATTCATCACTATCATGAAGAGCCTCTGTTCGCAAGCCAATGATAGCGAGATTCCAAATCATCTAACCTGCGCCTCAGCTACAGAATCTAGTCGTCAGGAGATGATGTCCACAGCACACATCGACGAAGCAACCACGCTACTCTTCTTATCCTGCCACTGCCGTCTCGCCGACATCTACGAGTCCATCTTCAAAGGGATACGGCGCTGTCTCTCCGGCTCATACACAGCGACACATTCGATAGCCGGTGTCATCCTGCCCCAGTTGCAGGTTGGTGGCTTCGGAGGTAAGTAGTACGCTCTATACTCCTTTGAAATGAGGGTTTCATACCTCTTTTCCCTGTGCCATTGCTCCCGCGCTCGTCTAGTAGTTACTAACTCTGGCTTTCCCGGGTAGGAGTCAGTTCCCCAGCATTGCGCGTGGACTCCAATGGGCCACCATTATCGCCAGCTAAGATATCCATGTACTTAGTTCTGACCGTGACGCTATCATCACAGTTATGGACGCAAATAAGAGACACAATGAGAAGCTGTAGAGCTTCTTGGGATCAAGTGTCGATGACCGCCGACCGAGAAGTAACCTTAGGTCCGGCGTGGGATATGGCGATGAAGAGGACGAGTAGATTATCACGGGCCATAGAGGTCATCCAAGACGCGTTGTGACAATAGCCGCGTCATCACACTACTAAAATGTATAAAGCATAGGCATTATCGCAATTGATATTAAGCCGTGTATTGTTGTACACGTCAAGTGCCACTTCCCTCAGGGTTAGGTAGCTTCTCTGTATAAGCCTGAAGGGACTCTTCGCTACTCTTCGTATGGCCTGCCTCTTTACTTTCTATGTCGCCAGCTATCTTACTCGGAGTAGCCTCTTTTTCTTGCTCATCTTCCTTGGTAGGAACATCTGAGTTCAGACCCTTGAAATCGTCATCGCTTTCCACATCTTTTCCTTCGTCCCCACTATGAGCGTCATCGATGAGGCTGCTGGCCTTGCTAACACCTGCACTATCCGGACTCTGCACACGTAGGCCAAGGCGTTTCTCCCCGGGATCTTCGTCGTTGTCCCCTTTCCAATCCGCAGCCTGCATCTGAGGTACAGGAGCGTTGATACTAGGTTGCTGAATCGGCGACTCCCGTCCGCCTTCAGGTACGATTGATTTCCACACAACAGCAATTCTGTCGGCTGCGCGGGTCCCTTTCTGGCTGGAGCCTTTGATGCCATCCAGCTTGTCCCATTCGATCTCGAACACACCGGTGTCGTCTGGGACACCGTCTTGTTCCGGGCCATTACCCTCAAAGAAAGTATTGAACCAAACATGAGCAACGGCCGTCACCATGGTGAGGCCTACTGACTTTGGTGCACGGTGGCGCCGCTCAATCGTGATATTCACGTCGTTATTAGGAATTCGTATGCGGAGTTTAGGTTTGAATATGACGGCCATGCCACCGGGCTCCGGTTCGCTGTTGTCAGAATGTACTGAGGAAGAATCAGTGGTAGTCCTCTTATTCTTTGATCGGGTTGACGCCGAACGGGACATTCGAGATATGAGTTTGGGCTTATTCTTTCCAGAGGTCTGTTTGGATGCGGAAGATACTGCAGACGTTGTCGTGGCTTCGTTAGCTGCGCCATCAGGGTTATCGGTCCCCTTTATACCCTGCTGCTCGACGTTAGGGCCTGAGTTGTAGCCTGCCATTTCATACATCATATCTACCATGCTGGAACCACCCGGAGCGTTCCCTTCCACGATCTGGCGTTCCTTCTTCGTAAAAGTGTGGAAGACCTTGATCTTCTTACCCTCCTCTGCGAATCCTTCAACGGCAAGCTTGACGCCATCGCGTAGACCCCACACATGGACTTCGACGATTTCGACCTCGCGATCAACGTACTTCTTGCCTCCTTTGGTCCAACGGTCAACGTAGGTCAGCCACCGAAGTTGGCTTGGGATTGATACGCCTGGGCCGAAGTTTGGTCTCATTCTCCTTTCTGTAAACCTCGCGATTGCAGCCTCAGGTGTCCAACCGCACTCGGCAATGAGATAACTGCATGCCATTGTCCCGCTTCTCCCCTTACCCGCCTTGCAATGCACGACGACAACTCGCTCGTTCTTCTTGTCCTTAATGGCATCCACTACCTTGGCGGCCAGCTTTTTTTCACGTTCAACGCCCTCGGGCGCATCAGCGTCCAAGTCGTTTCCATTCAGCCAGTTGCGCATGCTTGCGAGAATCATAGGAACTAATCGGAATGGTGGGGGGTGATGATCGGGCCAAGGGTAGTGTCTTATTCGGCTGTACACAAGCTCGTCTGGATAACCGGTTCCTTCGGCTCGAAATTCCCATATAGCCCAGTTCTTGCCATGTTGGGAGTCGAGGAAATTGACGAGGCGATCGAGCGGGTTGCGATAGGCGCGTTGCGGGTAGGTCTGTGATGGGCCAGAGCTAGGTCAGCTATGTTAGTATTATGCAATCCATGATCGGGCTCGTGAATATGTCTTGTTCCATACGTTGCAACTATATTGTCGGTCACATAACACAGATCTAGGCCTGCCTCGGGATGTCTGGCACGGGGTCCCGCTACGATCTGCCTCAGGAGAGAAGCCATGGCAACGGAAGGGCCAAGGGCAGGCAGTATCACATAATCCTATGGGGAATATCAGCCGAACCCAGATCGAAACCGAAGCGACTCTTGTTGATTAATATTGTGAGATAAAACGTTGGTTAGTTGATTAAGATTAGGTACATGTTGTATTCTTTACTTTCAGTAGGTAGGATGAAGCAATAGCCGACGATGACGATGACGTGGGGTATGTCAGTAGATACCTACCTGGCTAGGTCCTAGGTAGGTACCTAGCGCGCTATAAAGCTCCCTAGGGTGGCCCTTGCTGGGCGAGCGCGGGGGATCGCTGGGCACCCTATCTAAGTAGGTACCTAGTTCCGTAGATCACGTACGTCATTGAATAAGCCACATCGTAACGGTGAGGCTGGTGCTCTCACGAACGACCTGAGAACGCGGTTCGCGCCAATGCTCGGCTTGTAACTCTTATTCTCTTCATTATCGGTACAGTGTAGTGTTACCGACCCCAGGAATATGGCATATCTCGTCTTCAATGACATGTTCTATTAACCTAACGGAGCGCTCTAACCTGCGACTTGCATTTCCTACCTACCTACTTCAACAACTCTGGCTAAAAGGTAGACAGTATCAAGTTCAATCCCAATATGAACCATGCGTGGCTTTATGGCCGGGTACCACTGCGATGACATCAACAGGTTAGCGGGTTGCTGTCATAATACCGTAGACCGTACTTCGGAAGCATCCTGTGAAGCTTCTGGTATCAAAAGTCTTCAGGCCCTCCCGAGAAAGGAACCCGATTAGACCGAGAACTTGAAAAGCACTCACTGAATGGTTGTTGCCAGTCAACCAGATCGCGGTCAGGGTATTCCCAGTACCTGCCTTGCGTATCCCGTCTCTTCGGGTCCATCCAATACCGGAGCACTTCATCCGGCACTTTGAGTAACACAAGGAGCTGACCAGGTGATCTCGACAACAAGAAACTGGCCAGGAACGCTCGGAATTCAGCGTCCGAGTAGTCCCGGACCACGTGAACAATACGCCCCAACACGATAACCCAGTTGTTGATGTTATCGGCATCCAGCGTACCATGCATGATACGCGCCTCTATAGTCCCCGGCTGGTCATCGCCCCGCGGCGCTCTTTCAGTTGAAATATCCTTCCCCCTGATCCGCCACTTGATGCCCGTTCTGCAGTACTTACTTTCCCCGAGCCCTCTGTGCAGATCAGTGATGCTGTCGTACCGCCAGAGATTTTGTAGGAACTTTTTCTCGACCGTCTCAATGTTCTCTGACGGCACATTCTGCATCAACTCCCCATCATATTGCATTCGCTGACGTGGCGGGTGATTGGCCGGCAACACGTTTGCACAATCTTGCCGCTGTTGCTGGTCAATCGAGAACCTATACACATGAGCCCGTGGACTTGTGAACGTTCAGACAAGATGGTAGGAAACTACCGACAAAGCTTTGGAAGACTTACAGAGCACGCCATAGACGAGAACTTCCACTAATTTTTGCACACCACTTGCAGTGTTTTACAATTAGCCAAGCGGACATCATCGCAAGAGAAACGAAACACGTAATCGAACATGAGTAATTCAACTCCAACACCTCACACATTTTTGGCAAAGACACCGTAGCTTGAAAAATGATATACAGTAGGAAGCTTCAACTCACCAACGTGTCCGCATCACGGTCCCGTCTGTGTAACCGGAGAACGGCCTTCTCTGCCAACAACCAAAGGGCCGCAAACCTCTTAGCCTGCAAGAGCGTCCACCCGTGCGTATGGCCCAGGTGTACATGCAAGCCTGTAGAGACCTCCATGGGCTTGTGACAGCGCAGCGCATCGCGAAGTGCACCACAGGCGACTCTAACAGCCTCATAGGATCGCTCGTCTCCTATGGCAAGCACGGGGCTGACAACCTCGGCTCCAAACCAGAAATACTCGTTCCAAGGGTCCTCACTCGTCGCGTTCGCGTATCTCTCCTTGGTCATACCATTGCCGTCTACCGACAGGTCGATTGTGACGGTCCAAGCCTTGTATTGTCTCTTGAGTCCCGGGACAGGCACATGCAGCGGGTCGGTCTGGTGGTTGCGCCAGTCTTCTCTAGCCTGCTTATAGTAGTACAGCTTGCCTACTAACCTCTCTTTCAGTCTGGCCCAAAGTTCCTGGTGTATGGCTTCTTCGGGATCCGGCCACCCACGCACTGTGAATTTTCTGTCTTCGAGCATGTCCTCGATGTCCTCAGCCCGTGTCCTGTGCTTATTTATATCGTTATCAATGTGGTATTGGTCAAAATCATCGTTCCATTTGGTCACAGCTTCATCCATGTTTTCATCTACGCCTCTAACGAGAACCCAATCGTAGACGCTAGAGAAGTTGACAAGTCGAGAACTATTGGAATAATCGTACTCCCGCTCGTCGTCACTATCTTCGCTTTCGCTGAAGTCGTTGATCAATGCTCCGCGAGCATATTTTTCTTGTGGATTTATGTCTTTCTCGGGCCACTTGATTACTACCAGTCCTCTGTCTCTCAGCACGCGAGTCAATTTCGTCTAAGAGTTCCCATCAGTTAGTTATCAAATCTCACTGTTTAGACGAAACATGCAGTAGCACGCGAAGGCTGCATATGAGTTAGGGAACTATTAACTGATAATCTATCTTACCCTCGAATACCGTGCCCGCCGAAAATCCCCATCCCCACCGAAATCATATCCATCGGCGTAGGCACCGTTACGTCCGCGGAACCATTCGAAAATTTCACCACTCTTTTGTCTTTCTTGCCAATGCTTCAGTGACCATTCCGCCATCTTCTTCGAGGAATACCGGGGTTCGTTTGGGTGTGGATCCGTGATGTGAAATGTTTTTCCATCGTCCTTTTTCGTTTTCGGGCACTGCACCACTAGAAACTCGAGCTCGATTCCGAATGTTGCTGTCCCGGGATCTGGGACGGAACCTTTGATTGCTGTGCCTAATCTAACATGTCAGCTCAACAGCTTCTTACGAGAATTTCATTCCCATAGCCAGAATGTTAGTTACTTGATATTCCAACCCGTCACGACTACAAGACTAGAATCGACCAAACAACGCACCCTTTGTCTCCTCAACCCTAGCCACCTTCCCAATGCCTTCCCCAACGGTCGTTTCGTCTAAATTTTCGTCATCATCCAAGTACCCTGCGTCCTGCATCTCGTAGTCACCATCCTCATCAAACCCACTTGCAAGGGATCTCCTCGCCATACCATCAAAGTCGGCCTCCCATGGTGGATCAGGGAAGATAACACCCTTCGTAGGATAGGGGAAACCCCCTTTAGAAGGATCACTGTGGCCCATAGTTTCGTTGAACCAAATCAGTTCGCAGCTACCAAGAGCTCAAGACAGCCCGACACACGTTGACACCTTAGTTATTCAAATGAATCACTCTATAAGTTATCTTCGCACGCCTTGAAATGAAATTCACCGAAACGAACTCAATCTATCGTCTCAGCATCGACACCATGCGAAATATTCCCCTTATCACAACTCATATCCTTTCCAGCCCTAACACACCCTCACTACCTAACAATCGTTTAATCTCGTTTCAAAGCGGGGACAAAATACAATTCAGATATGCTCTCAAAGAATATCGATGCTTGCGGTTCTGACCCCTTTGTCACCAACACAACCCTCGTACCTCATACCAATTTAGTACCTACAGAGATAAAGGGCCTCGGCTTATTCACCACGTGCAAGAACTCTAATACTTAGGGAGGGAATTACGCGTATGTAAAATTCGTCTGAGTTACCGTATCAGCTTTACCATGTTATGAATATAGTCTATAGAGAAGTGAAACGTATTCATTCGAGTTCTCCGCTCCATAGACTCAGATGCAGAATTGAGACAGCCAGAGCTACCCGTAACTCACTTATATAATCGCAATTTCTAGATATTGTATTCAGGTGGCTTTCAGCAGTTTATATAGGTATCCATTGATACTAAAATGGATGAGTTTAGTATAGCAAAAATAACCCAGGACGGCAGTTTCGACCCAAAAACTAGTGGTATGTCACAGTAGCAGAAAGAAAGAAAAAAAAGGTTCAAAAAAAAATCAAATACTTTAATTGTCCTACACCGACCGTCCACCTAACTCCTGGGATAAACCAGAATCTTATTCCCCCCAGCCCAACAATTTTCCTACCCCTTCCACGAATGACTCCGTATGCCATTACCAACCGTCATTTCTCATTCGCTCCATCGCCTCCTCACCAATGTCCAGCTAAGGCCGAGATTGACCTATAGCCTAAGTCTGATCATCATAGTCTCCTCGGCGCGACCTCAACGCGACTTCACTTTCTGCTTCATTACACCAACATGGTGTGTGATGAGAATAAAATAACGCTTCGGACAAGGCCTTAATGACCCCGTGCTTAAGATGTCTTCTTTGGTACACCGGAGCCGTTCGAGTACTTGCTAAGGTCGGTGGCGGCGTGGAATTGGCGCGCTCCTGACTTGACACCATCCCAGACAGATCGAGCAGCTGGTGGAGTTCCCTGAGCGCCAACCATCGAGTCTACGCGAAGTTCCAATGCGCTGAATGAGTTCTGCACGTGGGCACTCTGAGCGAATCGTGCTCGTAGGAACGCCGTGTACAAACCGAGGAGGATCCAAGAGCGACTCTGGAAGAGCACGGCGGAAAGTAAGATGCGGATCCAGAGGAGGATCTCTAGTCCCGAGACAATAGACATGGAGGCGTCGTAGTAAGTCTTGACGAAGGTGCCGATAGCTTCAGCGAGCGGGTTCGGCTGCGGCTTGGCACCAGCCGAGGCCTTTGCGGGCTGGATGGTCGGGATGACATTGCTGCGCAGGTAGGTGGCAACGTGGAAGACAGAGTAGATTCCGTAAGGCAGTAGCGCAAGGGGATATTGGGGCGCTAGAAGCCATACCAGAGCCATGGCTGTGCGTAGGTAAGCAGCGCGTTAGTAGGGATGCATGGACAGCACAGGCGGTGAGGAGCGAGATAGGGTAAGTCAAAACATACCGAGATACTGCACATTCTCCTCGGCTAGGAGGCCGATGATACCGCCAGAGGGGAATTTGGCTCCGACCTTTTGCCTCGCACGCCACGTCTTGTAAACGACTATGCCGTAGGTCATGGCGGCCGATATAAAAGAGAGGCGGTAGGTAAACCGGGCCCAGCCGCTATAGTAGTTGAAGGTAATGTATGACAGCACATAGCGGACGATGCAGAGCATGAGAACCAGATGCCTATAACACACAATCCAGAATCAGTATCCAGTATTCACTCTCCTGAAACGGTACAGCGACAGCCATGACTATCTGCCTGCAAGGTCGTGATTGATACTGTTGTTGCTGTTGTTGTCGGTGTGGGAGGGGCTCGCGTGAGGGCGGGCAGGCAGGCTAGCTAGGCTGGAACCGGAGTGAGGTAGGGATGCGGCGGGGTCTGTGTTCAGGTAGGTGGCTTGATCGATCTCTCACGTACCCGCTAAACCAAGCAACTGTAGTCGGGGGCGACAAGGTCAGCGACAGGTTTCAGGATGAGTCAGTCCGGGGACAGGTTCGAGGCTGACTTACATTGCAGTGTTTTGGCGAGAGCTAGGATTCTCTCGCCGAGAGGCAAGTTGGCAGGAGGAGGCGGCGCCATGTCGGCTGTGGAATTTGTGTGTGTGCAAGAAACAAAGTATACTATACGACAGGGAGAAAAGAAGAGATTTGATGTACTGGGATCAGATATAATCTAGAGTGGAAAGACGGGCAGGACGGGCTAACAGCCGATGCGCGTGGCGGGTGAAGAAGAAGATGTTGTTCAGAGGTGAAGGGAGAGAGAGGTGGAAAAGGTGAAGCTGGATTGGTGCAGGCAAGAAGCGACGATGATGATAGTGGGCGTCGGCCACTGAAACTACCTAAGTACCTATAGTATGACGCACAGGCAGAGACACAGGCAATGGCACTGCGTGCGTCATACGAGACCGGCTAAGTACCTACTCGTACATTAGCTACTAAGCCAGACGCGGACATCCAAGGTTGAGGTACCTGTCAATACACCACATCAAGTACTGAGCTATAAGTATATGTACACAGGAAGGCAGCTAGCGTTCCTTCTCTCCTCCATCTGTACTCCCAGGCTGTAAAGTACCTATGTACCTAATCATGTAGATAAGGTACTGTATCAAGCTTAGAAGGTTGCTACTACCCACGACAGACAGTTTCTCATATGTCTACTATCAATTTACCTCCGATATAATTTGATCCAGGTGTTATTTTGTATTGATATTTTATATCAGCATTCTGGCTATATGTACCTACTTGATTGGCTGAGTGCGTAGGGCCAGCTCATTTAGGTATCTACTTAAGTAAAGTAAGTCCACCCCACATGTGCAGGTGGTGGTCCTAGCTCCCCATACCTTGTCGTGCCAGCTATACTACCTGCCATCCATCTATATGATAAATCCAGTAGACATAACCTCATCATATATCTCGCCATGTGATTCATTCCGTGTATAAGCCTATACTTTAGATGGCAGATCAAGCTTTAAAACCTGCTATTTGCGTGCAGTTTTCTCTAAATAATCCGAACCTCCGCGTTTGTGTGTATCCAGACCAGCAAGTAATTAAGCCTATTATATCTATAAAAAGATACGATGCCAGATTACCGTGGTTCAACATAAATGAGACCTGTCACAACGCCCATGCGTCAAGACCCATGGCCTTCCAGTAATTTGCTTGCCTTGGTATTTTTTAATTTTAGGATGACATAAATTCATAAATCCGTTAACTACCTCCCTGATTCTTATTCGTAGGTAATCGAATCGTTTTTTTAGATTTCTACAGCTTGATTTATATTCCTCCTCCTCCTCATCATCAAACCATCCCCCTAGACCTAATTTCATAAGCGGCCCTCACCTCTTCATACTCGTCGTCAATTCCCTTGTTCTGAACCCCCAGTCGTCGACAAAGCCATTTCAGTTTCGTGAGATTACAAACCCTCGAAATAAGCGCGTCGGGCTCAGCTGCGAAGAATCCATGAAAGCCTCCCTATTACATCAGCTGGAGTCAGTAGGTAGCTGCTAGGTGAGGAAGGAGCCCGGTTCATCTTTCGGCGAGGAAGCAGGAACAATGAGGCTCGAACCTGCCCAAGTAAGGAGAAATGACTCCAGAGGACTAACCTGCCAGATTTTCATCTCGACCTCAACATCAGCACTACGGAGCATGTTATAGAAATCCACCGCCTCGTCTCTGAAAGGTTCCGCCGTTCCTACATCGATGTAAGATGGGGGGAAACCCTTAACATCCGCCGCCGAGGCCCGAGCCGGAGCCTCAAATATGCTGACGTTTTCCGTTCCCCTACGCGCGCCGAGCGAGGCCTTCCACCCTTCTATTGCATCTTGTGATGTGAACATATTACCTTTCTTAAATTCCTCATGTGACTGTGTGTTGCACCGATCATCGAGCTGAGGTGCTTCCAGGAGCAAACCATGGAGATCACCGAGTGTCCCACAAGAGCCTTCACGCTGTTCGTGGCACCATTTCAGAACTGTCGACGCCGCCACTGCAACGTCCCGGTGTCAGCAACTGCCATTATGTACGGTATTGCCAGCAACTTTTCGCGATTGCACCGGTTTCTTAGGACACCCAAACCAAGCCAAGATATGTCGTCACTGGAGACAACTAGAACCAAAATAGAGCTATTCGAGATGGGACTTACAGCCACCTCCAGCCGAAGTTCCAAAAAGGATAACCTTTTTCCGATCGCCGTATTTTAGAACGGGATCCCCATCCGCGCCGAGATGTTGATAGATCCATGTCAAAGCATCAAAACAATCATTTGTAGGTTCTTCTCCTGTAGGTGACCCGTCCGACTGATTCGGTGATAGGCGATAGTCCACGCTGACTACAATTGCCTGGAAAAGGTTGGTCCACTCCTTGGCTCGCTCAAATAATCCCGAATAAGGGGTGCCTCCATAACGATTGCCACCATGAATGCAGAATATGCAAGGAAGGGTGCCCAACTCGGCGCTCTTGATGGTTTCTTTGTAAGTGATTACGGCCTTGATATTGTCGGCAATGACCTTGGCCTCGATTACAGCGTGGTGATCGGGACCACGACAAGAGGTATTCCTCGGTACTCGTCGAGTTTCGTAACACAGCCCGTACCGATTTTGAACATCTTCGTCCGTAGGCACGTTCATATCACGTCTTTGTCGTTGAGAACGCCAGTCAGACCTTTTTATCATGTGGGCTTTTTCTAACTGATACCACCGACGAGTCTCGGCCTCAGAGCAGCTCCTTAAATCGGGATCGTATGTCTCAATGTGAGGATTCAGGGGCTTTTCTAGGTAAGATATTTCACCTCGAGAAGCCATAGCCATACACTAATACTGTTAGTTCCTGACAAAATATACATTGTGATGGATATCCCATGCCTGTTTGGCCAAGCATAACATCCGCTGATACAAACGCAACCCTGGTTGTCTAGCATCGCGCTGTTGCATCATCGTCTCCATCTTTAGAGCACCTGGTGTATGTTGAAGCGGTAGAGATCGCTCCATATTCCACAGTATCGTCGATCTCATCCAGTAGGGTGGGCTACACAAAGCTTTCCATGCCAGTTATATGGCCTTGAACAACCACTGACTTCATGATTTGTATATGTAAGTTTCAGGATTGACGGCGATAAAGGGGGGAAAATCTAGCTTGCATCAAGCATTCGCACAGACTGTCAAGATTGTGGCGAGATTTTTGATACTTGCAACAATGTGTTGCGTTACTATGTTGATAGTGGTTGTGCCTCGGACTCACTCCTGTCTTTGGCTGGGATAAGTATTCGTGGGCGCGTTAGGCACTAGAGCTGAATGCCTCAACTTATACGCTAACATGTAAAACACGCAACCGGCAGTGAAGGAAGGACCTTGGCCTGGCGGTAAGGGTCTCTACTAGCAGCCAACAGGCAAGGGCTGGTTGGTTACTATTTCGGCTCCTTTCCAATAGTCCAGTATTACAACCCGATTGTAACGTCCCTAATCCTGGCGTTCGGGTTATACAGAATAGGGCAACTAGCAACTTAGCCGCAACCGGCTGAAACGCAAGGTCAGGGACCAGCTACTGAAGTTCTCTATGGTAACCCAGGTTCAGCTAGATTTGTTGGCTCGGCATGTGTAAGTATGTTGGTGTCGGAATAATCTACAACATCTCGCGTGTGAGCGGTGAAGTAAAGTTGGGTGAGGTAACTGCCTCTATATATGATTATCTGCCGCTTGTACACGATACTACCCGCGAGCCACCAAAAGACGATGTTTCCCCCCGACGAGAATTTATCAACTTCCCTTTACGTCATAACCCCGAATCTATTCAGCATTTGTAGCAGCTGCCAAAATCGGGATGGGGAAAGCATATCACTGGGGAACGAGGATCAGTGCCCTTACCTGTTTTGCCGTTGGTCACGGAAGAGGTAAAACACGGCCCCCTCCCCCTCATGGTGATGGTCAAATTTGTAAGACAGAGATGTACGGAGCAATGGAAACATGGATAACAGCACCATCGGGAAAACCTAGTCTGTGACCAAGATCCCCCGTGATCACGTTGCATACTAAGCTGACAAAGTGATCGGGATCAGGGGTTGAAGCTATCTTATTCAAAGTATTGGTTTGTCATATGAGGCTAGATGGCTATATTATTCCAAAGACTTGCGCTGTCTATTTCACGGCTGAAATACGTCTAGATTCTAGCGCGACGCCTCGAGTAGTACACGACTTCTTGAAGGCTTGCCAGGTGGTCGATGTGAACTTCAGGAGACGTCTAGAAGTAACATGGCGACGTTAAATATAAGGCAAGAGAGCTTCGATCTTAGCGCCGAGATGCGACAACGAGTTGAGCAAATATCTCAACTTCCACTGGGATCGCTCAGACAGGACTTCGAGTTGTTAGCCAACCGCTTAAGATACCCCTGTTCTTCCCTGTGGCCGGTAAACAGGGAACGCCGTACCTACCTACACGCTCTTGCAGAGTCCCAGGACTTGGGGACTTCGTGATCGCCGAAAGTAAAGCCTTAAAAGGATTTGCACCCATCAGCTTTTGGGATCGAATCAAAGAAGCGCTCAGCAGATCCTTGCGATTTCACCCAAGTGCCCCTCCTCTCTTCCATCGAATCGTCCATTGATAAAAAGACAAAGCTCCACCACCATGAGGCACCTATCAGCGCCTAACTAGGTCGGATGCCTCCCGATAGGGTTTCATTCGTCTGACTGCCGATAAACACAGCAAATCAGTCATGGATGAGAGTGAGGCCCGTCCTTCTATCTAAGCACCGGCATTCGGCATAGACACGTTCATACCGCCAAGCTTGCCAGAACGTGCGTGTAAACGCCTGACGCGTTGCGGGGCTTCTGGCCATCTTTATCCATGACCCTAGCAACTGTCATCGGGTATACCCGCAATAGGTATCGTCTCTCAAGGCCGGCATGTCCAGGCATCGTGAGATTTTTCCAAGGCGGAAACTAAAAAGTGGCGGGCGCTAACGCGCACCAATGCCATCCGTAATGGCGTCGCCTGAAGTTTTAAAATCCGGTGACATACCAAGAAAGTCGCTAGTGACGCGAGGCACAGATGGCAGGCGGGCACCCTTGGAAGCGCACGGATTATTCCCCTTTTTTGCACAAATTTCGGTTAAGCATGGGCGCATCATCCTACATCAAACAAAACGCGATGAAAAAAATAATAATAATAAGGGTTGGTCATATGTTTTCTACGGGTACCGTGTCTGCCGGTTTCGCGTTTCTCACTGGTATATCTGCTTTCAATGTTGAGATCATATACGTGATACCGAAAAACGTGGTCTATGACACACAAGATAAATGTCACCTCAAGGACCTGGGTCATCGGAAAATTTTAAGAGAAAGCAACGTAGCATTGAGAATATCATGCGAATCATAAGCAAGGAATCATTAAGTTAATTGCCCATGACTGCATGAGAGCGACCTAGACCTCTGATAGATGGTTCTGTCTACTGGGCCAGATGTTACAATGGCCGATTACGAATGAACGTGACTGCTATCTATTGGAGGGGCTGTAGACAACGGTCCAATAGCGAGACATACTCAAAGTGATAACTGATACTGGTTGTGAACCTTCTGACCACAAAGCAATTCTGCCATCCGTAGCAAAAGTACGGCTAATTTAGCCGTTCTATTTCATTTTGCATACAGCTAACACGAAAAGAGGATTGAACGGGTCATTCATCAATTCAAAAAGAAAAATCAATAATGAATGAATAGCTCCTTGCCCTTCACCTCGACACTACTATCCTCACTCATTACCGAGCAAACTTTCCGCCATCGATCCCGAAACCAATTATTCACATTGTACTCTAAGAGATCATTCTACAGAACAGTATTTACCTTAAACTTTTAACAGTGGCATTTAGAGAGTGAGCTTTGCCCTAGCTTTGGCCCATTCACCAACATATACCCAGAAACTCGGAACCTGTGAGACACCACGTAACTTCTTGCTCATTGCAATATAAGTAAAGGCTAATTTTCTCTAAAAATACAAAGACACCCAAAGACGCATTAGTCGAGTCTAGTACGTACATGAAGCGGCCAAGGAGCTAAAGTATTACATTTGTACCTCTCACTCAACCACCATTGATTGGCTACGGAAAAGAAGCTTCGAAAATGAAAAGTCTTCTGCTTTAAACGGTAAGCCTATGTGACCAACGGGCCCCTGACAATTATCTCGAGTGCCACATAAGCACAACAATTTTTGTAATGGGTTTATGTTTAAGGACCGATCCTGATAATACTAGACTACGTTGAAAAGACGTTTGTCCACTACTCAGTTTTGGTGTCATCAAAATAAGAGTCAACATCTGATATGAGCAGATGTTTTCATAATTTTATGATCATAAGGACTTTCTTCAAATGGCCGCTTGAAAGCTTGGCATAGACCCGAACTTCACATACCCATTAAAGCTGTGTAATTCCTATCCATAGTAAACATTGCATAAATCGTTATCTGGTTCCCTAGACTGAAGGGGCGGCTCACTCCTTCCAATTCCACCTCCTCGCAATCCATCTAACGACATAAACCAGCCCTAACAGCACAGGTACTTCGATCAAGGGACCAACAGTAGAAGCAAGAGCCTGGTCACTGAACGGGCCGTACACGGCCACGGCCACGGCAATAGCCAGCTCGAAGTTGTTACTAGCAGCCGTGAAGCTTTGTGTAGTACCCAGTCTATACCCGAAGCCAGCCCGATGCGTCGCCCACAGCGTGAGGAAGAACACGATGACGAAATACAGCACGAGCGGGACGGCAACGCGCACAACAGACACGATCTGATGAACGACTTGCTGGCCCTGGTACGCGAAGAGCACGACAATGGTATACAGCAAACCAATAAGAGACCAAGGCGCCAAAAACCGGAGGAACACATCCTGGTACCACGTCGCGCCAGCGACCTTGCGCAGACCGAAGCGCGTGATGACGGCAGCGCCGAAGGGGATTCCGAGGAAGACGGCCACACTGGTCGCGACGACTTCATAGGGCACATCCAGGTCTCCAGACTGGCGGCTAATGACGCGGATAAAGAAGACGGCAAGGGGCGCGAAGAGGACGATTTGAAGAATCGAGTTGATGGCCACAAGGATCGCGCAGTATTCCCCGTCGCCACCAGCTAGTTCCGTCCATATCAAGACCTGCCGATGGATGTGTGTGAGAAATGCTTAACAGGAATTAAATAAACGACAGGGGCTGGTCTGCTCTTTCAGCGAAAGTTCTTACCATGGCGATACATCGGCCCAGGCCAACGAGAATCAAGCCTGCTCGGAGATCTGGCTGGTCAGGCAGGGTAGCCCACGCGAGCGCCAGCTATAATAAGAAGAGTTAACATAGGTAGCAGTTTCTCGATAAGCTCAGCTTCTTCTAACTTCCGCATTCATAGCGGATGGAAAACAGCTGAGAAGTAACATCTCATATTCGAAAAAAAAAAAGGGGGGGAGCATGCAGACTTACCATGAGAAAAGGCGCCACGATCCAGTTCACAAACACACTAAACCCTATCTGCTTCCAGATACCCCGGTGCGCAAAGACCTCGCCGAGCGTCTCGAAGCGCACCTTGCAGAGAATCGGATACATCATGACGAGCAGTCCGACGGCTATCGGCACCGAAACTCCGACGAACCTGCCCCGGTCCAGTGCGGCCGCCGTACCTGGCGCGAAGTTCCCCAGGAGTATGCCCAGTACTATCGCGAGGAGGATCCAGACGGCGAGGAATCTGTCTAGGTAGCCGAGGGACTTGAAGGCCGACGGCTTCCCGACGGCCGGGGGGGAGTTCTCCGAGGCGTTATCCTGGCTCTCGGGGTCAGGCATGTCCGTGTTGAATCTGCTTGGCTTTTCGTGGTCTGTCTGAGTTACGTCCAGTCGAACTGTGTGTAGATGGAGATCAGGATTCTCCTTGCTAGCCATTGTAGTATAAAGCCGCTGAAGGAAGTGTGGTATTTGAGGTCGTTGCGTCTCCGAGGCGATGGGATATTGCCAAGCACTACGTTAGAATTACAATATAGAATCGGTCGTGTCCGAGTTTATATATTGTCATTGAGCACGAACAATGTTATGGAAAGAGACTGCAAGATTTACGACATGAAGTTTCGTACCATGGTGACTTATAGCAAGATATATATATACTTATACACTTATAGAGTATGTCTACTAGTGGCGGACAACTCAAGTGACAGGTCCCTAGACATCTCTAGCCAATCAAAGGCGGGGCATGACACACTCACTCACGACGGTTTTTCACCGCCAAGCAGTGATGATATCTGCAGCACAGAACTCGCCCATGGTCCAGGCAATACAAGTCCCAAATCCCTCGCACTAAATGTTGTCTTCTAAGTGGAATATATTTCTTATATAATAGTAGGTAGGTATTGAAGGTATGCAAAACGAGGATAGGACGCTGTACCTTACACATTGGCCCCACCCATGATGTCTGTGTATCTAGGTTTTGAAATAGACCGTGGTTCATGAACCCCCCGCCACTGCTGATATTACGTCCGTCTCCTAAGTAACTTTTAGATATATAATAAAATGTGATAAAGAAAAAAGAAAAAAAATTGGTTGCATCTCTTTGATTAAGCGTGTCATCCTTAGTGCAGGGGCCATGCTAATCTTCTCTGTCTATAGAGTTGGTTAGTACAAGGATCGAACAGGCGTCGTTGGAGAAAGTTCTTACATCGTTTCAAATTGACCAAATGCCCGAAGGCAAGATTCTGCCCCATTACTTAGTACTATAACCCACTCCTTGCTGCTCCATTCAATTGCTGATACCAACCAATTAGTAGTTGCGACCAGGGAATGCTGGTGTTGTATGTTTTACCTTTTCTTTCTCTCTTTTTTTTCTTCCCTCTTGCTAAATGAAGCCATATCAGTGACTTCTCGTGCGATTGTAATTTAGATATTTACTGTGAAATGTGCCTTTAAGGTCACGAACGAGCGCACCCTGTATAGACTACATATGTATATAGCCGCCTTCTCTCTCATGTACTAACACCATGAAAACAGAGAGCAAACCCGCTCTCAGGAACGAAGCTCCGTATAATTAACTCAATCTTCATTCCATCAACTGAAATAACCGCGTATTCTTAACATGACACCTCGCAACATCTTCTCCGTCCCCGCAAAGCGCCTCTTTCACACGGGACACATCGCCGTGGCCCTGGAATCCCGCGATAATGCTCGCGGCAGCCTCGCACGACGTGCTGAGCGCGCGCTCCGCATCGTCGACGGTGGCCAACCCCTCTTCTCTCACAATATCGCGAACCGCTTTCTTTCCTTCTTCTTCTTCTTCTCCTGAAGAATTATCCCTCCCAGCTTCCTCTCGGGAAACCATACACACAGCACCCTCATCTCCCTCCTCCCTACACCCTCTCAAGAACCCATCGACCTCCTCTCTCCCCACCCCCTTCATACGAAGCAATTCCCTTAACCGCTCGTTCGTCCACGCGACCTCGCGCGCGACAGCCTGCATCTCGAGCGTGGCCCTCATCTCCCTGCTCTCGTAATCGCGCACTTTCTCCTCGAGGCGCGCGACGTACGCCTTGCGCCGCGCCCGCGAGCGCTGTTGGTTCTCGCGGTTCTGCGCCGGGTCTGCGGGGACTCTGACCTATTTGTCTTTACTTTTTAGTCGTTCTTTCTTTCTTGTTTCGCTATGTATATAACGAAGAGAAGGTAAAAAGAAGAAAGAATATAAAAAATAGAAGCTGCGCTTTCTTAGTATGATATGATATGGGATGATCGGCTTACCTTTCGCGGCATGTTGAAACTATTCAGTATCAAGGAAGAAAGGCCTTAGTTATCTAAGTATAAGAGAGCATGATTTCTTTTCAGGAAACTGCAAGGCAAGGACGCTTCTCGTTCATGCAATTCAGCAATGATTGCAAGTACTTCTAATATCTGTGAGATATAATGATTCGATTAGAGTTCGAAATCTGGTATCTGACCCATGACTCTATGAGAAGTTGAGTGGCAATGTTAGACAGCCTGCTAACCCAGGCATGGGATACAAAGATAGGAACAGTGCTCATTATATAGTGGCACTGTATCAGACTACTGTACGCAATATGCTAGAATGTTTTACCTAACCAAGTAGCAAGAGACCACCATTCTTCGTTATCAAGTACAGGCCAATGGTATTTTCATGATATTCAAATGACAGTGATACATCGAGCCAGAAAGTAAAACTCTATCCGCAACACCTATAACACCTCTATCTCTGCAGTGCCCGGCCCTAACAATTACCACGCAGCCATAGCGGAGATGACCTAATCTGAAATGCGAATGGGTATCTTCTTGGAAAAACGCCGTTTCATCCATGCGATTGAGGGACCTCCGATTGGATTTGAAAAAAAAAAAAACCTGATACCATGCCAAGTAGGAGTGCAATCATCAAAACTGAAAACAGTAACGGTGAGAATGATCTGCCAAATATATGTGCTGTGAGCTTTTAATAGAAACCTCCCCCGCCACCGCCGCGACCACGACCACGATGGTCATGGCGATTCCGTGGGTTCCATCCGGGTTCATGCCCGCCTCTACCGCGGCCGCGGCCGCGACCGTGCCCCCGGTGCCCGCGAGAGCCCCGTGGTTCGCGGGGAGGAGCACGAGGTTCAGGCCCAAGATCGCCACGTGGCTCTCGAGGAGGAGCGCGCGGTTCCGGGCCCAGATCGGTGCGACGCCGACTATCGCGCTCTGGAATCGGCTCCTCGATTTCCTCCTCCCACTCATCCCACTCGTCCTTTGTATACTCATCATAAGCTGCTCGCTCTCGACCAACCTCGTAAGCATCGAACAGGAAGCGGTAAGTCCCATCGTATCCCTTAGATCCACGCTTAATGGTGCTGTTCGTTCCCAAGGGGCTTGCCGGTGAAGTAGCCGATGCGTCATATGATGGAGTCGTAAATCCTTCACGCTCGCATTCGCTGCAGTATTTTTGGTAGCGAGGAACCTGGGCAGCCTCCATGCGCTGGTTGACTCTGATCTTGACATCGATAAAGACCTGGGGGTTAGTCTGTTTTCCGAGGAGCGTTGAACGATAATTATCTGTGTAGAGGTCGAGGACATCAAGCATGACCTCGGCCACCCACTCTTCATAGGTGTAATATTCGGCGGGATCTAGGTTGACGAATGTGTCCTCGGATAGCCCCGTAATGAGAGCTGTGAGCCTGGCAACAGCAAAGGCGCAGGTGAAGGTAGTATATTTGAGCGGGGCGAAAGTCTTGTACATGTCAGTGCCAACCTTCCATGCCTCGACGAAGAACTCGGATGCAATCCTATCCGAGCCAAGAACTGCCTTGACAATCTTTGCGAGTATCTTGAACGGATTGCGGACCTGGAAGTCGAATCTCAAGGTCTCAATAACTTGGCGCTCCAGGCCTATCAGCATCTTGGAGCCTTGGTCAAAAAGCTATGGAGGGAAAGTTAGGGCCATCGGGACGATATGGAGGTGTGAGAGCTTACTTGCCTTGTCATCCGGTGTAGTCATGCGATCCGGGTTCTTGATGTTGTGATTAGCACATAAGATTTCCCGGGATTTCTTGAGCGTGTCCTCCGATTTGCAAGCCACGAAGAGGCAGGTCAGTGCCGCATCAGCCCATTGATACTCCTTAGGATCAAATGCAAGGCGGAACCGGTGATAGTAGCCGCAGGCAGCCATGTATGTGATGATGGGACTACAATTTGACGGTCAGCTGGCCTGTGAAGGAAAGTGATATGAAGCACAATCGGTCAAAGCGACGCGATGTGAGTGAGCTGCTGGAGAAGGGATCGGGACAGTGCTGGGAACAGGGAACGAACGCACAGCCGTAGAAAATTCCGAACATCGTCAATGAGCTGAACACCCTGAAGACGTGCGGCCGCGTCTCTAGAAAGGTCCATGTCCAGGCTTGCCAGCTTGCGACGGATGGTGCTCTCATGCAAATATGGGCGGCCAGATTTGATGACACCGATTGACGGGCCGATGGAGACATTCGAGCCATTGCCATTGCCATTGCCATTGCCATTGCCATTGCCATTGCCATTGCCATTGCCATTGCCGGTGCTGGGTGCATCAGCATCGGACGCGTCCTCCATCAGCGTGTCGGTAAGAGCCATGCTGTTTGTTGCTAGTGTCCAGCAGCAAGCCGGGTGTTATTTCGTGGGTATCAGATGAAGGAGAGAGGCGATGAGCTGTGCTTTTTCAAAGCACGGAGGCTGTCAATGTCGGCGATGGCCTGGTTACAAGGATGTAGCTGGTTAGGTAGATACTACCTAGTTATAGTGTTAGGCCCTTTGCATAAACCGGGGTTTAGCTGAACGACCACCCCCATCAATGTGCCAGCCTCCAGCTTCGGGAAATCTCACACCTCATACGCGATATCTCGGCCCTGGAAAAGTCAGCGCGTGGTGCTATGAAGCAAGACTTATTCTGCAACAAAAACCAGGTGAATCGTCTTGCAGAAATGAGGTGTAAACGGAGACTTCCAAAGTTTCAAATCAACTTGCCCAAGTACCTTGCCCATGTGTAGAAATATAGAAGTAGGTAGATACCGCCTCCATACAATGCGGCGGCTCCGGGTCGAGATTCAATACTACACCGAAGATCCAGTAAGTAGAAGTGATGTTGATTATTCGTTTTAGAATACAGGTTTATTCGCAGGGCTGTTCATTTACCTACCTAATGGGTAGTATCTGTGAACTTGATGAGATGCATCGAGTAAGCGGGCGGGTGCCTGAAACAGCTGAGCTCGGCAAAGTAACCACCTACCTACATGCTACCTCAGCACATCCATCCAACTCAACCTTGAACATCTATATACCTACCTATAAAAACCATCAGACGGGAAGATCCAACGATTTCAATCCCCAATAGCACCTATTCCACTCTTTTTGTTGTTGTAAAGCTGATTTCCCAGGAAATCCGAGCACCAAAATGCATTATTCCCTCCGAGCTCTCCCATTCCTAGCAACGCTGACGCAGTTCCTCTCCGCAACCGCCGAACCAGCAGCAGCCCAGCAACACATTCTCCCCGCCGCCGAAGACAATGACGATACGCCGCTGCCCGTGGTGATCTGGCACGGTCTAGGCGACAGCTACACAGCTGAGGGGATGCAACAAGTCGGCTCGCTCATCGAGGCCTCGAACCCCGGCACCTTCGTGTACTTCGTGCGTCTTGACGACAGCGGCGAAGGCGACCGACGCTCGACCTTCTACGGCAACGTAACAGAGCAGCTGTCCAAAGTCTGCTCGGACCTAGCCTCGCACCCGATCCTCTCGACGGCGCCCGCCATCGACGCCGTCGGCTTCTCTCAGGGCGGCCAGTTTCTCCGCGGCTACGTGGAGCGGTGCAACTTTCCGCCCGTGCGCAACCTCGTGACCTTCGGGTCGCAGCACAACGGCATCGTCGACTACCGCGCGTGCACGAGCAGCGACTGGCTGTGCCGCGGCGCCATGGCGCTGCTCCACAGCAACACGTGGACGTCGTTCGTGCAGTCGCGCCTCGTGCCCGCGCAGTACTTCCGGGACCCGGCGGACCTCGACAGCTACCTCGCGTACTCGAACTTCCTCGCCGACATCAACAACGAGCGCGCGCTCAAGAACGCGACGTACGCGGCCCACATCGCGGCCCTCGAGAACTTCGTCATGTACATGTTCGAGGACGACACCACCGTCATCCCCAAGGAGACGGGCTGGTTCGAGGACGTCGAGGACGGCGCGAGCACGCCCCTGCGCGCTCGCAAGATGTACCAGGAGGACTGGATCGGTCTGCGCGCTCTTGATAGGAAGGGCGGGCTGAAGTTCAAGACTACGCCGGGCGAGCACATGCAGCTGTCCGACAGTGTGCTAACTGAGGTGTTCAACGAGTTCTTTGGTCCCTACAAGACTTCATCTAAGGAGTCCAATGTCGTGGGAGAATTGTAAAAACATCACGTACAACAAAGTTGTCATTCTAGGCGTTTCTGGTGTTCGGATACTGTCGCAATATATATATATATATATATATATATATATATATAATACCATCTATATAACGGCGTGAGGGGCCATTTCATCTGAACTCGTGCGTCGACCTACTATATCGCTTAGATTATCTAGGTGATTTGCTAACCTACTGGTTCACATGTGCTTGATTAGGCTGACTGTCGACGCTCCTGAGCAAATTTGATATATTTATCGGGTTAGACGCCCTCATATTGAAAGCGACAAACAAAAGTCCACGGTAACGTGGTCTACCCTCATGTATAACTTGAAGCGTATTGCAATCCCGTCAAAACTCCAAACTCCACCATGCTGTAGATGAGATACAGAGGTTTTGCCAAGGCGGCTACATCATGCGTCCAGAGCCTTCTTAGCGGCTTTCTTTTGTTTCTTCAGGGCGGCCTTGCGTTCCGCAATCTCCTTATCAAGTTTGTCATCGTTGCTCTCTGGCAGCTTGGCCTGCTTTGTTTTCTTGGACTTCTTCGAAACGGGCTCGGCCTCCTCAACAGCACCCTCCAACGATTTGCGTTTCTTGCCGATGTTTGCCTTTTCAGCTGCTAGCAGAGCCTTGGCTTGCTCCGAGTCATCACCTACAACATCTGTTTCTTTACTCAACCAAAGCTCATCTGTCAAGTAGATAGGCAAAGCAACGGTCGTGGGTCCTTTGAAAATATTAGCAAAGTAATTGTCAACCTTGGCGGAATATGATCTTACCCTTCAAGTAGATACTCTGGTCGAGGAGTTTAGGTTAGCCAATGCTTATCGCATATACTGCAAGAAAATCCCCAGCGTATTTCCTAATCGAGACATAATAAATGGACAATACACATACCCTGACATTTTTCTTTCCTCCAGGGATAAGCTTATTAACCATGACCTGAGCATCAATTAGTACAAGGCAAATGTAACATGGAGCCTAAGAACTCACATTAACAACTTTCTCGGCATTCGCGGCCAATTCTTCTGCTTTCCATGAAGCATAACCAATCTTCACAGCATGATTCGTTGAAGGAGACAGGTTGACAAGAGCCGCTGCTACCTATTCGACAGGGTCAGTTTCAATTCAGGAATAGCTATTATCATGAGGCGACACTTACGGCTCGGTTGATCTCTCCAGCTAGCTGAACTGATGTGCACGAGTTTACTTCACCTTTCGTGGGTTTGACACGCTTGCCAGCGGACTAAAAGAACACGTTAACCGACTCGTTTCTACTTTGATTCATCGATAATTGTTTCCATATCGCTACGTACTTTCGGTATCCGAGCCTGAATCTCAATTGGGATGGGTCTCTTCCTAGGAACGTAGTTAGCAATGCCGATTTGGCCCAAAAACAACAAGTATATCAAGTCTCCGTTCAGAACGAGGCGGCGGGTGAAGGTTTGATCGAGAATAGACGCAAGGCTTACTTCTGGCTTTTATAGAAAGTCTTTCCTAATACTAAAACATTGACTGTTAGTAATTTCCTTTCAAAATCTAAAGTGCTCATGCCGGACCACAATATCCGATAATGAGAAAACCATGAAATAGGCGTGGCCAATATATGGTCAAACAGGAAGCGGTTAGTTTGACTTACAACCGGGGAGACGATTTATGATGCGTCTTGAACGATTGATTAGTCTCGCCGTTCATCACGAGAGAAGCATCAAACTCACGTATCGGCCACTACAATAGTCAGTGGTCAGTACTTTCTCCCAAGCAATGGTATATATTTCTGCTTACAAAATATGTCATGCTCAGCATATAGCGCCCTCTGGTTTTCATCTGCAAAGCCAAATAAGCAAAGGCTTATGTACCAACTGTAAGAGGGGTCTTACACGCTGTGAACTTTTTCTTGAGCTTGCCGAAATCAATGACTCTCGATACATTCTTGCGAAGGTCGTTGGGGAACTCGGAGTCGGCTACAAGGTTTTTGTAGTGGCGTTGGGGCTTCTTCGGGTCAACAACACATCCAAAATCCAAGAACGAGGAATATCATAGGCCTAGGCACGACTAACATCGGCAACGATCAAGCAGATTCCTTTCTCGGGGTCGGTCTCAATGGGATGCGGGGTGGGAATTTTGGTGGCTGAATTCATCGTTAACGAACGAGTGCACGGGTGAAGACAGGCTCTCCAGATTGTAGGACTCACGCTTGAGGTTTCGTGATTCGGTGAGATGACGCTTGGTGGTGAAAGTGACGAAGACCGGGGTCTCGGCGAGGGAGCCAACGTCGTCGTCGTCTGCGAGCAGCTCTTTCTTCTCCGAGGTGGCGGCCTTCTTCTCGGCTTCACTCTTCATGTGGGCAACCAGAGCTTTGGAAGCACGCAGAGTCTTCTCTGGCTCGAGAAGCGAAGCAGCAGCATCACTCCGAAGAGTGACTTTGGAAGTCGCCATAGCGGTTGCTTTGGTTCGAAGCTGGTCGCGAAGCTGTCAATTGACTGGCCTATCGAAGCTGGAGGCGAGCAGACAAGGAGAATTAGCAATCGGTGTTGGATGTCGGCGAACACGTCGGGCTCACGGAATCGAATGCTGACTGAGAGCTTGGTCTTTCTCCTTAAGGTTATCCCCAAGTTTGAGGATGGCGCATCGCGACTCGAACTTTATTTTGTTCTAAGGCTGCTTGCTAGCTCTCCTGCAACCAAAATTTCTTATCGATATCGTATCTTATCGCCAATACTTAATGCCTACTTAGGTTAGTGCGCTAACTCATATACATATAAATAAGCTCACTAAGTAGATCTATTAAGTTCAAACAGTGAAGTACAGAAAGAAATACACCCAATCAGCTCGGCCAATTTATCATACCAGCAACCAGATTCGGAAACCATTTGAAGCTATCGTGAGTGGCTGAGGAACACATGCATGTCTGGGTTTGAACTACCAGAGGTATGGATAGATAGACTGAGTCACTCAGTTAGGTACTTAGTAGATGATATGTAGATCTACTATGTATGCACATCACAACATCACAACTTGGGTGAGACCTTGGAGTGCATCTCGTAAATCCCCTGCTCGAATAACCCCTGTAGCTCTCCTACCTTCGCATCGCCCGGAGGATACAACTGCCCCGCATAAAGTCCACATAGCGATGATGTCCTGTCCACAAACTGAAAAGGACCGAGTGAGTCAGTCAGTTAGCTCCTTCAGTAGAACCAAGAACACCAAGAGAAGATGGGAATACTGACCCATGCTAGATTTGGTAGACCTGTCCAAGTCATCGATCCTGCTCTTCTGCCGCCTGGAACATCCCCCTCGTTGACGATGCCTCCCAGAGCCCAGTTCTTCGTCACTGTGGCCGGGATGTTTCCCATCCCTATCCGGGCCTCTTCCACTGCCACGAGTCTGTTCAGGGCCGCTTTGGCCTTCTCGCTGAGGCAAGGCCTGAAGAACTCATCTACGCCTTTCGTACTAAGTAACCTCTGATCCTCGTCGGTTGTGAGAATGCCCTTGATGATCTTCAGGTAATCCGTAGGGGTGGCGAACAGTCCCAGGCCACCAAAACAGCCACCCCTTTCGTTGTATTGTGCCCTCGCGTTGCTACGGATCACCTTGGCCGGGTTCGCGGGGTCTCGCTTGCTCATATCCGCTACCCTGGCTCGTAGATCTGGCCGCGTGTACAAGTGACTTGAGAATACGATATCGCGGGCCCCGACCTTGCTAAAGATGTTCTCTTCGAAATACCGTTGTAAGCTGATGCCCCCGTTCACACGCTCAACCGCGACACCAGCCCAATCCACCCCCGCGCCGTAGCACCATGAGTCACCAGGCTCGAAGACAAGCGGGTAGCCGTACCGCCCTTCGACGGCGTTGCACCGGTTAGGTGCCGTGCGATGCCACTGATGCCACTTTAATAACTTCGGGTGAGTCTCGTCGTATGCGATCCCCGAAGAATGGTTGAGCATGTGGCGCAATGTGATGGGCTTCGAATGCGGCTCTAGGACAGGACTGCCATCCTTATTGAAACGCTTGATTATAGGCAACCCGCGAAACTCAGGCAGCACATCGTAGATTGGCCCATCTAGCGTCAGAAGGCCGCGCTCGCAGCATTGTAAAGCTGCCAGCGCTGTCACAACCTTGGTGCAAGAGGCAATCCACATAACAGTGTCAAGCTGGAGGGGTGATTGATCTGCACCGGCGCGCACAGATCGTTTACCGAAGGCCTTCCCATACTTGAACTTCCCTAAGAGTCGTCAATTCATGCTTACAGCTAGCTGATGATGATGATGATGTCCTCAGCATCAGATAGGTGACCTGATAGAGCTTACCGGACTTATCAGTGGCCAAGAGCACCACACCTGGAATCTCTTCCGCGGCGCTTGCGGCCTCGACAGCCTGCTCGAAAGGCTTCATACTTATATTAACTACTAAATCCAGGTGCCGATATACTTGAGACTTTACTGTCTTTCCTCGTCTGTCGTCTTTATCTACCTAAGTATCTCCTGTACATACTCGGAAATCGCAAAGCTTGGCATTCGTGGGGAAGATGGGGAAAGCCTCGGCACTCGTCTGCTTTAGGCAACCTTCCTGTTGTCTCAATACAGTAGTGTAGATTTTATCGGCAGTACAAACTGCGACAAGTTCGCTTCAATTCAAATCCAAGTTGACTTGACTACATGTACATAGTAATATCAGATACTATTCTGACGATACATCGCAACAATCTTGTAGTGTCCAGATCCAAATCCATGTGCTTTTAAGTCGCCTACACTTGTCAATAGTTTCAGGACAGGGGGTTGAGGACGACTACGTAAGCAGGCTCGAATAGGTACCTAGTACAATCCCCGTCGATCTCAAGTCAAACATTGAAATACAACTCAGTGCCTACTTACATAATACAACTATCTAAGCCTCTTATTGCCAACCTCTTAAGCCCTCGGCCCTGTCCAGCATGTACAACTTTCATGCACTTTTATACGATATCTAGCTAACTCAGCCCATACATCAAGCTAATTGGCAAGCAATTCTCACATAATACAGATATACGTATGATCCGGGTCTAGATCGCCCCTATGCTGCCTGAAGGGAAAGGATCCCATAGGCTGAGACGATATCTTTGTGGGAATCTTTTTCATCCGCCACAAACGGACGGCTCCAAATGAATCCTAGTGGATCAAGGCATTATGCGTACACACACGTATGATGGTTGCTATTGCCGGATGACTGATCAGATATCAACCACAGACTACTGCTGTAGGCCTGACTGCATAAAACTGGGGGAAGCTGCCTAGATGTGGATTTTCTAAGGCGGGTTTCTATTTAGCTACAGTAGTTCACTTACAAGCGCTGACATGGGGTTCACACGTATCAGCATTTACCAAAGAAGGTATTAGGTATAAGTCCAAGCGCTCGACCTCTCACCGTGACTATATCTCTAGGTACTTCGTAATCTATCATGATATACAGAGGCTCGGCGCTTGGTAGTTTCGATCCTTTATCCAAACGCATGAGTTGCCACTTAAGGATCGCCTGTTGACGAGGTGCAATTGGACAAAGCCTAGATCTGAACCCCTGCTTCTGCCCTGCTCCATAACCCGGCAATGACTCAAGTTTCCCAATACGGTAAACTACTATATACAGACAAACATGTAGATATCGTATGGAGCGTGTGTACGTGAGGCTGCCTTGTGTTTGCCTTGCCAGACTCCAATGTAGTGAAACATGGTTTGCATAGAAGCCGATCAACGATTGACTACGAGATACTTATATAAACGATGCCTGCTGAACCTGTAGAACATGTTTCCCACGATATCAACCCCTCATTAATGTGTGTGCTCTCCCTATCGACGAGCTACCACATAACTAGCCATACATTCTATCAACCATTGTACTCAGTTACACAGTAGAAATCCATCATGGCTAGACCAAGCAGAAGGGCCGGAAGGGGTGGAAGGGGACAGCCCGGAGGCCAACGCGCAACTCACCATCACGACCCAGCTATCCTAGCAGCTCAGAAGGAAGCAGAGCGGCGTGAGCAGATCATCGCTGACACCCGCCGTACGGCATCTAAATGGCGACCCAAGATCCCCGAAGTGCGAAAGTGCAACTTCGAGAACTTCAAGAACCGGTACCATGGCCTTGAAGAGAGGGACTACGCTATCGATGTCCTCATGCGTGGCCCTACCCTCGAAGGCCAGATTCGCCGAGAACAGGCGAAGCGACGCCGAGAGGAGCTCGCCAGGATTCGCCAGAGCTACATGCTGGCCTACGGCGGCCTTAGAGAGGAGCCCCGTACATATAGCCAGTATCACCGTGAGTCCGAAGAGAAGGCTCGCAAGGAGAAGAAGAACGAGGCCTTGCAGGCCAACGACACGGAGATCCACCGCGTCCGTATCCAGTCGCAGCCGGTTCTCGGGCACTTGACCTCCCTGCTGAATGAGACAGAGCAGAGGTCAACTCCGCGGACCTTTGTGCGACCCTTCAAGTCGCTGGTCTACTTCCAGCCCAAGATGAAGGAGATCCTCGCCACGCTTGAGGAGAAGTGGGCGGATGTCGAGGATCTAGATGAGAGCTCGTCCGAGAAGCCAGGAGACGAGACTCCTGAGGAAGTCGAGTTCGTCGAGGCTGTTGATAGCAAGGAGTCCGCTGCTGCTGAAGGGCAGCCCAAGGACGGCAGCGATGATGGAGATAATGACGACGCGGCATCCATGGTATCCGTTGACTCCAACGCTGAGGACCTCGACACCATCATGGACAGCCTCGAGGCATTGCGCGACATGCGATGCTACGTCAACTTTGTCGACAACGAGATCATGCCCATGTACAAGCAATACGACGGCACTACCGCGGAACGGGTCATGTATGATGACTTGTGGTCCCTATTCCGCGTCGGTGATCTGATCTGTATGCCCGCGGCTGGCGAAACATCCGGCCGATACCACGAGATATGGCGCATCTATCGCATCGAGCTCCCGAAACCCGAGGCCTCGTTCGCCCAGGCCGGATGGGAGTTCTTGATGGACGACATTCAGCAAAACAAGAAAGAGACGTTCAATATTTTCGCGTACTACATCGACCACGACGGCAACAACTTCGGCGCCGTCCGACACACGTTCAGCATCTCTTCGTTCCCAGGCGAGCGACTGATCGAGTCGCTCGAGGTGTTCCCCATCCGGTACCGCCACGACTACCAGCAAGTGCTCTCCTCTCTCAAGGACACGGGGCGGCAATATCAGAAATTCCTCACAGACCGCCACCAGTCCTACAACGCCTGGACGCTCACGCGCAACCCACCCTTCGACACGAAGGACCCCGAGGAAGAGATCCTGCGCGACGAGAGCAACAACGAAATGCGGCACCCCGAGTTCGTCGAAAGCGACGTCATCGTAGACATGGCGGAAGCCTATCAGAAGAACCCAGACTGGCGTCCCAGCTTCCACCGACTGACTCCAAACAAGAAGATCCGGTGCGACTCGTCCCACGACGACATGAAGATCCAGCACTGGCTCGACGGCGGCCGGCAATCGCTCGCGTACGCGCAGCAAGAGCTCGTGCAGACCGCCGACGGTGTCGAGATGCGCCAGCGCCGCGAGAACCTCGCCATCGACACCTTCCTCAAGGAGAGGCTCAAGGGAGCCCGGCGCTACGAGGCGCAGCCGCAGACTCTCGAGCTGCGCGAGGAGGATCTCGTGCTCCTGCCTAAACGCATGTTTGCATACGCGCTGCGAGAGCGCCGATTTATACCCGTTAACGTCAACTTCCTCAGTATGTAACTTTCTATGCTCCTCTCCCTCCCAAAAGAAATTCAGTAATACCTAACACACGTATGTACAGAGCCGATCCGGCGCCAACCCGGCGTGTTCGAGAACCTCAAGATCCTCAAGGATTACAAGGACATCGTCCGCGGCCTCGTGGCGTCGCACTTCCAGCGCAAGTCGTTCGAGCGGCGCTACGTAGACATGTCGACCGGCGGCCCCAGCCAAGATCTAATCCAGAACAAGGGCCGCGGTCTCGTCGTCCTTCTGCACGGTGTTCCGGGCGTGGGCAAGACCGCGACAGCGGAAGCCGTGGCAATGGAGTACAGGAAGCCTTTGTTCGTGATAACTTGCGGCGACCTGGGTCTGACGCCGCACGAGGTCGAGTCCTCGCTCTCCAACGTGTTCCGGCTGGCGCACCTCTGGGACTGCGTGCTCCTCCTCGACGAAGCCGACGTGTTCCTCAGCCAGCGCTCGAAGCTCGACATGAAGCGCAACGCGCTCGTGTCGGTATTCCTGCGCGTCCTCGAGTACTACAACGGGCTGCTGTTCCTCACGACGAACCGCGTCGGCACCATCGACGAGGCCTTCAAGTCGCGCATCCACATGTCGCTGTACTACCCCCCGCTCGACAAGACGCAGACGCGCGACATCTTCCGCCTCAACATTGCCAAGCTGCGCGAGATCGAGGCCCAGCGCCACGAGATGACGGGCGAGCCCCCCTTGGTCATCCACGACTCCCAGATCATCGACTTCGCCGGCAAGCACTTTGAGGAGAACGCGCGGTCCACGGGCTGCTGGAACGGTCGCCAGATTCGCAATGCCTTCCAGATCGCCTCGAGCCTGGCGCACCATAACTACACCATCCAGTACGTATAACTTTTGATATTTTGTTCCCCCCTACTCCTATCTTCTTAGGGTGAAGTTCTCAGAAAGGAGACTAACTCAAGTAATCCTTTAGGGTCGAGAACGCCCGCGAGTTGGGCCAACAGCCGCCAACAGCGCCTATGCTCGACCGCAGCTTATTCGAAAAGGTGCAAATGTCGACGCAGAGCTTCGACCGTCATATGATGGAGTCTAAGGGGTTTGATGCCGAGCTACCACTGCGGAGTACCTTTTACCACCAGGACGGCCGCTTTGAGTAGATACCTCAGGCCAGTAGGTAGGTAGGCATCCCAGTGGAGTCAGGCTTGATTAAGTAGACACTATAGCAATAGCATGCATGAATGAAGAATACAAGAAGTAATGCATTTCAGACTTGACATGATTTGTTCTGATACACGGAAGTGGTTCCTATCCTCGCTGCATCATCAGCGTCCTAGCTGTAGCATTTATTTCAAGGCATGATTTACATGGCAATCCAAGTCCTAGCGAGTTCATTCTATCCTCGTTACTTTCTTGATGTCGGGGAACGTAGCCCGGTGATACCCATCTTCAATAGTCTCGATCTAAGCAAGATTCTGGTTCAGACTGAAAGCTCATTTCAGCCAGTCAAACAGGTTGATAGGTGTGCGACACGCTAACCAAAAGCATCTGCTCGCGAAAGATTTTGCTGGATACTCAGCTCATGATACTAGGGTGGCCTCAGGAAGAGCTCCTCGTGGCGGTTCAGACCAAAGCAAATACCGGAAATTCAATGTCCGTGAGTTACCGTTTCTCAACGCCGAGCTACCTGATCTCATATCATGCGTAAATAGACAAGACGCTAGTCATAATTTGTTCCAAACGCCGCCCTCTAGTTATTGTGAATGTTGCGCTTATCTGAATTCTTGATCCTTCTGTAAGGGCGGTTCATCATCCTCTTGTACTTGACGTAGAGGAAAAATGCATCCTTCAGCACGACGAAGAGGCAACCTCCAATGAAGCTACGCCCCCAACGCTCTTGCAATAAGCCAGTTGGCGGACCCGATGAGGGCTTGGTGACGAAACGGGATGGAAGTATATGGCGCATCAACTCTCCTACGCCATAGCACACGCCAGGGTATAATAATGCGCCAGCTATGAAATTTATCGGCGAGCGACCCGCCACATCAGCTCTATTCCGTGGCGCACCTCCGTTATTCTGCTGTCCATCGTCATCAGCTTCGCCGATCTGGATATCGATCTCAAGGTCCAAGATGTTCATTGCCGGAGCAGGCTCGGGTGGTGGAGCGAATTCGTGAGTTGCTTGTGATCCATGATCGATATTTAAAGCGCGGGCCCGAGCCGCCCACGATTTTTCTAAGCTACCGGAGAGGGCTCTATGGATGTGAAAGTAGGTGGCTTTAAGGGCTGGATAGACTGCCATGATGCGGTCGGATGACGGTGGCCATTTAAAGAACTCGGCCGAGTGATTGAACAGCGTAGCATACTATCACGATATGTTAGCCATTAAAACTTGAAAGGGGGGAGTATAATAGAAAAGGAAGAAAAGAGAGAGAAAGTTGTACCACTAAGGACGCAGGCAGCGTAACGATATCGCCTATATCCATCCGGTTGATCACAAGGGCCGGGGCGATAAGAGGGAGAATACTAAGATGTACAAGATTGATGGTCTGGTCATATAGAGGACGATTCATGGTCTTGTTGCCATTGGTGGCTTTGTAATCGGTCAACAAGAATGATAGGGCGGCCTCAGGCCCGGCAAACCAAGAGATGGCCTTGACGCCATATACGGAGCTGCTGACCAGGGCGCCAGAGGCGATGAAGCCCAACAGGATGCGTGGTGACCATCTTGAGAACTTGTGGTTGAGCAAATTGCTGAGCTGGATGGCGGGGTCGTATCGCTCGGTGATGAGGATGGGCGACTTGCAAACGGGGCAGGCGATGTCTTTAGCCTGGGCCTCGAGGTCGGTAACCCAAGCCAGAAGGCATTCTTGGTGTCCCTCTAAAGAGCAGCTGCAAGGCGTCGACCAGTCATCGGGCAGGGTGGCCTCGGGTTCGTCGACAAGGCAAACGAAGCATCGCCTCGTGTTGGGAGGAGGACCAGAAGTAGGTGGCGGGTCCGTGGCGGGACTCGTGTCTGTGTAGGAAGAAGATTCGGGCAGGTCGGGATTTGGAGCATCATGTCCATCTAGATGAGGGCTCGCGACGTCGCTCGTCGCCGTGGACGCTGGGTCGGGCATGGTGGTTAACTGAGACAGATTTCTCTAAGCTAAGTACTTAGGCTATGAAGGCTATCTCGTAAAGGCGCTCGACATATCTATGGGGTGGTCGACAACAGACTCGGCTCGATGTTGTCGAATATGTGATGCTTGTTATTAATAAAGCGGTAAATAGGTATGATAGGAAGAATAAGAGGTCAAGAAGGCAAATTTAATGTTGGTAGAAATACCACACGTCTGAAGCACGCATGCGACAGCCTGAGGTGATGATAAGATTTGCAGCTTCTTTGATGAAGACCAAGACAGGTCCGCCGGCCCTTACAAATATGAGATCATCCTTAGGTACCTTGTGGATTCTCCTTAGGTACCTAGTTCTAGCCATAGCTACCGGTAGATCTCCACAGGTACCTGTAAGTACCTACCCCATAGGTACCTTGTAACCATCACATCCCACTGTGCATGTACATATACCGGTACTTACCTCTTAAAGAGACTGTAGATAGTGCCATACAGAATGATATAAGAAACCTAACAGTCATACATCGCGTGCATATGAATGCAGACATATCCCTACTCGAGATTCTACAAAGAAAGAAATGTGATATTACGCAAAGAGCTTCGTGGCATGTCCAACAGCTTCGCTGAGAGGGAAAGAGTTGTGTATGTGATCACTCTTCTTAAATCGCTTTATATCATGGAGATACCATGAAATGCCTGTAAGAATATTTCACATAAGTATATAACCCCCCGATCATCCGCCTCAAGACCATTGACCCATCACCCATAACTTATCGACCACCTAACTCGATAGATGGATAACTAGAAACACCACGATAAGCCCGCAAGGAGGCTCTAGTTCCTTCCAGCATCAGGAGATGTCGAGTTATCCGGGGACAACGACACACACAACTCCGCAACACCGTACTCGTTCGGGCACAGCACCTGGCGAGGATGAGGCGCGCACGCTGTTCCCACGCAGCACTTGATCGAAGCCTCGCAGCCCTCAACACCCCAGACAGTGGCGCGGTCGTCCGTGGGAAACGTGTACGCCATCGCCGCGCACTCGTGGAAGAAGTTCGTGCCAATGTTCATCTCATCTCTGTGGGGATTAATGCAGGTCCCGTAGTTGATTCGGTAGTCAGCCTGTATTCTCTAGTGTCAGTACCGCGGTCACAGTCACAGACACATCATGCCGGTGACACCGGAGAGAGAGAGAGAAGACGTACGGGACACATGTCGAGCAGGTCGAGGTTACAACCCACCACCACCTTGTCATTGCATTGGCAGACGATGGGGACCGTGAATCCGTCCCTTTATGACAGACAGCTGTTAGCAATTCATTCCCAGAGATTCATATCATAGTCCGGGTGGACACGCATGACTTACACGTAGCTCACGTCCAACGCAATCCGTGCTGCACCGAGACCCTCATCATGAATGAACGAGCCTTCGAGAAGCGACGCCCGGTCACGGATGAGAACACCCGCCTCAGCCATGGCGACTCGGCCTGCCCACTAGATATTCTCACCATCAGCCGCCGATCTAAGCAACACAAAATGTGTCAAATGCATCAACATGTATGAAGAATACATAAGCTCGAGATATCACGCCACACTGCACGAGAGGGAGTTAATATCGTCAAACCACAGGAATATACTCACACCAGTAGGGACAGCAAAGATAGCAGTCGACCCAGACTCGACGATGCTACCACCATCCTGGATCGCCGTCGGCGCCCCCAAATTCTGGTTATGCGCCGTGGTAATATCGGCGGTGTGCGAGTTGACCAAGGTCACCACATACTCGCCCCGGGTCAGTGTCGCCGGGTTGACCGCGGCAGGCATCATGGTAGGCTGCACAGTCTCATCTTGAGTCACGAATTGACGCGGTCGCATACCTGGCGACGCCAGTGCTCCAGGAGCCAACATGCTCATGCCCAAGAGGGCAGCACGTGCCTTCTTAACCATCTTGGTGTTGATTTTATTCGAAATAGAGGTCTACAACAATCGATATGTTCACGAGCAAGCATTTTCAAACGCGAGAAACCGGGGGATAGCTATATATATATTTTCCTATCTTCCTCACATTTCTTCCTCCTATTCAAGTTTTGTGGACGCAGCTAGAATGCGCTTAACGATGAGCACAAAACCTAGGCCTTGGTGAAGGTTTATCATATGTGTGTAGGTTAGCACTAACACTGTCCATTGCCTACTTCTCTGCCAGATAATCAGATGCGGAATGGAGGACTAGATCGAGGGTTTCTGTAATCCAGTCTACATAGTTCTGGATTATGTGTAATCAAAGTGAAAAGGGTACTTATCTATGCTGGTCGAATTTCCATGATCTATTAGGTTGCAGAAATATCCACTTTGACACTCGGCGCCAACCTGAATAGCACATTCAAACCTGCAATTTAATTCAGTATTACCTGTAATTCTTAGGAGGCAATGTGGCAATGTGGGACAGCGTGGCTCTCTCTTTATAAGCTTTGGTTTCTAACCCATTGCACACTCTATACATTGCCGATGTTATAAACCATATTGCTGCCCATCAAACTCTACTGTCCATGCATAACGTGTCCTCTATGTGTACACTCCAACCAATAGATTCTGTGACCTACAAATAGACTCTCGTCATCATCTATCGACAGAACAACTACCTAGTCAAGTAGCGTCCATGGTACAATGTCTCTTCCTCATAGATACTTGCGGCCTTAGCAGCCTCTCGTTCCGGGAAACCCTCGAAAGAAGCAGCGAAAGTAGCAACAGAATGAGCAACAAGCTGTTGAGAATCAGGGAGTTAGCATCCAAAAGTAGTATCGTACTGTTTGAGTTAAAATGGTCTCACCTGTGTGTTGACGAGCCAGGCAGTAGCATTAACGTTTCCGACATCGTCGCAAAGCTGATGGTAGCATGGATCGTACCAATTTCCGGCTTTACCTCCAAACATCTTCTCCTCTTCTTTGGTCTTGATGCCCTCTGCACCAGTGGCGATACCGCCGCCTGGAATACCGTTGCGAATGAAAGCATCGCTACAGTTCTCCATGTCAGTAAAGTGTGTTTGAAGTTACAATCATGAAGCAACAAAGAATATTAGTTTGTGATTAACTTACTAATCGCTTCTTCCATCAAAAGGAATGAATGTATAGTTCAGCCCTTTGGAGGTATACCAATCTACATAAAGATCACGTAGTTGTTCAGAGCCAGTGGGGTTGACTGCATTCGTCGCGTTATAAACTTGATAAGCGAAGTTGGGGCTACCCATCATGTCGTAGTCCATAAATAGACGGATTTTCATGTTCTCTTCATCAGGTAGAGTGGCAACGTAGTAGTCAGACCCAAGAAGACCCTGTCCAATATCGAGGTTAGTTGTGTAATCGCAGATATTATAAGGTATAAATTGAGGATCTCCACGGCAGATGTACTCACCTCTTCCTCACCTGCCCACCAAGCGAAACGGACACAGTTCTTGACGCTGTAGTGAGTCAGCTGAGTAGCGACTTCAAGTAATGTCAAACTGCCTGATCCATCGTCTGTAAACGGCAAATATTGTTAGCCAGGATTACAAGAGCTCAGCGCCCTAAATATGGCGATATGCTGCCTTGACCGAGAGGAAATGTTTGGCTATAGTCGACCATGGCACAAATACCAGACAACCAAGAAGTGAAAGTTGACACGCACCATTGATACCAGGACCGTCAGCTACACTATCGCTATGTCCTCCCACCATAACACAGTTATCCGGGTCGCCCTCGGTTGTTTGGATGATGATATTCGTGGTGTTGATGGTGTTTACCACGGAATCAATGAAGGCGATCGAGTCTACAGCCTCGCCCGCCTTCAGCTTCTCAACCACAGGTTCAGCTTCTTTGCCGGACAGGCCGAACGTTGCAACATGGTTAGGGGATGGCGTGCCAAGCGTTCCGCTCAGCCCTCCTTCTTCGGAGTTATAGATAACAGCTGCGACAGCGCCAGCGGCTCCTGCAAGCTCTGACTTGGCCCCGAACGAACACGTCCCACGCTTAATAAAGGCGATTTTTCCGCTCACGTCTTTCGGAAAGTCAGAAGCTTCACAGCCTACGTTGCTCACAAGCGCCAAGTTGGCATAAACGGGCTCCTTGCCAGTAGTGGGAGGCGTTAACGACATGCTGCCAGCTCGAGGTTAGTAATCACCATTTTGAGTATGTAAGTCGCGAATGGTCGCGACACTACGAACGGGCTTTGACCACGTGATATTGACTAAGACGCAGATGTACATATTGGAGGCGAATGAGCAAGACCCAAAGGGAAACTCACGGATAAGCGGACTCAGGCACGCTATGACCCAAAACAAGGCGGGATTGGAACACCTGACCCATGACCGCGGGGAAAGGCTGTGTTGAGGACTTGTAATAATCACCGAGCTTTTCTATCTCGGAGGCAACATATTCCAGAGTCCGGCGGTGTCCTGTGTCAGCGCCAGTGAGCATACCGTTCATCCACATCTTCTCAGCACATCCGTTGTTTGGATGATGGTAGGCGTGGCAGCTAGCTCACCTTCACTTCCAATAACTCGTGTTGGGTGATTAAACTGTTCTTCTGATGACTTTGCAATATCGTAAAGGGCGTCTGCTCGCTTGAATAGATTCTCGGTCTTGATGCGAGCCTGGAGCGACTCGGTATCAACCAGAGGTTTCGAAGCTATGTGTTCGGTGTTGTGGACATGCTCTGATGATGGGATCACCAGGGGCTGTTGAAGCTGTGCGGACGCAGTGGCGACGGTGGCTATCAGCGATAGCCGGCTGAATCCAACCATCTTTTGCTTATTCAGAGGACGGCTGCGACTGGGGATGGAGGAGGTATTCACAGATGGAAAGTTTGAGTTGTAGAATACAAACGAATGGCCAGAGAGCTAGGTAGGCTATGTCGTGTAGATATGAGGTGTGACGCCAGTGCGATACCGGCAAATGGCACACAGTAGGCACAGTAGGCACTATTGATACGCTTGGCGTATCATCTGTTGTTATTGGCGCCGTAACTTGTAAGTCACGTCCCACAAACCACGGCAACCGCTCTCAGCTCACCAGATCATTCCCTTTCTTGGTTAGACTACTGTCTCGACATTCCCCATCAGGAAAGTAGCTCTATGACAGTCTCTATGACAGATATCGTGGCTGACGTTTTGCCATAATGAACAAGATCATACATGTTTCCTAAACCAGGACATTATCCCATGACGTTCGTACAAGAAACTCATGTTCGTCGGAACATTGATGATGAAGGACCGATTATTCAATGGGCCAGAATGAGCAGTTGCTATTTGTTGGTGTCTCAGTTTCGCAGGTACTGGATCGGAGATTTGACCAGGTATCACGCATGTCGTAATGCCAGCGATCAATTACACAGGAACTGATATGCTGTGACCGCGAGTAACTATCACACCTGCCGGCTTCTTGATCTTCTCGACTTAAAGAGCCGATGTGCATATACTCGACAGTAACACGCCCGAATCTCCATGGAAAGCCCAAGGAGCCCTTATTTGTGCCATGATAAAGGCACAAAAGTAAATAATGGAGATTCAAAAATTTCTCCCCGCTATATTGGGTATGACAGATTATACACATTTATCACGCTATCACCAAATCTGACATTACTGAAGAAGTGATCCGTTTGTGAAATTCCAACTTTGACATATCAATTAAGAAATAAAGAAAGAAACCAATGAAATCCCACCATAGTATTAGTTGAGAATGTTGTAGAGCTATAAGGCAATTAAGATTTCTAATCACTTAGTCAAAGTTCACATTAGCAAAGATACCAAACCATTATATATAACTAACTGCATTTATACTATTCATAGAACAATAATAGCCACTACTTTCTCTAGGAATAAGAATTGTTACACTTTTACTTGTCTGTATTAATCACAATTGAGCAGCCTTAAAGTATAATGTCCTTCATTGTAAGATAAATAGATATACTGCTAATCTGGATAAAGGGAAACGGGTAACTTGAGATGGCAACTATCCCCTTAAATCTCATTAAGGGCAGGGTAGGTACAATCTGGGCAGTCCAGTCATCAGGTAGCCAAACATCTATTCCTATCAGTTTTGATGTTCCCCTCTGTATGCCATGATACATAGGTTTTCTATCACAATGGTTAACGACAGAGATCAGAATTGAAGCTATTTGCTAACCCCCAAGGTCCACCGATATAATATCTCAAATCGTGAGAGGTTGAATAGCCTTGCCGATAGATACATTGGTTGAAGTGTGGTGCGTCGGCTGCCGTCGGGAATCTTATCACGGAACAGAATAGGAGTGTAGTATGAAACCACTACGCCAGCGCAAAAGATAGAAACGGCGTTATTAAGTCGAGACCCTGCACGCCTACATTCAAATATATGATACTGTCACAAATCTTCACTGCCTTTTTAGCTCCCCATGGGAGAGCTGATATGTTGCACCATTCCAGATGCAGGGTGGGTACGATGATGACACGATGCACTGCTTTTTTAGGCCCCTCGGCGAGGCTTACCAAGGAGCAAGCCAGCCTTCATCAAATGTAGGCTCTTATATCCCTAGGTACTAAGCCAACACTCAAATTCAGGAGTTATATGAAAATCACCCGGTGACAATGTACTCATGCCTGGACTTCTTCTAGAGTTACCTGGAGTGATCTTGCTTTCTAACAATGTCACATGAATACCAGGTAACAGGTACTAGAGCACTAATCCCGTCAAATTTCGCCGATAGGTGCGATCAATCGCGAGAAGAGTCACACACATACCTACAAGTGCTCGCGGTTCGCAGCACATGAACATCTCGTGTACCCTAGTATCCCCATCGTATCACGTAACAGCCAACCAACCTCATCTATCCCAAGGCAGCCATATCCCCTACTCTTTTTCTACAAAATCTAGTCTTTATATATATCAAATCCTCGCACACGCATACCTTGTCTTAAGCCTTCCAATCCAAGTGACATGACATCTAAGTTAGAAAGGGTTAGAAACTAGAAGAGTGAGGGAAAAGAAAAGAGAAAAGCGACCTACACTGCACGAACCAGACAACCACACCCATCCTCACTTCCATCTCAGCAAATCCACAATGCCCCCCAATCACCCATCCTCATCCTCCCCTTCTAAACCCCCCTCCAAGCCCAATTCCACACCCTCCCCTCCATCAATACTATCACAACCCCTCCCCCTAAAATATTGGCTTCTAACCCTCGGCACGGGTCCACCGCCCACATACACGGGATACCTCCAAATGGCATCCGAGCGCAAAGCCGTCTACCGCGAGCAAAGATCCCATTCCGCATCTCAAAAAGCGATTCGCGCGGACCTCAACGCACAACTCCAGGCCTTAGACAACAATTCCTTACGGAGAAAGAAGCCTAATCGGCGAGATCTAATGCTCTTATACGGACCTAACAGTAAGAAAGTGGAGGGAGTTGTTGTTGAGAAGTCATCTACACAGAGCCGGAGCGATGATAATGTTGAACGTAAGAAAGGAGATGGAGATGAAGGAGAACGAGGAGGAGTAGGGGGAGAGGCTGTGAGTTCTGTTCACTATGAGTACAGGGGTAGTAGGGATGGCAATGGTGGTGGTGGTGATGATGTCAACAACGACAACAACACTGATGATGATAGTACCAACGGTACCAACAGCAATAGCAGCAGTGATTACAACAACTATGACATATTAAATAGCGAGGAGGGTAGTGCATTACTGAGATGATAGCAGCAAGGGACAGCATGAGACAAACTTGAGCAGCAGAGAGACAGAGGGACGCGTTATTTACAAAGGAAACATCATGTCGAAGCACACATAAAGACCAAGAATCTAGAAAGGTAAAAAGTGATTAAGAATAGAAAAATTCAGGCTCGATTCACCGTCTTCACCTTTTATTTCCCTTCCACCCATCGGCGCGTCTTAGACCAGGCAAGTTTCAGAAACAACAACATGATATGTACAATACACCTTCTCCGGCTCACACTCTATTGACTTGGCCTCTCCCACCATATCCCGGAATAAAAAGTCAGCGCAGCAAACGTATACGTGGCCACGACGTTTTTGCCTGCTGAACAAGCAGCCTGAGCCACCAAGACACGATTCTTTCCCATTCAGTAGACGACACTACAGTGACGTAATAGATCGATGAAGTCCGTGTGAATCATGATAAGAGCCGCTTCCCTAATGCATACTCCGAACACCGCCACCGATGACGCCATATGCCCAATACAGCCAAGCCCAGACAAAAACAGATGCTGAAAATGTGCAAGACAACCACAGGTTGTCACTAGAAATAAAAAGTGGAATGGAGCACTCGATTGCGTTCACACAAAATCATTCCCAAGAAGTATGACAGCAGCACGAGACCAAGAGCGCCATCGCGATAGGATGCTCACCCAGAAAAGCAATGGGCGTTGTTGATCGAAAACGTAATTCAATTATCGTAAGGCCATCCAATAAGTAATTGGGTATCCTAGCACGCTCAACGTTGCCTCGCAAATAGTGGTATGATTAAGTGTCGAGGAGAATGAATGCGCGACAAGATGTGAATCCGCCTATGAGAATAACTCGTCCAGAGACAGTTGGGTGTCATGGATGCCGAAGAGAGGAGCACTCTGCTTGGCCCAGCTGCGGGTAACCAGGGATGCTATAGGGCGTTAATACACAATACTTGACGATGCGTAGCCATATTGGGGGGAGTGGCGGCATGCTTACCCTTAATAAACTTTTTACTAGCATATTTCTTGTAGAATGCTTCGTGGCAAACCGGACGAGCGAGGTAATCGACCATGAGCTCAAAAACGGGCTCAATTTCGTCCTCTGTATAGCCAGCATAATAAGCAATTGTCTCATCCTACCATATGTTAGTAATCATTGGCGTGTCCAGAGCGTCACCAGCTAGACTTACCCATTCACCACGGTCAAAAATCAGGCGTGCTAGGTACATAGCAGCGGCAGCAACGTGGCTAGGGCGGTATGCCATAAATCGATGATCGAGGAGACTGATCTCCATAAGATACTTCCCGATCGTCCTAGTCTGGATATCATAGTTGTCCGCCTTGGAGATGCGACGAAGAAAGTTCATGGGGTTCGGATAACTGAGGTCATAGTTGAGAGTACCAAGAATGAATCGCTCTGCACTCAAAATCTCGTCCTCGGTGAAGCCATCATCCGCAACATGCTTGAAGTTGGCAACATGGGGTGAAAGAACTTCTTCATATTTTGATGCAATAAACATGGCAGTGATGCCGACCAATTGTAAGCGATCCAGTTGCACAACCTTCTTAGAAAGGAAACGGTCGATAATATTGATAGCCAGGAATAGGGTCTCAGGAAGAAGGTGGAATCGTGTGTGAACCTCAACAAGCCAGTCGATGAGGATACCTCGTGTCCGCCAGCCGATCTCGTCCTGGTGGTCCATATAATTGGGATTGGGGATTGACTTGACTTCGAGGTCACGGAGGTATTCGAAGATCTCGTTTGCGTATTCAGCTGCCATCAAGGGATCATCCAAATCCTCGCTGTCCAGATCCTTGACTCCAGCGGGGTATTCGTGTTCGACAGCTACTTGAGGCTCGACATATTCCTCAACCTGCTCTACCTTGACAGCTTTTGACTCCTTGACTACTTGTTTCTTTTGCTCGTTTTCCGAGGTGTGAGGTCTCTTGCGAGAGGGCTCATTCTCCTCGGCAAGAACATCTGTCTTTATAGTTGTTGTGGTGGAAGCAATCTTTCTCTTTTGGGAGCCAGCACCAATAGCCCCTGACCCAGAACCAGTACGCTTGACTTCGGCCTTTTTCGTCTCTTTGGCATTGAGGACAGCTCGTGCTGACGCTGGTCGAGTTGTGGCCTTCTGAATGCCAGTAGGCGCAGAGGCTTTGGAGACCAGACTGGTCTTACCACCAAGAGGCTTCTTTCCTTCAACTGCGTCAGACTTGCCTACATTACTAACATCTCCAAGAGCAGCACGTCTTCGGCCGGCAGTAGGGTTTGCGTTAACCGCTGAGCGCTTGGACTGGAGTGGTTGTTTGGTGGGTTGAGCGCCATTGGCATCAAGAGCGGCGGCCTTGGCACGCGTCAAACGCGTCGAAGTGGTGTTCTCATCATTTTCGTTTGTGGCGATGCGTGACCTAGCGGTACGAGCCTACAAATGTAACGAGAATTAGTTTACTGAAACATATAGAGGCCGTCGCAGTTACGATGCAATGTGATGCTCGGTGACAGCGTATCTATGTTGCAAGCTGGGATTCTTACAGCGGGAGGCATCTTGCCGTATTGAAAAGACGCGTGTTAAGTTGAGAGATTAAGCGTAAATGTGATGCTAGGCCTTGTCAGCGGTACAGTTCCAAGATGTAGTCGAGCTAAGCGTTGTTATCTCGTGTCAATGAACGCGGGGGAAGCTGTCCGATTTTGGACGCAAACACGGCGCAACTCGCGAGTCGACGCGAAATATGGGTGGAAAAAAATCGATTGACAATGATAGAAAGACACCTAATGAACGACATGGGAAAGAGCAAGATTGATATACCTGAGAAGTGTTTTTCGTGGTACTGGTAGTGTCAATATTATGGGGGTATCAACAAAGCTGGACGAGAGGCGGACAACGCGGAGACTCGAGGACCGACGTTCGACGAAGTGCAGCTCTTGGACGCGATGATTGAACGGGAATTAAGAGTAGGAGGGAAGGAGGAATGGAGAGAGAGAATTGAGGTTCTGAAGATGGGAGGAGAGAAGGAGTGAGGCGGATGAGGAGTTGTTGTTGACTATGAGGACCAGAGCAGAGGAGAGAGAGATGGAGGAGGGTCAATGATGTTTTTGAGAGCAGAGTGTATTGTTTGGAGGTGGTTCAGCCACTGGCACTGAACGGCGGGTCTGCTAGAGCTGGGCAGGTTCGCTGTAGTGCAGCGGGCAGTTTGACGAGAGAAGGGAGAAAGAAGTAGAGGGTACTTTACCTGATGGATGGGCCAAGGGCAGACGGAGAGAGGGAAATGGCTGAATGAAGCGGTGTTTGTATGGAGCCGACACGGTCGATAGCGCGACTTGGACCCCTGCTGGGTGGCCTGTTCCGCGTACCTCGTTACTTGAGCTCCTCTTTTTCCGGCCCTCTAGAGCTTTGGGAGCCGGGGGGTTGGCTGGTGGATTCGACTCTTGACAAGTGATTTCAGAAGCTGCTGTGTCTGCTGCTGTGGATGCTGAGACAGTGTCTGGAGGGTCCGAGCTTGGTAGCGGCCGAATCTGACGCCAATTGCACGCGACAAGGAGGTCGAAACGAAGAGTGGATGCAAGGAACCCGAGTTTGGATGGGTTTGAATGCGCGTAATTACATAAGAGAGCTTTCACTGTACGCGTTCTGTTCCTATTCCTGTCCCTGTCTATCCATGCAAGTTGGATGTCGAAGAGCAATGAACAACAAGTAGTAAGATACAGAGAGAGGGCGGGAAAGAAAGATATCTTCTGCTGTATGTGGGTTGCAGAGAAGTAGAGTGAGTGAGTGAGTGAGTGACGATGCCTAGTACTGTACAGTAGTAGTTGAATAGTTGGTGTAGCAGTTGTGTTACTAGAAAAGTGCCTAGTCCATATATGTACGTAGCTACGGCACAGAACTGAAATGTCTCTGATGAATGAGTGAGGTATCTCGTCGCCTAGGTAGTTGGGAGAAGCGACAACAAACAACTGGTCAATGGCAGAATGACTCAATGAATGGATTCGAAAACGGAATAGACAGAAAATGTGATTGTTATTGTTTATGCAGCCTGCGATGTTCTCGATGTTCTCGATGTTCTCCGTGTTCTCCGTGTTCTCTCTGCAGCAAACGCGATTGATCGATCTTCCAAGGTACCTACGTAGACAAAGTACCTACCTACCGTAACTGCCAGCCCTGTCGTCTGTTGGTTGCCCCTCCCCACTTACTGATCTTGCTTTTCTTCGCTCCTCCTCTTTCTGCCCCACCAAGCTTACCATCAACAGAGGAAACCACGGGGCAACGCTCTGTTCATTGGTCGGACCTGCTGCAAATCGAGTGGGTCGCGATCTCGACCAATCGATGACGTGACCCTACCGCCCTACCCGTGTTGCGCGACGAGATTGTGGCTGACCACTTCCATTTTAAGCAGTTTTTGAGCCTCAACCTGCCTCAACCTACCGTACCTCAATCCACCTCATGAAACTTCATGCGCCACACCTGCTCATACGGTACATAGTAGGTATCTTAGGTACCTAGGTACTCCATTTCCTAGTCTGTCCTCAGTCTGTCCCAATTAGGAAATCCTCCAAACCCTTGTCGGTAGAAATTCGGACTCCCAACGCTCGACTTCGCCAAGCACTCGATTTCCTAATGAGGATAGAGAATATTCTGTACTTTGGTACTTTCAAGCATTCGGTGCATTCGGTTGGTCCAGGGTAGCCTTTTTCGGAACAACCTGAACTCCAGTCGAGCCTCATCTCAAGATTTTTGGTTGCTAGCGACACAGCGTTGCGATTGGGTCCATCCGCCGTCGCCGTCGCCCTTCGAGTCCCTCCACTTCCCCAATTGGCTGTCCCGACGCAATTGGCAACGATCCGTTGCGAACGCGTTGGTGCGGCCGTCTTCATCATGCTGCAGTCGCGAGTATTCTCGCTCCCGCAGCGGAGGATATTGCTGGCCGGCAGCCAGCTCTCGTCCATATACCGAACCTACGCCACAACTCAACGGGCTGCACCCCCGCCAAACCCGAAGAGAGATGTCGTCCCATCTGTGCCCAAGGCCGACAAGGCGCCTCCGAAACCTGCCTCAACTAACAAATCTGCGCGAGAAACCGCCGAGATCTTACGGACATACAAGCCTAGGACCCCCGGTTTGCGACATCTGAAGCGTCCGATCAATGACCACTTATGGAGAGGCAGGCCGTTCCTTCCCTTGACTTTCCCCAAGAAGGGTATGGCCAAGGGTGGTCGTAACAACACCGGTAGAATCACTGTTAGACATCGCGGAGGTGGTGCCAAGAGGAGGATAAGAACCGTCGACTTCCACCGTTGGTTAGCTGGCCCTCACACTGTCGAGCGAATCGAGTACGATCCCGGCCGTAGCGCCCATATCGCTCTTCTCAACGAGGACGCCACAAACAAGAAGACGTACATCGTTGCGCCCGAGGGCATGAGAGCCGGTGATGTCGTCCAGAGTTACCGGGCTGGCATTCCGCAAGATCTCCTAGACAGTATGGGCGGTGTCATTGATCCCGGTGTTTTAGCAGCCAAGACGGCTCATCGTGGGAATTGCTTGCCTCTACACCTCGTCCCTGTTGGCACGCCTGTGTTCAATGTAGGATCACATCCGAAAGGTGGTGCTGTCTTTTGCCGCAGTGCTGGGACTTTCGCCGTGGTAGAGAGCAAGGATGAAGAGATGAGAGAGGATGGTGTCAGGGTTATGACGGGAAAGTATGTCACAGTGCGTCTTCAGAGCGGTGAAATCCGAAAGGTCAGCAAGGATGCTTGTGCGACTATTGGCGTTGCGAGCAACCCCCATCACCATTACCGACAGCTTGGAAAAGCTGGAAGGAGTAGATGGCTCAACATTCGCCCCACAGTCCGTGGTGTTGCTATGAATAAAGGTACGTCTTGCCAGCAAGGAGCCTGCTTTGAGCGCTTGTCAGGAACAAGATTGACATAATCTGTGTAGTGGACCATCCTCATGGTGGTGGTCGCGGTAAATCGAAGGGTAACCGGCACCCAACTAGTCCATGGGGCACACCGGTAAGAGCTCACCGAAAATCCGTTGCACTGGTTTTCTCTCGATCATGTATGCTGACCTCTATTATAGGCCAAGGGTGGTTACAAGACACGCAGGAAGAGTAACATTAACAAATGGGTCGTTGTGCCACGTGTGAGAAATCATGGCAAACGACGAGACAAGACTGCATAGGCCGCTTCTCCTGCTTAGCCCTGTATACTTCATCCTATATATGTACAATCCTAGGCATTTGCAGCATAGCCTGTGTATAGACTTGTATAATACGCAGACATGATCTGAACGGTGCTGTCATGACTATTGCATTCACGAGGATTAGGTTGGTAAGTATTGAAACCATTCTATAATGCCCTGTCGGACTATTTCCCCTACGGTAGGATGGTAGAAGCTAGGGCCTATAGACAGCATACGTTTCTTTGACCAAAGTCGCCGCTGCGTGCATTGTTATTGACTAACATGATATTCGTGGATGGCTCCCTAACTTCATACCTGCTTAGCCGCCGCCGCATTGGAAAATGATGGACTAAGTGAGACTATCTAGATTCTTGTAAAACAACATTGAGTCTTGATTCCAGATAAATAGGATTAAACCCCAAGGTTACGACGAGGAGCTTGACGCGCATTGAGACGGCCAATTACATCAGATAACCAGATTATGTACGTCTACGGTAGTACGACCGGAATATTTCCCTACCGTGTCGTCGGTAGGGTAGTAGTCCGCGAACATTGGTCAGGAACGATACATGCAAAGAGACACACATTAATGATTACCCATCCACTACTTACCTAGCGATAAGCTTATCATGCAAACGCTTGTAAGCCACCCGACCCGTTCTTTCGGCGGGCCGATGAAGAGATGGCCCGTTTGCCTCACGCCATCTAAGCCGCTTCAATGTAACCTCCGATGTCTCATTCACGGCGCCTTGCGGCAGTAAATCCGGCGGGATGGAATGTACGGTATGTACAACGTCCTGCCGGCCAGCCGACCGGCACCGAGCTCTGGGCGCCCAATTGCATGTCCGGAACAATCCATTTTTTTTACCAAAGTACTTACTTAGCCTGAGATGACAAGCTTAATCCCGCCTACTGTTTAGTTTCTACTTACATAAACACTAATATAAGGACTAGTTCACTAATCACCAGGGCTAATTAGTCTCCTACTACATAGTAATGATAACATTTTCGAATTGTTGGTGATAGTGCTCACACGAGGGGGGCAAAATATTGCCCTGTCTTCCTTAATAATGAGAAAAAGTAAACTCGCCGGCTACGGAAGTATTGGTAATCCATTCATTGGAAATGTTAAAGGTGCAATATCGATGACGATGTGGATGGTATTTGAACGGAAACGGCCCGCTTCAATACTACGTTATCTCACGAAGCCGATCCTCTGTTACTAAATACTTACCTACATAGATACAGATACATATGTATAGCAGCAGTATACTTAGCGGACACAGCTAAGAGGAAGCGATCCTGGCGGATTTTAATAACTGTTGGGAGGGGGACCATCTACGTAACCTAGGCCCCTTTCTGCCAAGTCTCGCGCCCTTTCCGTTGGTTATTTCCGAGATAGGGACCCAGAGGGGCCTGAGTTTCGGGGTTTGGTAACATAAATCCTGCAGTTAGCTTAATCCTTTTTTCTGTCCGTTGGAGAAAAGTAAAGGCGGATAGGTTTTCTGCCTTGGTAAAACCATGAATCTTTGATATCGACATTAGAGATATTGATATTCTTTTATCCAAGAGTTTTCATCCACAAACGTTTTTCCTAAGTTGCTATAGGGAGGGTTTAGAGTTCGCCAAGCAAACTCATGCCGGAACCCGAGAAGTCTGGGGAGCCATCCCCAGTAATTGAGGTTCCTGCACAACAAGACGAGGTGCGCTCAGTAGAGGCGCAACAACCTCAGCAGTCGCAAACGCAGGAAGAATTCAAGGAGGGTGGCTATGGTTGGTAAGATTACCTGATGATAAAAAACTTTGATATGTCTGGGTGGCGTAGCTAATGGAAACTCTAGGATTGTTGTTACCGCTGTCGTAGGTGAATCCCTGAAGTCGACTCACTCTCTCATCTGAGCCACTTTCACGAAGAGAATGGTTTTCTTGGGCTCATGGATCCGTGCTTGCAAACTATATCAATTTTTCGAAGTCCCTCAAATCAGGAATTTTTATTATTAAATTTTTATTTTTAAAGATCATTATTGACTCGACGTGTTTCTAGGCGATCATCAACGCTCATTCCTGGGGTCTCAACTCGGTACGTCATTCATGACCTGGCGAAACTCATCCACATTCTATCAACCTTTACACGATACACTAACACCGTAATTCTATAGTCGTTTGCCGTCTTCTTAGCTCATTACATCAGAACAAATGCCTACCAAACCACCGCTATAGGCTATGCCTTTATAGGAGGACTCTCTCTCTCCGTCGGTAAGTTTATATACAACCAACTGATGTTCACCCCTTTCTCCAGACTCGACCGGAAATACTGATTACGAGATCGATGTCAGCCTTCCTGATCTCGCCGCTGGCGACATTCCTAGTGGGATGGGAGAAATGCGGGACACGACCGACGATCTTGCTCGGCGTGATATTTGAGACGTAAGTGACCTGCCTGCCTCGTGTACTCAAATATCGCTCCTTCGCCTTCACGAAATCACTTCCATGAATACAATGCTCTGAAAACACTGACTGACAAGTGGACAGAGCCGCTTTCATCGGCTCCTCATTCGCCTCGGAGCTATGGCACATCATCCTGGCCCAAGGCGTATCCTTCGGCGTCGGCCTGGGTCTAATGTTCGTGGCATCAGCACCCGTGTCCTCGCAGTGGTTCTATAAGAAGCGGTCGTACGCCCAGGGCTGGACGGCCGCGGGTTCGGGCTTCGGTGGCCTGGTTTACTCGCTCGCTACGAATGCCAGTAAGTTCATACACATATACAAAGAATGATCTAACCCCTATTACCTGTTTTTAAATTGCCTACGACTCCCAAAGGAAAAGCAAGCAATCAATAACTAATACTTACCGCCCGTAAACTGTAGTGATCGAAAATCTCGGTCTGCCATGGACATTCCGCACGCTGGCGATCATCTGCTTCGTCGTGAACGGGATCGCGACCTTCTTCATCCGCGACCGCAACCACGCCGTCGGCTCCGTCCACATCGCTTTCAACTGGGCGCTCTTCAAGCGCCCTTCTTTCATCATGTTCGAGCTGTGGATGACCTTCTCCCTTATCGGGTACATCATCCTCGTCTTTAGCATCGTCGCCTACTGCCAGGTCGTGGGATTGTCGGCTTCACAAGCTTCGCTCGTTGGCGCGCTGTTCAATCGTAAGCTCTTTCTTTTCCCCTTTTCTTTTCCCCTTTCTTTTCCTCTCCTTTCTCCCGGATTCTCATACGTGAAATGAAGACTTGAAGAGGATCTTGTTTGCTGATGCCGAAGAAATTACAACAGTGGCGCAGGGAGTTGGACGCCCGGCTGTCGGTCTCTCAAGTGACAGCCTCGGCCGCTTCAACGTCGCCCAGCTGTGCACGCTGTGGTGCGGACTTCTGTGCTTATTCGTGTGGATGTTCGGCGCGAGGACATACGCCGGGTGCATCGTTTTCGCACTGCTTAGCGGCTCCGTGGCTGGCACGATTTGGGCAGCGGTTACGCCGATCTGTGCCGAAGTTGTTGGGCTTAAGATGATTCCCTCTGGTAAGTTCGCTCTCTTGTTGGAACTTGGAGTCTCCAGCAGACAAACGTCTCATCGCTGACTGTTGGAAAACTTAGCACTCTCAATCACCTGGCTCTTCCTCGTCCTTCCGGCTACTTTCGCCGAGGTTATCGGCTTGAGTCTGCGCTCTCCAGGTTCTTGGGGTTACCGCAACGTACAGCTCTTCACGGCGTTCATGTATATCGGCGCGTTCATCTTTGGCTGGATCTTGCGGGCTTGGAGAGTGTGGGAGGTCGAGCGGGTGCGGCTGGATAAAGAGCAACGTGAGATTACTGCCGGCGAAGATGGTGTTGTGCCTTCGACGCAGTTAAGGCGCCACGCAAGTCGGGCGTCAACAGTGAAAGAGAAGGTGTTGCATCTTAAGGGCCTTTGGTCTGTACAGCGCGTATAAAGGGGCTAGAGATATTTGCTTAATTCATATTCCATTTCAGCTGACCATATTTATGACCTTATGCACAGCTGTGTAGTTATAAAATTAATGTAGTGTCCTCCTCATGGCCGTCACCTGAGCCATACCTACTTTGCATGGAGTCTGATGTATCACCTGTCAACAACATTGTCTTTAATATGATAAACCTAACGAAGCTAACGTGGCTGATTAAATATACTAATGCTGTCGTTAACGAGCAGCATTCGCAAGCTCTATAGCTTTTTTTGCAGCCTCATCAAAGTCATCGAAAGCGAAAAGGGGCAGACCGCTTTCCGCGATAATCTGCTGGCCTTCCTTCTCATTCGAACCACGAATCCGAACGACGACAGGCACGCTCATGTTCAAGTCACGGAAAGCCATGATGACGCCTCGCGCAATCATATCTCCAAGTGTCAGACCGCCAAAGATGTTTACAAGTATGCACTATCAGTGTCGGATTATCAGTAACTAACGATAGAAACCACAGAAGATGAGAACACTAAGGCTGGCAAAATCGGATAGAAAAAGGGGGCTCCCGCTCACCTTAACTCGCGGATCCTTCAAGATGACCTCGAAACTCTTCTTAACAGTCTCACTCGTCGCCTTTCCCCCAGTGTCCAAGAAATTCGCCGCGCGACCACCCGCGTGCGCAAGGGCATCAACTGTGTTCATCGCGAGTCCGGCCCCATTAACAAGCGTCCCAATATTCGCGATCTCTCCTTCCCCGCCACCGTTTGGCAGCTTGACGTACACGATCCCATGCTTCTCTACCTCGACTTCCGCGGGGTCCTCGACACTTGTATCTCGTAGCGCCTGGATATCTGCTTGTCGGTTTCCGCTGCGATGTGCCGCGTCGTCGAAGCCGAAGTGCGCGGTCGCGATGGCGATATCAGAAGACGAGCTTTTTGAAGCGATGAGCCGTGTTTCGAGGAGGAAAGCTTCTTTCTCTACGAAGAGAGTCACGAGGCCTGCGACTATGGTGCGAAGCGATGAGTTAATGCCTTCATTGCTGGCGTCAAGTTCAAGTTGTTGTGCAATGGCACTGATATCTATGTTTTTGGCCCCAGCTGTGTAATCGTAGTCAAATCTCTTCAGATTTCCAGCACCGCCATTCGTGGATGGAGAGGCAACGATGCAAGGACTTCTAGTTGAACGATTTAGCGTTACGGCGAGTAGGCGACCTTCATTCGGTGCAGAGTTACTATCAGTAACTGGTATTCCGCGCTGGCGTAATAGATCGAACGCGGTAGTCTGCGTCAAGTATATGGATCTTCTTTGTTGAGTAAAATCACCGGTAGAGCTCATATTAGGTCTCCTAGCGGCAGTGTGAATTCCGCGACGTTGAAACACAGCTCCTACGGAGGGCGAGATGACACCGTATGCTGAGGGCGCTACTCCTTCTAACATGGATTTCAGAACGGGCCCAAACCGGGAGGGATGATTCACGATCGTGCAGTTAGCTGCTTGAAGGGCCTTGATCTTGTCTTGCGCAGATGGCTCTCCAGGAAGCGCAAATGCACCAGCGTGGCCCATTATTCTACCTGGCACAGCCTCGATACCTCCGATTATGGCGGCAATCGGCCTGTTTTGAGGTTAGAAATCGAAATCGGATGCATATGTTGCTCGTGAATGGTACGACTGACTTGGGCTTCTCGGTTCTTGCGCGATACTCCCTGATAAAACCCGCAGCTTCAATTTCCGCCTCGCCTCCAATTTCGCCTACAAGTGCAATCGCCTCTGTATCTTCATCTTCTAGTAAGACTCGAAGACCGTCTCTGAGACTTGTTCCGGGTAAGATATCTCCTCCAACTCCAATGCAGATACTTTGGCCTAGCCCCGACCGGAGTGTAGAACCGGCAGCTAGGAGGATGAGATTTAGCTAATGTCTGTCAATGGTGTATGACTGATGGGAAAGTACGGCTTACTTTCGTAACTTAGAGTCCCCGACCGTGCTACAATTCCGACCTTACCTGGCATGAAGCATGGCAAAGGCTGAAACCCTAGGGAGAATGATCAGTACTCCTGTTTCCATAGCATATATAGATGACTGACGCTTACCTATTCTACATTTCCCCGTGGCTGATATGATGCCTGGCGAATTGGCGCCAACAAGCCTTGATTTTGTCTGTGTCTTTAACATATCATGTATCTGTATGTTGTCGGATCAGTTCACGTTCTAGACTACCCTAATGTCAAGCACTCGGACCCCTAACCCGTATCATATCATGTAGAGGGATGTGCTCTGCAACAGCCACAACCAAAGGCACTTCGGCCTCTATAGCCTCTTCGATGGCAGACGTCGCTTGATTTGCAGCGACGTAAATGCCAGTGGCATCGGGTTTAAGAACTTCCATTGCCTATTGATAGGTCTTAACTTAGTCATTGTCATAATTCTGCCGCGCCCTCTCCGTTAAGAGAGGCCGAAGTCTGTCGAGGGTTGTTTGCAGGCATTGCATACTTTCCGAACTGTGGGAAGAACTGGCAAACCAAGGTGCTCTCCCTCGAACCCCGGCCGGACGCCTCCGACGATATTGGTCCCCCATTGTAGAGACTCCTTGGCATTAGCAGTCGCCTGCTTTCCTATCTCGAATCGTATCAGTCTCATACACACATATTTGACAACGTCAGGAATGGGCGTTGCTGGAGCATTTACGAACCCGTAAATCCTTGAAATATTACCCGTGTATGGCTGCCTATCTTCAGATTTTGAATGGTTGAATCGTAGTTGTGTCGTACTAGAGAGCTTGCAAAGCTCCGACTAGCTGTGGTCCGACGGGTTTGTCTTAACACCCTGCTTCGTGGGCCAAAGTAGAGCGTGCTACGTATCATTTTATTAGAATATTGAGGATACGACACAATATCCAGCCCATTCTTTATGTTTATACTAAATAATATAGGAAACGCCGAATTCAGAGGTCTTGATTACTGACCTTGGATATATATACCCGGGGTGATTCGGTGGCTTGGGCGCCGGTGGTCCACTTGCACGCGGGCGCTGGCGTGTAAATGCTAGGACGATGTAAGTAGTTGACTGAGGATATAAACCGGCTTTAACACCTGCATCACAACTCCGAGCGGCCCGCTGGCGCCAACGGCTTGTCTAGGTTCCACCTTCAAACTGAATGCACATGTTCTCATACATGCCTCATTTCATCAATGTGTGAATCTGGTAGCCGAATTCACAAATCTTCCAAACTCACACTGGAGGCTGTTACAGACCACTAACACGATTTTACATGATGTACTGGCTTACTTGCTTGCTTATGTGGCTAGAAACAATGTAGGAATCGTGTTCAAGGGGCCCCTATTTCTTTCGCAATGATCTATAAATACAGTGATAACCATGATTATGATACATGCAGCTCTGACGACGAAGGCCTCTTGCCAAGCTGGCTCCATTATCCGTTCGAAAAGCGCTACGAACTCGATGTCCCAGCCTCAGAACTGGATGTGGTTGGTTTCGTAGGTTGTTCTTCGGCGAACCCCAAATTTTTAAAATCATCTTTGGCCATTAGGTTCCTGTCAATTGGTCAGTAGCCGTATGAGCCCCGAAAGTTTGTTAAAGAGGAAGTCTGTACCGGTCCATTCGACATGCGAGATATGACTTGGCGATATTTCGACATTCATCGTCGTTAAGACCCTTCACCTTCTTGATACACGACAGGTATTGTTTCATAACATGCTTGCACTCGCCTGACACCATTGTTAGTAGCCCGTATTTGACAGCTGTGGCAAAAAAACAAAAACCAAAAAAAAAACGACATAGACATACCATCGTGGTCCAGAGGAAAGCTGCCGCGCTCGGGGCTGTGAGAGCATGGATGTGATTAGCATGAGATTTTCTTAGCATTTACACAATTTCAACTTGGATCGACTTACGGAACTGGCTTGCCTGTGTAGGGGCCTGAACCTGGGCTACCAAATGAACTCATCGGATCTGACCGCTGAGGACAATTAGGTACGTGATGCAGGAGTTCATATATCAATTAAATTGTTGTACACGTTGACTTGACTTGATCATCAGTCGATGCAATCTGATCATCACCAGATCGGATTCGATAGCCAGATATCACTATAACTATCACTATAACCAGGACACGCTATGCTACCTACGAAGTATATAGTGCATTGTATACTTAGAACACTGTACTTGGTGTCTCTAGAAGGCCCAATGGGCTTCGAGTTCCAGGCCAGCGCTAGCAGCACACAGGGAGAATGACACCTGTGAAAATACAGTGTGGATGGTTAGACCCCACCTGTGCTCCCCGCACCAGGATTACTCGGGTGGTTGCCGGGCGAACATGACCTCGGGGAACAGAACTTCCATCATTCAACATTCAATCACCCGCTGTGTCGTAAGTAGAGATAATTACCTAGGTAGCGTCTTCTGAAAACTGCTACCTTACCAGTCGCCAGAGCAGTTGAACACTCATAAAGTAAGTAAGATGAATGCCAAGATGAGTTTTAATAAGCCGCGGTCGGCGTGCGTTACACACCTTGACATATGTCATCATCAGCAGCAGTGTACAAGGTGTGATGTGGGAAGTGGTCCACTACAACACATAAACCTGCAGTTGGCCCACCATCCCCCAACAACCCGACCTGCACCCATCGTAGCTCTTCGAGACTCGTATCGCTGCTTGGTATTTAGAACATCTACTACTTAATCCCGCCTGTAAGAGACAGCGAGGCATCGTAGCCAAGCAAGCCAGCCAACCCACTTACTCCCTCGCTTTATCTACATAACCTAGATAGATATCTCCTCGACCTGCTTTGCTGCTGCCAAGAAACCGGCTCCAACATCGGACAAAGTCCCATTCAAACTCGCAAGTTGGCCGATAATGAGTTGTTGATACCTGAGCACTCAATCGAATTCTCCCTCCCATCATGCCATTGTATCACTGCCGGCAAATAACGGCACTCTTCTCTATAGCTGCCGCCATCTTGTCGGTACACACGACACTAGCCGATCCCGTCGATCCGCTGGGGTACTCCGACGCCCTCGATTTCTTCCCCATTCACCGGAGAGACGTCACATGTCCCGCCAACTACTTCAGCTGTGAAGACCAGGGAGCCCAATTCCAGGGCGCCTGCTGCGAAAATGGCCAGACCTGTTCCTTGGACGCCCATCAGAGCGCCGCCTGCTGTCCCACCACGTAAGTCGAACACTTGCTCCCTTCTGGGGAAGGGGAAGCTGGCCAACCCAAGACCTCGTCAATATACAATTGTATGACTAACGATGGCTGGCTAGAGCTACGTGCACGGGAGTAGCACCCGGCGGCGGACCTACGGCGACGGTTTCCTATGTGAGCAACCAGTACTTCACATTCCCCGCCATACCCACCTCGTTCAGCAATGCAGCAGCCTGTACCTCGGCCCTGCACGATTGCTCCGACAACTACGATGCTTGCGTGCAGGGTCTCGAAGGCGGCAACGCTGGCTACGGCGTGACTATCCAGGTCCCAGGAGCCGCTGGCACCACCGTGGTCCAGGCAGGGGCGACACTCCCTTCCGCGACGGCGACATCCGTGTGCTCGACCCTCTCACTCCAGGCCTGCCATGGCTTAAGCAATGGACTATGCCGCGCCGGGACGCAGGGAGGATTCACCATCGGCAGTCAGAATGGGGCTCCACGGCCCACGGCTGCTTGTATGGCTGGTGTTATCGCCGGAGTAGGCCTCGGGATAGTAGGCGGCCGGTTATAACGCTATATACAACTCAAAGTAGGGCTGGATGCTGCGCCGCATACCGCGAATGGTCGGGCAAGGAAGTTAACTGGACGACGTTACGAATTTAATGACGGGTTTTCTGATTGTATATGTTGGATTTTCCCATAGACGCTGGGCCGCAATTTAGGGGATGAGGGTTGGCATGGGACATTGGTAATGCGACAGATAGACACGGGAGCATCGCGTTGGATTTTACCACGCTTCATGTTGGCTGTAACCTAGGGGATGGAATGATAGGGGGATTTGAATACTAGCTCTCGTGAGAGAAGAAGCTTTGGAAAGGAGGGAGTGGAAATGATTTAACCGATGTTTGAGACATTGACACCATTCCATCACACACACGTGCATTGGCAGGTAGATATCCGTATGTCTGGCTATCACCGTGTCTCAGCTACATATACCATATGAATGGATTCTGTTCACTTATTCGACTGCATGGCATTGCGTATTGATATCAGATGTTTGGTCTAGTATTCTTGAAATCTTATATTCATTTGTATGAGCGATTCCGAGCTAGGTGGTGTTCTGTTCTGTAGCTGCTAGGTCAAGTACATAGGTAACCTAGGTAGTTGGGTGGCTACTAGGGTATCATAGGCCAATCCCGCAACAACCACCATTCGCTAATGCCATCTCATTGCTCTTCGCAAAGCCAACAGCATCCAAGGCGGGTTACATAAATTGGTATTGCTTGCATCATGGCATCCGAGACTACACACTACGTGTAAGTCTTCGTTCAGCCGACATCGACTTCAGAAGTGGGCAAAGAGTGGGGTCGTATGGCCGTGACGGCGCGACGAGCGTGACCTGTTTGAGATCTCATGCCAACACCCGGAACATGGCATCAACACCCGTCCTTCCCAACGCCTCCAACGTGCTTGGCGTTGCTCTAGTCGTCAACCGCTCGCGCGATGGGCCGCGCTTCGTGTTCCATTATCCCCCGCGCATCCAGTATAGCAAGAAGCAGCGTGCTCCACCCGCACGGGAGTCTGCCGAGGATGAGCTGGACGATGACGACGAGCTACTCCTAGACCAGCAGTTCTCCCCTTTCGAGGGTACGTCAGGGTCGTTGCCTAACATTGCCGGTCTGCGGTTCTGGAACCACGATGACCACATTGAAACAGAGAGCGGTTCGCACATTGTGCCCTGGGAGCACGTCGCTGGTTATCCAACCAGAGACCTCGAGAGTCTATTAACGCCGTCGCGTGCTTTTCATAAGCGGCTCTTTCAAGTCTCATTAGACCAGTTGTGCTTTGTGTCTTCTCCCGTATTCGTCCATGAGAGTGGTGTTTGGCGTAAGAAGAAGCGTCAGCCCAAGAACCGACCTCCCAAATCGCCTGAAAATGGCGTTGAGTCCAGCGCGCCTAGAGACGGCCAATCTCCCATGATGTTGGCTCCTGACATGGCGCCAAATGAGAGCGATGACCTGCTAACAGCCGATGATACCATTGCCGGCAACAATGGTAATGGGATCGGCGCCGACGAGGCCGAGGAGAAGAAGAGCGGAATGACCATGTTCAACCTGGTATTCATCTTGAAACCAAATAAACATGAGGCCAAGGAGCTGGCCGAGACGTTATACGCACACATCATCAGGAAGATCAACAAGCTATTCAAATATAGCCAGCAGAAGACTGATTTTGTATGGAAGGAGTCAAAGCGCATCCTAACTCTCAAAGATAAGAATCGCGAAGAAAGTAAGTACTGTACAAGAGCCCCCTTTCTTTATGTAGACTGTTTCGTACCACGGGGGTGTAGCGTCAGCGACGGCTATCTAATGTCTCTATCACACAGAAACCAGGATGAGCGTGCTATGGAAGGAGATCCTCGAGGTCTCGTCTCTCGCGGCTTGCGTACAAGATATCTACGAGGCCGTATCGCAAAACAAGATTGCCGCCCTACAGCTCGATACCCCCGAGGGCACCATCACGCACTCAGTACAGATATCCGTCCCCTTTTACTTAACAGACCTCCCGCCCGAGGAAGAAGCCGCTAGCACACGCGGCCTCTGGATCACGACGGCCAACTACTTCGTGGAGGAGGACAGTCTGCAGGATCCGTCTTTCCTTGATAAGCATTTCGGTCTGCTGCTTATGAGCGAGGAGAAAAAGATCATTGCCGAACTCCAAGCCGATGCTGATGAAGCCACGGCTGCTATGGTTGAATTTGTACGGCTCTCAAAGCCAACCATGTCGTACGTTATCAAGATTCCCATCACCCCTGTCTATATATGCCACGTCTCCCCATCACCCTTCTCTCGGCCGCCGACATCTTTGTGTATATAATATCTTCTTGAATCCGCGCTAGATACTCCCTTAGTGCTAACACTCGCTACCAGATTCCATCAAATAAGCCAAGGCAGCGGCCTTTCACCAGCTCAAGTTCGGAAATTCGCCCACCATTTCATCTTCTGGCGGCGCGGAATCGCGATTCCACCTCTACATGCACGGGATGTATACATATTATCACCCAACGCTGATATGAGCCTTCTTCCTCGCGCCAGCCAAGCCTGGGCCCGCGCGTTTCCTCTCGCGCCGCACCTAGCCGACTTTCTCGCTGAGTTGTCGGCGGCCCCGCGCCCCTACAAATGGTTCTGCCCATCCAAGAACCACCGTCCTACATATCTTCAGATGTTGGCATGGCTAATGCGCGGCGGATGGGTGACGCAGCTCTGCACCTTCGCGTACGTCGTAGTGTGGCCCGAGATCCTTTACGAGGTCGAATACGAGCTCGAGGCCGAAGAGCTGAGAATGCTCCAGGAAGAGGCGGCGAACAAAAGAGAGAGAGAAAAAGAGAAGAAAAGGCAAGCTGAGAAAGAACAGCAGTCAAACAACACCGATCACGTTGATGAAAAGGGGAAAGAGAAAGAGAAAGACGACGAGCAACACGAGTCCGATAATAGTCATAGTCATCGTCGCTTCTTGAATTATCGTCCATCGTCACCAGCCGGATCCTCATCCACGGTACGCGGAATAGGCAACATATCGCTCTCGGGATCCACCACGACCCTCGACCTCCTAGCCGGCTCAACAGCAAGTCTATCAACGGCCGAAGGCCCAACATCCTCCACAACACACCTTCCCCAATCCCCTTCCTCAGAAGCCTTTCCCTCGCATCACACGAGCCCATCTCCGTCCGAGACGCCCTCAGCATCCGCCTCGCCCCCAACGGAGTCGCAAACCCAAGGCGAGCGCATCGCCCTCGCGGCGCGTCTCTCCCGGATCGCAGACAAAGAAGCCCAAGCAGCCTACGAGCGGAGCGCAGCATTCAGCCGCAAGCCCTTACCTACGTCAACCCCGCACCCATCGACGAACACGGCGGCACATCTATCCCATCTCTCACCTTACATCATCGTCGACGCGCGGCGCGCGACAGGGAAAGACAGTCTCTATCTCTCCGCCATCGGCCGACGATTCACGGATCCAAAGGTCCGCGCCGCGTGGCCCGTGTTCTGGAAGTACTTCAACGGACATGCTGCTCTGGAACGGGTTATTCTGGGTCTTGCTACTGGCGATGGTGATGGTGGTGGAAATACAGGAGGAGGAGGGAGTGATAAGATGAAGATCAAGAAGCGCAAGGAAGCCTGGGCGCTCATGACGGCTATGAGCGAGCATTTGATTTGCATTCGGCATTTTTAACAGAATATCTAGAGAGAGAGAGAGAGAGAGAGAGAGAGAGAGAGAGAGAGAGAGAGAGAGAGAGAGAGAGAGAGAGAGAGGAGAGTGGGGATATCGTCCTACTCAGATTCCATGCTACTTTCATACATATTCGATACAGACTAGTTCTCTGATGACGAACTTACATGTAAGTACGTCGATATATCAAATAAATAAATAAATCGTAGGATAAATAAAATAAAAAAAACTATTGACATTCATCTATCTACCTACAATATACGTAGACCTTTCTTTCAGCTTAGAAGGAGAAAAGACGGGCTAGAAAGGAGACCTGCGCGTTTATCTGTCTGGCTAATTGCTTGTCAACAGCTATCAGCTGTTATGGCTCGTGTGGAGTTCTAATCGAAACTCAGGGGTTAATTAGGGGTTAAGTTGAGACTACATTCAAGGACGGGGAGTAGGTATATGCATATATTCGTGTGTAGATATTTTACACTGAAATACTTATCTACCTAGGTATATAGATACGCTTAGTATATATATCTGTTTTATAGGCATTGTTTCGTAAGTCATGTGTAATGTATAAACTACATTTCAAACAGGTAGGTAGGTAGGTAGGTCTATATATCTATATATAAATCTATAAGCTACATAACAACAACGTTTCATCCATCCCCTTAAAAAGAAATAAAGATTGATAAGATCTAGTACAGCTAGATACAGAACTACCATACCTAACATACAATCTACAATATGCCTTACACGAAGTATACTGTCCACCTATTATATATATGTATGTATGCATATGCGCACGCATGGAAACCGGATGATGGATGGATAGCATGGCAGGGAAGGATATCGAAGAAGTGATCGATCATACGTCATAACAACACTCACTCGCTCACTTACTTACCTACCTACCGGTATATAATAACAATGTGACAGCTATCCATCTCCCCTCCTCCCTCTTCTTCGGTGTTTTCTCCGCCTACCATCATAATAGCTTCTACTACACGTGGATACTCAGTTATTGCTTACCCAGGCAGCATTAACTTTTAACGTACTGGGACGTCTTAAAAGTCACAGTACAGTATGTGGCTTACAGCACTAATCTTCTCGTCTCCGTGACGGAGATAATCCGTTTCACACGACACGGGGTTTCCCCGAAACTTTCACTTTCGGTCCCATGCGTCCATCGCAAGGGGTATATCAAACTCCCATATAAAAGATGGCATTTCATATTCCATAAAGTTCGTTACGTGAACAAACGACGTAGTTCACATTAATGCGCATCCCGTCTTCCTCTTTCTTTGTATCTGGTTCCACTGCAAGAACAGCCACGCGGATGCCGTAGTATATCACTTCCAACACCGAGAAATGCACAACCTCAAAGGGAAGATCGCAGTCGTCATCGGACTAGGACAATCCGGTTCTGAAGAGGGCTGGGGCATCGGCACCGCGTGTGCCGTCGTCCTCGCACGACAAGGCGCCGTGATCTACGGCGGCAACAGGACCATCGCGTCCGCGACGAAGACGAAGGAGACGATCGAGGCGGAAGGAGGCCGATGCGACGTCGTAGCCACGGAGGCGACGTCCTCGGCGTCCGTGAAGGCCCTCGTCGAGGCCTGCGTGGCGAAACACGGCCGCATCGACATCCTCGTTGCCAGCGTGGGACACTCGCAGCCGGGGTGTCCGGCGACGATGGCGGAGGACATCTGGGACAGGCAGATGGATGTGAATCTACGGAGCGCGTACCTAGCCTGTCACCACGTGCTGCCTGTCATGGAGACGCAGCGGCCGGCGGGCGGCGCAATCGTGTATATATCCAGCATAGCGGGCCTGCGGTATATCGGCAAGCCACAAGTCGCATACAGCACTGCCAAGGCCGCCATCAACCAGTTTGTGAAGACGACGGCCGTGATTTATGCGCCGCGAGGTATAAGATTGAATACGGTTGTGCCGGGGCTCATGGAAACGCCTTATACTCGGGCCATGGCTACACGATACTCGACAACCGCGACGTCGGTAGAGGGGGGCGCCGAGAAGGAGGAGGATCAGAAAGAGGGGGCAGATGATGATGGAAGCTACGCGGCGTTCAAACGCATGAGAGATAGTCAGGTCAGTTACGCCGAAGAATTTTGATATCTCCCCCCCCCCCTGTCTTCAGAGCCATGCATCCATGGCGTTGTTGAAGCAGGAGTTTGGTACAAGAACCGAACATATCCTTTTACGTCAAAACTATCATTCACTAATTACTGATTTTTCTCCCCATAGGTCCCAATGGGTCGGATGGGAGATGCATGGGACGTCGCCAATGCCGTCTTGTTCCTCGTGTCGGACGAGGCAAAATACATCACTGGGCAGAAGCTAGTAGTGGATGGCGGAATTACATCGTCCACGGGGCGAACGTAGAATTCTGTGCATGGTTACTAAATAAAAGCATGTAAGTAGAAGAAGCAAACCGCTTTCCCCGAGCAACATATGTGAGGCCTGGTGATGTACATACACAGGGCTCTCGGCGGATACAAGTATCGTTGAGGAAACGAAAGAGGCCGTCAACTCAGCTTGGGAAAACAGTCACACTAGGTGGAGAAACTTGGAGTTCAAAGCCTACTTATCTGATTCGATGGTCTTGTCACGTTGGTAATGTAGTACCTAGATAGGGCCCGTTCAGTTGCTCCACTAGTTTGAAGATCTGTGATCATCATCTAGGTACTTCCCCGTGACCTTGGTTGTGACTTGTCTATTCACGATACTCAAGAGTGAGTGAGTGCCGCGACAGGATTACGAGTCCAGTCAGCTTCAGTCAGGGTGCGTTGTGCTTCGAGACAGAATCCCGAGACATTTGAGGATAGATAGCCTGATGTGGACGCATAGAGAGGGGATATAGCAACGCTCGGTGGCCGAGGTGCGATAAGGGTTGCACAGGAACTGGGTCAGCCAGCACGAGAAGGGCGACGATCTCGATCGCGATCTCGATCGCAGGTTGGTTTGGTGTTGGTGTTGTTGTCGTCGTCGTTGTTCAAGGCGCAGGACACGGACCCTGCATTCGGGAGCGGTGTGCTTCGGAAGAGTACAAGTAAAGCGTTGGTTTCGGGGCGCCCCAGCTCGCCGGGGCACACAACGTCGCGGCGCAAGGGACACGAGAAGAAAAAATGAGCAGAGAGAAAGAGGGAGAGGGGTGGAGAATGTGTCAGAGCAGCCAGGTACCGACCAAAAAACAGGGTTGGAAGAGAAAAAGAAGACCCTGGGAATGGCAGGGTGCATGATGCAGGGCCTGCCGGCGTTGGGAAAACATACTTAGCTACCTACCTAAACTTAGTATGTAGTGTGAGTCCGACGACATTGACACTATCGTGAGATGGGTACCATTACTATAGTCTATAGTCGCGCCGGGAAGGCAGGCTCGGTAGATAGCGCTACAGTAGCGAGGAGGTAGGTACTGTACGTAGAGTGGTAGGAGAGTAGTAGCGAGCCCATGCTAAGGTAGGTACACCACTAGCGCTGGGGCAGGCAGACTGGGGGTCCCCCTTCCCTAATGAACGGTTTTGTCTTTTTTTGGGTGTGTTTCTGACATTTACGTCATTCTGGGGTAACGATGATGTCTCGCGTAATTTCACTCATGCACACGTCACCATTCAACTTCTGTCCACAGTTCTGTCCACATTCTGTCCCTTCCATTCCGCTCCTTTACAGTACCTCCTCCGCTTACCACCTCCTCGGACCTCTTCTTCCAGTTCAAAGTCATTTTGCTCCGGCTAAAGCTTCCGCCATGATCATCAAAGCCTTGCCTTGCCTTGCCTTGCCATGCCTTACTTTACCCTTTTCTGCCCTTTCTACCTATGTACTTACACAGTCCCTCCCTAGGAAGGAAGTAAGAACCCTCTCAGGTTAGTTACACACGTGTACCCTTTACTCCATCCCATCTCATCCCATCCCATTCCCGCCCAGTTCCGCCAAAAGGGACGATCCCCAAATTTCCGCCGACATTGCCGACTGGGAGACATAGTCCCCTCCCTTCCCTCCCGTCCCTGTCCCCGAGCTTGACGTAGTGTTCGCGTAAACTTTCTTTCTTTCTTTCTCTCTGTCTGTCTGGGGTTTCGAGAACGGGCAAAAGTGCCGGTGAAGAAAAGCAAAAGCCTTCCATACCTCCTCACATGCATGCCTGATATTCTCTGCACGAGGGGGATATTATAGTTACTCCGTTCTAATTTCTCCTTCCTTTCCTTTCCTTTTCTTACTTGGCTTGAACTTATATGCTGTGATACTTTGTAAACAAATCATCGCTGTTATGTACGGACACCTAGGTGTGCGGATTCAAACACCTTGTCTACTAGTTCCTCCTGTACGGTAGATAGGTAGGTGAGAAAGTAGTCGTGCCACTCGAGGGAGCCATTCTCACCAGGGGTACCCCCCTGCCTATAGAACTGTTGGTCTGACCAAAACTATTCTTATGGCAAGCTGACAACCAGCCTTGCTAATCAAACGCTCCCATGTGGGATGGTACTCAGATCCGCCCACTTGGTTCCCCCGATCTGAACGACGCAGCGCCGCGAGGAGGTAGGAATTCTTGGCCTTAGGTAGCCTACCTACTGTGCCTCTCCTCCGCTACTTAAGTTAGTCGTATAATCCAGCCAAGGGTTAAGGTAGGTAGGTAGTCAACCTACTCCCACCAGGATCTATATGGGTGTTTCCCTCCCAGCTAGGATCTATAACTGATGACCAGCAATAGCAGCGTTTACATCTCCGACAGGGTGAGCCGGATTTTATGCGCACAACCTCGATGACATCGTTGGCATGTCAGGTCTCAATGGTAGGTTTCTGCATTTACACTTTGGCCTGAGTCACATGTAGCTTGCGAATGCATGTTAAAATAGAATTAAACATAACCTTAATACGATCAAGTCGTGTATACTCGTCATTTCATCGCTCTAGTTTTTTTCATAAACTACATACATATCTCATTCGCCCATGTCTGGTATATGATGAGAACAGAATTGTATGCAATTCAATGCACACTGCAGCTAAGAGTGCTACCCTATGTTATAGGAGCTGTAAATGACCCTGCGCCTATCTTCTTTTTCCCATAGGCGCGTTTGTACATAATCGGTGAATTCCATGCCAATGCATATGTACCCTCTGCTGAGCCCCGTCAATATGTGCCAAGAAACGAAGTGAAATAAGAGGACCCGGTTTGCGGCATCTTTAGCCGCTTCAAGTCAAAGCAATGCTTCCTTTGATTGCTCAAGCGGCCTGCTCGGCCATCTTATTATAATGATGCCAAAAAAAAACAAAAAAAAAACAATGGTGTTGCGCCTTCGTATGCTTGCGAACCCCTGGTATCGTATGCGAGCCACGGAAATGGAAGAAGTAAACCGTGAAAAGTATATAAAATAAAAGAAGTGCCGCCAAACGCCGTGCCAGGAAACCCGCCGGACCCGCCCTTGCACAAACCTAGACGAGGATGTAACCTGAGCCTAGCGACCTCAAAGCAGCAACCCGTTTGATTTTTTTCCCCCATGCTTCTCTTCCTTGTAGATCCGATGAACACGCCATGACTTTGATGGCCAGAACCATCAGAAAACGCGTCAAGCCATGTCAAAGTTAAGCGCCTTCCTGGCAGGCTATGGCTGCTAAGGCATCCAAGCCGCTGCTTGTCCGGGCAGCGCCTGGGCGGCTCAATAGGGGTGAGTTCAAGCTTCGCATATCCCAGACCCCACCGGGAGAGGGCAAGGGCATGTAATCTGCACCGTATTGCTCGACATCCCACATCTGAATGTCACGAGAAGCCCGGCTGCTCTGGGTCGAAGATGATGACTTGGAAGACACGGATGCACGCTTTGACGAAGACATGGAAGAACTCTTCGATTTGGAGCTGGATGCTCTCGACTTGTCCTTGAAGTGGGTCTCCAGATGCTGCTTCATATTGTCTGCCCTCGTGAACTTCTTGTGGCAGCCCGGGAATGTGCACTGGACAGCCTTCTCAGCTGTGTGAATCTTGGAGTGGCGCGAGGCATGACCTGATGTCGTGAATGTCTTCTCGCAGCCATGGGTTTCACGATACCGACAAGGGTAGCGCTTCCCTGGCTTTTCCTGAGAGGTGTTTGAACTGTCATCCTCATACGAACCAGCACGGTGGGCAGTAACATAGGTAGGGTGTTTCAAAGACGGCTGCTTGTCTTCAAGATAATCGTCGTAGTATGGCCGCGCCGAATAGTCATAGACATTCGGTGTTAATGGGGAGAAAGCGTCGTAGCTAGCATTAGAGTCGTATGAGTCTGAACGCATGAGTTCTGGTGTGTGGGCCGGCGGTGACTGAGTGGGTGATGGATAGGAGGGGTGGCTGGCATAGATGTCATCGTTTAGTAACGATACCTGGCGGCCTGTAGCGTCGCGGGCTTGCATTGTGACTAGTCACTGTGAGAAAGATCTGGATCTGATTCTGGATCTGGAGAATTGCACGGCAGGCTACGGAACGGAGCACCGACAAAGCACACTGAAACAGCACCGGCAGAGGCGAATGTGCTTAAAGAGATGAGATTTTTGAGATTTTCAGCGTTGAAACGCTTCGTCACCAATGGAAATTGCCAGTACGAGTCACCAACAGGCGGAGTGGGCCGAAGGGGTTTGTGGCAAAGAAGGCGAAGGGTCTGGACTCGGCAAGCGCAAAGTCTAGTGGGAAAACGTATCGGCACAAGTGAGTATATATATGTATGTCGCAATAGTAACGTATGACACCAAGATCCGAAGAAAACGTCGTCAAAGAGGCGCAAGTATCACGATAGCGCGATAACACACACAAGTCAAATTCAAATGTTCTTGTTGGTGGTGATGTAGTAGACGTTGATGCCGAATGCTGGCTGGTTGGCTGGCTGGCTGGCTGACTTGATTTATTGAGCCCAATACCACGAGTTTCAATAATTCAACGGGTTAGTTAGCGGCACGACGATGGACAGCAAATTGTGCTAGTGGACGGGACCAAGAGCCGCGTGAGTTGTGAAAGGATTGGGCCGAACGGGCGATGAGACGAGATGAGATGCTCAGGCAGCGGCGTGGCGGGTGATTGATTGAGGAGTGACGAGGAGTTGATTGCCAATGTGGTCTGGCAGAGGGAGGAGGGGAAGGAGTTGGGATGTGTGATGGTTGAAGATGGAGGATTGATATGTAGAACAGGGAGCAGTCAGAGGAACGGAGAAAGATGCGACAGGAGCGGGTGTCGCATTAAAAAGGCAAACATGGGAAAGCGATGAATCCCATCGAGGCCCATTTGCAAGCAGGAGAAGGCCGTGGTGCCGGGTGGTACTCTGCGCACAGAAGAACGCTACTGTACGTAGACCTACCTACACTGCTACCTACATGTAGTACCCTAGTACACTAGAGTGGACAGCCATGGAGTAGAACCTCCTCCGGCCCTAGCAGCAACCCTGGCAGTAGTATGCAGTGGAGTCAGATAGGTAGGTAGGTACCTAAAGTGAGTAGTACTATACCTAGTACTGAAGTTCTGTAGTGAGGGCAGTGAGGGTACCTAGTGTGGGTAGGTAGTGTGGATAGCATGGTACTCAGGGTACCATGCTACCCGGGGAGGGGGAAGGGGGAAGGGGGGCCCAGGTACCTACCTAAGTACCTACACTCTTGTATCCGCCGCCGCGGTGGGTTGCGTGCAGCCCACGCTTCCAAGAAAGGGCCCAAAGGTCCCCAGAGCGGAACTAGAAACGCCCCACTACACAAAGTACATACATAGGTACCTACATACTGAGTACCCGTAGCGTGCCTACAATCCCGTACACACCGCTGTCTACACTACCTACCTACCTACAAGGTTAGGTAGTAGGTATCATTGGTGTGTGTACAAATTGCACTACGCCATTCCAACCAGGAACCATGATCCTAACTAAGCACAGCACAGTCAGTCAGTCAGTCAGTCAGTACCTTACTTCACTACATATCTCTAGTGGTGTGTGCCTGAGCACTAGCACCTCTGGGTCTTCTTGCTGGGGACACCGAAACAGAGGGTCGCCAAGTGGGAAGCGGACCCCAGGCCCGGGGGGGGGGGGGCTGCTCTGAGGGCGCTGCATGAGCGTCGCAGGGGCTAAGCACGGGGCCATGACAGGGTCTACCTACATGATACTTACTTACAGCTAATATAAGTTTGTACACCCGCCCGCGCCATGGAGGTGGGGCTACCCAAGGCGTGCATTCTTCACTGCGATTGCGCCAGCACTCTCAGCGCAGGTGCTGTCCAGCAGCATGCCACCGCTCGAAACCGCCCATGTACTTCAACCCTCATGTATCCTTCATGTAACAACGCCATTAGGTGCCCATTGGTATGAACCACTTGGTTACTGTTCCCCGCGACGAAGGAAGAGATGAGTGAGTACCGTATTTGATTTTTAAATAGCTTTTGAAAAAATCAAGAATCACACAAGACAGCGTGTAAACCATTTCAAACTATGTGATTTGGGTGCCTTGATGTTGTTAGATCATATCATATACTTAGGTAAGTATTTGCAGCCAAGTTCCTTGCGTACCACTAATAGGTAAGCTGGCGGGCAACAGCTTTGTACATTAAGAAATAAAACTCCCCGAAATGCATCGAGCCCCCTTTTGGAAGGGAGCCAACAGACTCGGAGAGATCTGGGGTCGAAAGATGTTCGGTCTAGCTTTACACAGTAGGTTTATATATGCTTGAGTGAACCCTACTTTGACACCCTCGGCGAATCTGAACACGCGCCGACACGATCCGATGGGCACCTTGCCAGGGATGCTGTGGGATGCCTGAATAAGGGTCCTAAGTTAGGATCTAAGCAAGTACAGCAGATCAACAAACGCCCACGCATCACCGCGATCAAGGACTGCATACATCTACGGTTGTACCACGGATTCCAGCGGTAGGGGACGCGCCGACATAAGTAGGTAATGATCGCTTTGCAGTCAGGGTCCAGCGGCACAAAGACAGCCAGCCAGCCAGCTAGCCAGCCACCTTGGAAATCTTGAACCCTCCATCATATATGGTCTTCTCCCTATCAATTAATGTCTCCGGCATCTTTGCTTGTTGTGGCCTCCAATATAGGATCCTTCGTCGAGGGTTTGCGCTATTCGTAGGCGTGACGTCGTTGCCCCATCCCGATGCCAGCTCCTCTGCATCTTCGAGAGTACGGAAATACTTGCGAGCGTTAGCTGATGCGCCGACTACCTAGACTGCTCATGCAAAGATAAGTGAATGAGCCAGCCAGCCAACCAGCTGTTATTCTTGCATCCCTGTAGCCTCATTGACAGCCCTCTGACGTCTCGGTACCAGAGAGGCGATACACTAGCGAGGACTAGGTATGTACCGTAGGTATGATGCATCGTGTACGCGCCAAGGGCTTCGTATCGTTGGGCAGCTGGCTCGACGGCATGAGATACCTGGGGGATACTTGTCGACGACGCGCGGGCGATGTCATGGCATTCTGTATTTCTCGATGCCGCTTTTTCAAGAATGCCATTGTGAGCCGCCCCACTTGCATCTCGATCGCTGCCCATCACTTCCGTTTCCGTATCGTGCTGTGGCATGGAGCAGCCGATGGTTCGACCACTCACGACGCGCTTTGACGAATCCTTTGCCCAAGTCGCACACGGCCAAGCTCGAAGAGCACTAAAGACTCATAGCGCTACAGTAATGATGCCACATCCCAAGGGCCGTTAGCTTCCTTGTGCACTTACTGGAAACATAATTGCACCGCGATGGGTTGCGTTGGTTATGCCATTGCTCGCAACGGCCGTCTCTCCGTTAGTCTACTAAGAGGGCCTTTTTTTTTTAATGGTCTACATCTCGTTAGTATCCAGGTCTTTTCCCCATTGTGAAACCTGGAGGGCTTAGGTAAGTAGGTAGGTAGGGACCGTAGCTTGGAATGCTGGATGGCAGCGTTGGAGAAGAGACAATGAGGCTCCCCACTTATCAAGCACAATTCCCTCTCAGGGAGCTTATCATGCCACGTGAGAATCGGCGTGACATGAGCGATGACGTCGTTGTCGCCAAAGGCCGCCAGGAGCAAAAGGTCCTTCCGAGGCAGAGACAGGCAGAGGGTAGAGGCAGGCAGAGGCAGGCAGAGGCAGGCCGGAGAGCAAGGGTGCCGCTCGAAAAACCGGGCGGATTTTCGAGTACAGAACAACAGATGACCGATGGCAGCCAGGAAGTCGACACAGCGTAGACATAGAGGTCAGGCAAGATCGAGATTTGGCCAGGGGATCGAAAGACTACCTAGGTAGTGGGGTTCTCTCTGTAGCCCCCGGCCGCGGGCCCTTCGCACTAGAAACCCACAAAGTAAGTACTACTATGTACCTATGTACACAGCACGCTACTGCACATGGTATATACTTGAATCCCTCAGATGCCCCTACATACGAAATAGGTACTCAGTAGGTAGTGCCCTTTGCTCCCTATCTACCTAATCAACTGGCCAGACCCTACTACTAGGTATGTACTAGGTAGGTACAGTACCTAAGGGACATCTGTTAGTGCGCTGACAGTAGCGTGAAGGAGCCTGTCGAGCATGTTCCTTACTTAGCTCTGTCCTTAGGTAGCGTAAATACCTAGGCAGTTTTTTAAGTCCCCTGGTCCCTGGAGCAGCGTTCCAAACAGCGGGTGTCAGCACCGGTATCCACACTGGCCAAAGGTAGTTGGTTCCCTTCCGATTCTCTGGCACTACGAAGTAACGACCTACCTATGTATATACGTGTACATGATGGCACTAGGCTAGGCAGGTATAGCTTCCATTCCAGCTCAAACACTTCAGTCCTACATCCCTAGGTAGTAGAATAGAGAAAATTTATATCTGCCCGTGACTGAAAGACTTAACAGCCCAGGATGTTATTAATTACATAAGTAACAGTCTGTACGTTACAATAGTATTCATTGCATACGATATCACGGGTGCATGTGGGTGAGACGTACATATACACACGGAGAGGCATATAGAGTAAGATCACGTTCATCGTTACGGGACAGACAGGCAGGACTGTAAAGGAAGGACATGTCGATTTAGAAACGCAGCGGCGGATCTACACTAAAACCACAGTTCTGACCATCCATCTTGATCATCAATCTTGCTTTCGACGAATCTTGCAAGGTACAGCATCAAGAAAATCGTCCGATTGGGATGATCTACGGACACCAGACTAATTGTGCTACACATGGTAGTTGACCATCATCAGCCTCTGATCAGCCTGATCACACACCACACCCCAGATACTGCCCAGAAACTACCCCTTCTCTGCCTTTCCGACCTTCCAAGCTTCAACATCAGCCCCCCCAAGAGTCCAAGACATAACAGGAACCAGGGGTCCACACGTATTGCTACCTACAGTACTAGTAGGAGACTGTGATGCATGTGGATATTGAAACTATTCCCGCTACCATCTATTCCCACCGACAGAATGGCGTGAGTTTGGTCCTTTGGTCCCAGTATCTATGTCTTAAGGGTCTCACCGGCGCCTTGGTCCGGCGCCTGGTCCGGAGGGGGGCGGGAGAGGGGGTTTGTTCTGCGATTCTGATTCGTTGCCACGGGTTTAGCGGATGGTCCCTTGGGGCGCTTACTTACTTGCATGTCGATAGATAAGTAGGTATGGTAGGTAGGTAGATTCCTCTGTAGAATTTGCGCGTGGAATTTTTGATGAATTCCAAGCCGTAGAGATACATCGAATCATTTTGACACTGGAACGACAGTAGGAGCACAGTAATTAGGTATTCTGAAGCTACATAGGAATATCATCTCACGTGATCACCACTACTCTCAAGGCAGAATACCTAGTGGTAATGTGAAGGTTTTTCTATACCCTTTTTTCTCTCTCTAAAAATTAATATGTGTTCTATTTATTGTATGGAGCCGTTGCAGGGGTAGTTGTGAACCCTTTTTTTCTCCAATTTTTTTCTCCCAAGGGCGCATGGGGACAGGCACAGAAAGATACAGACAACGATGGACATAGATCGCGATCGGATACCTTCTAGAAAAGGACAAAAAAAGGGTCAGGTTCCTTGCATGTACTTAGTATAGTAAGTAGGTACTGGAAAAAGTCTTTTCGGAGCTTACATACATAGTCTGCCCAGTAGTGAGCATAGTACCTCGAGTACCTAGTGAGTGAGCACTTTGCTAATCGAAACAGCATGGTCCACCAGAGTGCGACATATGTAAAAGAGTCCTCACAGCGATCGAAACTTTGTGCGTGGCATCGAGGATTTTGAACCCGCTGATCTCGAAGGCCCAAGGCCCAAGGCACCAGAACCCCACCCAGCCCACCGGCCCACGTCACAGCAATGTACCGGTATACGATACGATACCTACGACAAGCAAAGTGGTGCTTATGCCATGGCGAGCATGGGCGCCGCCAGATCCTGTAAATAGTTCAAGCTACACATGATTGATTACTTACTTCGTAGAGCACCATCTCCAATGCAGCATGGTGTCGATCAAGTGATAGCCAGCTGGACAGGACGCATCGCCGGCTTCCCGCGTCTCTGGGTAAGGGCTATCTTGGCCATGGGCAAGACAATTCATGACCTGGCACAATTGCTTCGCACTATCTCACCACCGCAGACAATGATTTCCTCTTCACTGAATTCTTTGCATCAACAATCCCGACCCTCATTGCCCCGGAGGCGTGACACAACGTTGAAACTCGTTCGTGGCCACCTTACAATAACTGCCTAGGTACTCTCGATATTGGCGGTCGCACTTCTGTGGCACTCGTTCCATAATTGAGAATAGGTTGAGACAGTCTATGCTCGACTCCAACGACGCCTAACAAAGAGACTACTTCGGGAGGGAGAACGAAACTTGGAGCCCTGTAAGCACTGGGGTCAAACCCTCACCTACCAGAGTCTTTGTCGCGCTCGAATACGTCTAGCGCTTCATAAAGCATGACTGTACGAGCGAGCGCTGTGTCGAAGTTTTCTGTCGCTAACGATGAGCTAGACTGCCTACCTACTGTTGTCGCACAACCTGGAGCGGCTTAGTCGCAATCCTCGCGACGCTTGGAGCGTGCTACTGTTTACTGTGGCCAGCAATTCCAATTGGCCTGGAAGAAGGCGATAGTGGAACATGGACAATGAGCACCGCAAAGACACTTTGGCATACGTGGTGCACGGGATGTTCTGGACCAGTCTCCCCAATAACTGGCAAACGGGTTCATCCCCGATACTCGTCTCATCATGACTCAGCGGGAGGTGCAGCAAGATAGCATTTCCCACAAATGCTCCCACCAAACACCCCCAGAAATCGTCAACAATGTACTCTAGAAGCGAGTCGTGTCGCGAGGCCCAGCGCTCACGCATCGGGACGCAATGACACGGAAATGATTGAATCCAGTCGAAACGATCATGTCAACGGTCGCCGATCTTTACCGCCTTCAGCTTCACTCCCTCGGACTAGGGCACACGCGGAGACGCGAATGATGAACCACTTGGTCGCAACCATAATTACGCAGCCGGAGAGGGGGAATTGCTCGGCACTTCAAAGCCAAGTGGTTTGACTCAGACCAGGGACCTGTGCCAAGCGCAAGATTAGGGAAATGGGAAAGACTTGAATGTCGATAGGGTGCGCGGCGGCCAGGCCGAATGGTAACAGTGCATACGACTTAGTTCTTGTTGTATTCGTGCTACTGCTGCCAATCCCCTACCTACTACCCATAGGTATCATGTCCTTGCTTTCACACCCCGCCGCCATGAGCAAATGGCAAGGTGAGCTGGATCTCTCCGTCGAGATGCTCCAATCCCGAGGAATGGTTCCGAGGCTTGCTAGTGTAGTCGCACAGCAGCAAGCCAACATGGCGGGGGGCGAGGGAGCTCTAGCATGGGAATCTTGCAATCTCCCATGGCGCGTTGTGCGGGGTTTTAGGTTTTGGCCATTCTGCATCCCCATCTCCTCCTCCTCCTCCATCTTCTCTCCCTCTTTCTCCTCATCAGACCCTCGACTTGATTGTCCCCAACGCTGCCCTTCCCCCATTTCCTTCCTTCGGCACGGTTCAGTCGTTCCCCTAGCTCGATTGTCAGAGACTAGGTACCGTACACTACTATACGACTATGAGCCACTAGCTTCGAACATCCACGAGAGAGGGTGTAGAGAGACCATTGGCTCACATGCGCAGGTGAGTAGGAAGGAAACAGGTTTGGGTTTGCCACGGCATGGTATCTAATGCAACTCTCGAATTGGGATTTATGCTTGTAGTCGAGGCGGTGCAAGAAAAAAGTGAGAGACTCAACACCTCTGTGTTCAGTGCAGAGTCCCTCAATTTTTTCTTTCACCGCCTCGGTAGTCTACCTAGCATACCTCCATCCATCCATCCCTCTGTACCCCGGGTTTGTATAAACTAGGTACACTGGTTGAAGGCGAATGGTCGTGTAACACCTGTCGGCATACGCCACACACATTCCCATTACACATGGGGATGGTGGCTGTGATGCGAAGAGGGTTCATGGGCCTCGTGTGAAAACGCCGAGCCGAATTGCCACATCACATTTGCCTCTGGGGGCGTAGGATATATTCTTCCCATACCACCCTCATCAACAGGGTGTAGGCATGTCCTGCTAGCGCCGGCGCGTGTGGGATCACGAAAGGAAAGTTTCAACTAACTTCCTAGCTTACGGCACATGCATGTACAATCCGCCAGTAAAGGTAAAGTTCAATTATCATGATTCGTAACGAGGGGGAAAGATGCTTGGCCCATGACATGGGAATTGCGTCAAGATGCCGTTGTAAAAAGCCTGTATATAATAACAGATAAGCTGCGTGTACACAGCGAATACCAATAGCGCCGTCAGGAGTCGAACTACATGGCAACGTATGACAAGGATCATTAGATAGAGGTACATAGGTAGATAGAAATGTACTACATATGATGCTTGTCGTCAGACAACGTCTTCAATACGCCATCTATATCCGTTAAGCGAGCAATGGACATGGCGTGTACACTAAGTCATAGTGATGCCACATCATCTAAGCCGTCCTCATACCATTTGCTCAACACCATATTAAATGCGGATAGGTTCATTTGACAAACTCTACTTACCTGCCTAAGTACCTACCTACCAGAAACGTAGCGGACATGTCCAACTTTGAACAGGAAGACATGTCACCAGAAACTACCTACACCCGAGTAAATAGGTACCAAATTCCTTTCCATGTGTAAATTACCTAGTTTCATGCCTGCGTTATACAGATTGGTCACCTACGTATATTCAAAAACATTATGAAAACTCCTATATTGCGTGACAGGTGCCATCAGAAGCCCGGAATAAACGTCTTGTCAACTTCGTACCTGCTCAAACCTACATACATTCAAACCCTCGCTTGTGTTTGTCTTTCTCTGATTGATTTGTGCAACGACTATCACCTAGTAAGCACGGATGGCAGAAAGACCAGAATCTAGTAACTGCACCATTTATCCTATTAATTCGACTCTGAAGAGCCATCCGTAGAACTAACTAGTACCCGCAATCCCGTATCCAAAGTAACTGGTCTGTCTGTCTTCGAACGAAGAACACGGCTTCTTAGCTTAGGTACTTTGATCGTCACATGCTCTGCAAGTTCCAGTGCTAAATTCACTCACGTCACGTCTCAAGAATGTCATTCTCCCATCCATCATACCTATAGCGCGAACACCGTTCTTTTGTACGCATACAGCGTAGGAGACGTTGGGGTTTGAGTTCACGCCGTTCGAGTTGACGCAAGTATTATCTGCGTCAACCCCAATAGTAAATCGCATAGATTAGAAATGAAATCCATTTTACTATGTATGTACTTCTTAGTCCACCTAGTCACGTACGTACTCGTGAATAGTCCCGGAGTTTCAGGATCTCGTTCCGTAGTTTCGGTACATACGTAGTCTTGCCTGTAGTAAGTAAAAGCAAAGCCGGATCACCTAGCAACAACTAACGAAAGTTTAAAAATGAAGGGTAGATTAGTCGGTCCAGTAGAATGGTTCACCGAGGATCCTTCTTGGACGCCGTCTCCGAGCTAGCTAGCTACCTATCTTCATGATTGCTTTTTCAAGACACAGAAACAGAGGGCGATAAGGATCAAAAGCCGCCCATACTAAAATAAACTAGAGCAAGACCCAGGCCGTTCCATTGACAAACGCCACGCCAAATATTCCGCTTACAGTATGTAATTCCGGTTTCCCCAATATAGTAGTTCATCGTACACTGGACAAACCTGAGAAACAACCACGTGTGGCATTTATCCACCATCGTACACACTTGCTTTCCTCGGCAATTTTCCGCCCAGGTGACCATCCAAGCCACTACTTCTGCGCGGGCAGTGTCGGCGGACCCATCTTGCCAGCACCCGTGTCTACCCTCTTGCTCGGGGGTTGCCCCGGGACCTTGAATCCGCCATTCGTAGAGCTAGCACCGCCAACTTGGGTAAAGGTGCCTCCCTTGAACCAGCGATCTTCCTCTGCTTTCCTCTTCCTATTGAGTTCAGCCTGAACCTTGGGATCCACAAGCTCAAGGCCCTGGACAGGGGTGAAGGCCAAGGAAGACGCGGTTCCTGCTCCGCCTCCGATGGATGAACCCACGCCCGATGTGCGTAAGCCCTTACCGCGGAGGTCGATATTGTGGGCCGATTGGCCGAATCCACGCAGTGAAGATGCCGCACCGCCGACTGGCGTGGCTCCGCCCCAACCTTTATGTTTCTGGCTTAACTTCGCTCGTGTCCGGTTGTCGATTTGCATGCCTCGGATGCGGCCGTCGCCTGTCTGGCCTATCATGCCCATGCCGACCGTGGAGTCACCAGTACCATAACCAGCCTCTTTCTCCTCTTTGCCAAAGGCCATACGATTTTGCGCCTTCCGTAAGTCTGTCATAGCAGTCGCTTCCTTTGCCTTCCGGGCACGTCGTCCACCGCGCTTACGAGAAGGCTTGTCATCTGGCGCAGGCAAAGCTCGCTGGCCTTTGTTTGGTGGTGGTTCCGTAATCTTGTCTAGACGCTCCAGACACTGGGCGCGAAGTTCCTCTCCATATGACCCGTCTGGAGTAGCATGACTTGTGTCAGCGCGAGCTGCAAGCACCAACTTAGCCGCCACAGCCTTCATGGCCTTCTTCTTGAGATCATTTGGAATGCCCCGAATGATGGGCGAGAAGTACAGATATCCTTGTTGTCTGATCGAAGTATTGGTCGCAAAGGCTGCGCTCCTTGACTTCTTATTCCCCCATGCGGCAATATTGCAAGCAGGGACCCTAGATAGATTCGTTAGACCACCAGCTGTGTTGATTAGTTGGGCTGCCGTCAGTGACCCAACCACGGCCGTTAGGTTCGGTGCGAAGATGCTCATTCGGGACTGAACATATTCAGTTAAGGTCTTTTTCGCCTTATCCATCTTTATCATCATATGACAAGCGCGGAGAATGCGCTCAAGCTCATCCTGGGTAATCTCATGTCCCTTGCTTGTCGTGGCTTCGACCGTGACAACCATTAGTGATGGGCCGTCGAGCACAGATTTGAGGGTTTCGCCTAGAGCGTTATCTTTCGAGTCTTGTATCGCTCTGATGCTGTCTGAATCCATTGGCCCATTACCAAGAATAGCGACGACTTTCGTGTACTCGATTGGATTCTGAATCAAAGTCTCTAACTCAGGAAATCTGGCCGAGTAATGATCCCTGATGAACTTGTGCACCTTCATTATTTCACCATCAATCTGGGTAGATAGCGTGTTCGATTCGGTGAGGACCTTGTATTCGGGGTTGTCTTCGATGTTGCCAACATTCGTGGTTGCCTGCGATAGGGGCTTTGATTGAAAATGTGATATGTCCTGCAGTAGGCGAGCGAATCGGTCAGGTCTGATGCTCGAGCAGAAAGATGTAAACACACAAATTCTCATAAATTTATATAGAGATGGGAGACTAACCTTGAGTAATGGATCCAGCCTGTCCATGACACTGGTGACCTTGCGCACATCGTTGACGTTCGCCAGCTGCATCTTCTCGACCCTCTCTTTGGCAGCTTCTTCATCTTCCAACGCGTTGACAATGCCGTCGTCCAAGCCGCCCATAGCCTCGTCCCCATCGAGCTCTTCTTCTTCGTCACCGTCGAGCATCATGTCTCCATCTTGTTCGCGATCGCCCTTAGGCGACAAGGCCGAGTCATCGCCGAGGTGAAGTCCGGCATCGTTCTGAGCATCGCCATTTTCGGACCCCGAGTCCTCGAAGTCTTGGAGAAGCTCATCCGCTAATGTCGACATTGTGCCGTTGAGGGATGAGCTGTGACTGTGGAATGGTGATATTGGATGACTGATTAGGTGGCGAAGAAGCTATGCGCGACAAGGAGGAAATGCGAATGGGAGATAAAATAAAGTGGGACAACACAAGCTCAGGGCAGGCTTGGCAGCATTGGCCCACTACTTCGTATGATGGTATCTGATAGATGCATATACCCACATAGCTCAACTGCACTGCAGTCAAAACAGTTACCCAACTAGAGAGGTACGATAGCTTGAAGATCCCAGAAGATTTCCTACCTCTGTCTTAATGAAGCTATTTGACGATTTCATTTGACGATATTACTCGACGCCTGCGCAGATACCGCGCTCGTGCCGTTCAATCCCGTTCTGATTCTCTCGATTTTACCTACACTATTGACAGGCTACCATTAGAAGTCGGACATTGCTGAAGCCAGTCTATATCCAAGTTTATTCATCATAACCGACGCGAACGCGCGCGCCCGCTTGACTTCTTCTCATTACACCGCAAAGATGGAGTCCTCTCGCGGCCCTCCGAGGGTCAAGAACAAGGCCGCTGCGCCTATACAGATTTCAGCGGAGCAACTTCTCAGAGAGGCAGTCGACCGCCAGGAAACCGGCATCCAAGCTCCAACGCAGCGTTTCGCCGATCTCGAAGAGCTTCACGAATTCCAGGGCCGCAAGCGCAAGGAGTTTGAGGACTATGTCAGACGCAACAGGATTAATATGAACAACTGGATGCGCTATGCCGCATGGGAGCTCGAGCAGAAGGAATTCAAGCGCGCGCGTTCCATCTTCGAGAGAGCCTTGGACGTCGACGCCACATCCGTTGTGCTATGGATCCGGTATATTGAAGCCGAGATGAAGAACAGGAACATAAATCATGCGAGGAATCTGCTCGATCGTGCCGTTACTGTCTTGCCCAGAGTCGACAAGCTATGGTACAAGTACGTATACATGGAAGAAATGCTTGGAAATATCCCGGGCACGCGACAGGTCTTCGAGAGATGGATGGAGTGGGAGCCCGATGAGGCCGCGTGGAGTGCTTACATCAAGCTCGAGAAACGCTATGGCGAGTATGAACGTGCCCGTGCCATATTCGAGCGCTTTACCATCGTCCGCCCCGAGCCGCGCAACTGGATCAAATGGGCCAAATTTGAAGACGAGTTTGGAACAAGCGATATGGTTCGCGAGGTATATGGCGCTGCTGTCGAGGCTCTTGGCGACGAGTTTGTGGATGAGAGACTTTTCATCGCCTACGCTCGGTTCGAAGCCAAGTTAAAGGAGTACGAGCGTGCGAGGGCCATCTACAAATACGCTCTCGACCGCCTACCACGGTCCAAGTCTATGGGACTACATAAGGCCTATACTACTTTTGAGAAGCAATATGGCGACAGAGACGGTGTCGAAGACGTCGTGTTATCTAAGAGAAGGCGCATCTATGAGGACCAAATCAAAGAGAACCCGAAGAACTACGATATATGGTTTGACTACGCCCGACTCGAAGAAACATCAGGCGATCTAGACCGCGTGAGAGATGTGTATGAGCGAGCGGTGGCACAGATCCCCCCGACCCAGGAGAAGCGGCATTGGCGCCGATACATCTACCTTTGGATATTCTATGCAATATGGGAGGAAATGGAAGCTAAGGATATCGCTCGGGCGCGCCAAATCTATAAGCTTTGCCTGGACCTGGTACCTCATAAGAAATTCACGTTTGCCAAAATATGGTTGCTTAAGGCACAGTTTGAAATTCGTCAGGGCGAACTAACGACCGCAAGGAAGGCACTCGGTCAGGCCATCGGCATGTGTCCTAAAGACAAGCTTTTCAAAGGCTACGTCGAGCTAGAGCTCAAGCTATTCGAGTTCGTGAGGTGCAGGACGTTATACGAAAAGCACATAGAGTGGAACCCGGCCAACTGTCAGACGTGGATCAAATTCGCCGAACTTGAGAGAGGTTTAGATGATCTAGAGAGAACGAGGGCCATCTTCGAACTAGCCATTGCTCAGCCCGTCCTAGACATGCCCGAGCTGCTGTGGAAGGCCTACATCGACTTCGAAGAAGAAGAGGGCGAGTACGATAAGACACGCGACCTATACGAGCGGCTGCTCGAGAAGACCGACCATGTCAAGGTCTGGATCAGCTACGCGCACTTTGAAATCAACATCCCCGAGGACGACGAGGAAGAGGGCGCAGAGGAGCAGCCCGTCAGCGAGGAGGCCAAGGTACGTGCTCGCAAGGTATTCGACCGTGCGTACAAGAGCATGAAAGAGAAGGAACTCAAGGAGGAGCGGGTATCTCTCCTCAACGCCTGGTTGTCGTTCGAGCGTACACATGGCTCCGAGGAGGACGTGGACAAGGTGCAGAAGCAGATGCCACACAAGGTCAAGCGCAGGCGCAGGCTCGAAGACGATTCTTTCGAGGAGTACATCGATTATGTCTTCCCTGCCGACGACGAGCAGAAGCAGGATCTCTCCAAGATGCTTGCTATGGCCTCAGCTTGGAAGCAAGGCGGTGGCACGGTTTAGCTGGCAAAGAGGTAGAGCAATTGGCCTTTTGTAATATTCACGCGAGTATTGAGACAGCACGTTTACTGTATGTGGAAGTGAGAGAGTGAACCCTATATATTATTAGGGAGTATTGGGAACAAAAACTATTTGTGAGACTCCTGATGCCTCACGGAATTGGTTTTATAGAATAATAGCATCAGGTCCTAGGGCGAGTTTCAGGTGAAGAAGAATATCTTTACCACCCCGCGATGATGGTATCGATACCTAAACTAGTAATAGTCGCGCGACTTGAAGAGTTTAGCACAACAGATCATTATATATAATTGATGATAATAGTATGACTACACGCCTGCTCGTTATTGTAGGGAACGACTCAGAAAGTTGACCCCTGCCAAGCATACGTGTACCTCGTTGCGGCGCGCTTGCCCATCTACTAAGTAGAAGGTTTAAACTAGTTTACAGGTTAATATAGCCCTACTCTCTCGAGCCTCTCTCTCTGGATGGGAGATACTTGGTAGTATGTGTGCATGTAGCAAGTTATCCACGATACTAGGCGTCATAACAAGCCTTCTCATAAACGACCGAGATAACCTGCATGTACGTACTGCATGGAGCAGGACACGGCATCGAATTGCACACCGCTCCCCGGAAACCACATAATTAGCAATGATGACCTGCTTACAACACTACCTAGAACAAGAAGAGGGGTTCAGACGAAAGGCGCTGAGACCGAAGTCCCGAGTCCGACAATCGTACGTCCTCAGCTCAACCCGTTAGTCAGACCTGGCATGAAATCAGCCATGCACGATGACCTCATCATCCCACACGGCCGGATCTCCATTCAGAAACAGAAATACCAACCAAGCAATACCGTAGGATACCGAAATCGAAAAAAAAAGAATGCCCAGCAATCGGCTATCTCTGTTTCATCTCTCTCGCCAAGAAAAGAGAACCCATGCCATCTACTTATTCGAACAATATCCAAAATATCAATCAATCAAGGGCGCAACGCATCCAACTTTATTCAATTCGAGGTATATCTTAAATCTGTCTGTCCTATCTACCCATCCCATCCCATCCCTTCCCAACAACAACAACAAAATGCTCTCTCCGCTCGCCGTGAACTTCTCCGCTTAACTCAACTCAACTCATCTCATCTCAACTTTGGACTAATTATAAGACAAATAAAAAATTAAAAAAAAAGGAAATATAGTCATGAACTCATTGATCATTGATCATAGAAGTACGTCAGACAGCCATGAAAAGATCTCTTTCACTCCGTCCATCAGCCCCGCCGACCAGCCAGCTTGTGAAACCCGAGCCACGACCTCACTGATCAGATAAGATGTCAAGACGCCCGGCCAGGAGGGGAAAACAAAACAAAAAGAGAGACAATAGATAGATAGATCGTGTGAATGGTTTTGTCTGGTCTCATTATCAATCCCTGCTTCTCTAAACCCCAACTCCCCCAACCCCCATCTCTTCACTCACTACCCGGGCGATCAACCCGCAGGGTGACGTATCCAGGGAGGGACGGACAAAATGCCATCCATGCTCCTCCCTGTGGCGCATCATCGTGTATCAGAAAACAAAGGTACTCTGCGCGACCCAATGAGCGAGCAACCGCTTATTCCCGCGTCCCGCTTCCTAATTAGTTCCAACCATGCATAGCATATCGTAGTCTCGTTAAGACACGTGGCTCGCGATTCACGGACCCGAGCCTGCGGTACTTCTAAAACCCGTGGGACACAGAAAGTTTCTTTTCTCTTCTTCCCCCCCTCTTTCTGGTCTCTTTCTGGTTTTTTTTTTTTAATCGTGTCGGTGGCGGCGGTGGCCATCTGTCACAATTGAAAAAGTATCAGTGAAAAGGTTCTTTAGATTTTTTTGTAGAAATGAAAAGAAGCGATCTTGCAACTATCTGAGAGATAACGGCACATGGACTGCCTCGATTAAGAGACACAAGGCAAAACCGCGTCCCCCAGCTAACCCAGACTGTTTTCCATGTAATAGATTCCTCGTATTAGAAAAGCAAAATGTGTCGTTATCATAAGTCGTATATTTGCAACAAGCCGCACAAGGTATATGTGTACAGTGTGTATGGAGAATTGAGCTTATAGCAGTGGTGTGAATGAGAATCTGGCACAAGATGTAGATGCTATCTACGGTTTAACGGAGAGTTGAGTATTGAAACGAGCTCAGCCTCACCGCCCATTGTAGCCAACGGGCGGTGCTGGCAAAGTAGCGGAGTAGGGATTTGCATCTACATAGCGCGGCGCATCAGTATAGCGATGTTCTTGCGGAGTAGCAGAGGTAGCCCAGCCATTAGCCCGAGATCTACCGTAGTGGTCATCATTCGCCCGCTTGAGCCTTTCGATACGCTTTTGATGACGCCTCTCTCTCTCTTCCTTCCACTCGGTTATCGACTTCGACTGTTCTCGGGCTTCTTTGACCTCGGAAAGGGCGCCCTTGATACCCAATGCTGCAATGCCGACTGAGGCCGCGTCTTGCATTATGGCCTTCGACTTAAGCTTCTTGGCCTCTTGCGGGCTCAGCTTGCCTTGCTGCACTGCCTTGTGTCTCGCATTTCTTGCCTGCACACTTTGGTATACGCTATGGGCAGCGTGAATGGTGGCGACACTGGCTAGGCCGGCTGTAAGGATTTGTTTCCTCCGCATCTTGCTCGTTGTTTTTCTATCGGTGTCCGAATCTCCCAGATCGCTGCTTGAAAGTGAACTTGACCTACCTCGTGAATGAGACCGGCTCCGACTGCGCCCCCCACGTGAGCGTTCATCGTAGTAGTCATCTTCTGGACCCCTTCCTCCCCTCATGTAATAATCTTCGTCGTCGTCGTAGTACCGATCGCGACGACCCCCTCGAGGTGAGTGGCTGTCGTAGGAGCGATCGTCGCGTCGGTCATCTGGTCCATTGCCCAGTCCGATCTTGGCAAGGCTGCGTCGTGCGCCATCGACAATGCTGCGGCTGCGGCTGCGCCTCCTTCGAGAATCATCCCGGGTATCATAAGAATCATCGCTGCGAGCGCGAGAACGAGATCGACTACGATCTACTAGTTTCTTTGCGCCGAGCGCGCCTAAACCCGCTGTCGCTAGTGCTGCGAGTCCGGGCCCATGGCCTCTGCTGCCCGACCGGGCGCGGGAACGACTGCGACTTCTTCCTGTAGAACGGTCCTCTTCAATATCCTTTCGGGAGCCATTGAGCATTCTGTTGCCCACTAGACCACCGATGACGGATTCAACCAAGTGCCGCTTGCTGTCCTTGGTCGGATCATGGGCGGCGTCGATGGTCGCAGCACCGGCGGCCGCAGTGATGACACGCTTCATCTTCTCACCCTTCCAGCCACCGGGCTCCTTAGCAACACGGAATGCTTCAGCAGCACCAGCAATCAGTGATGCCTTGGCCGCCTTTTGCATCCTGGCTGACGGGTTGTCTCGTGAGCGATGGGAGTCAGGGGAGCCACGACGGCTTCTCGAACCAGGGCGGCTCTCTCTATCATTGTCGCCGCCGGTGAGTGCCTTAATGGCACCACCAAGTCCCGCGGCGGAGAGTGCACTTTCGAGGAAAGATTTATTGCCCTTGTGGGATCGAGGGTCTTCGTCTTCGTCAGAGTAGTATTCAACCATACGACCATCACGGCCTTTGTGAATCATATAGGTCGACTTTTTATCCTCCTTGTTCTGATGCTTGTTATAGAAATCGGCACCTTGGTAACCAGCAAGGGCACCGGCAGCGCCAAGAGCAGCCGAGGCCGCGATATTGCGATGAATATCGGTGCCCTCCTGTTTCGCTTCGCGGCGGTCCCAGACTTCCTTGGCACCAGCGGCGATGAGACCGCCGGCGACGGCGGCAATGATCTTTTCCTGCTTGCTCAGAACGCGCTTGCGCGTCCTTTCCTCCTCCTCATAGTAAATGCTGCCGGGTTTCTTGCCACGGCTCGAGACCTTGTCATAAGAGCGACGCGGGTCATGATAATAGTCGTCATGGGCAGGCTCGGCCGACCTTGCGCGGCGGATATCTCTAGAATAGCCAGGGGGCGGGAAGTCGCGCCTCACCTCCTCGACTGACAGATCGCTGTTCTCGCGAGGGACCAGAGCGTTGCGAGAATTTGGGTTCACCCTGTAGTAGGTTTCCTGTGTTTCGACGACGCGCGGCTCTGCCCTCTCGCGTTCGCGGCGATCGTCATAGTAGCGACGAGATTGGTGGTGGTGATGATGGTCCCGCGGAGGGGCGTCATATTGGTCATAAGCCGACATGACGACGGAACCGTTCGGTCTAGTGCTTCAGCTGCTAAGGGAGTGCCAGAATACGGCCAGAATATGGACTTGACTCGGACAAAACAGCCAGGTAACAAAATAAACAGTACTACTGGAACGTCGTCGATTGAGTTTGTGTTAGGCCAGGTACGAGTAATGGGATGGCCATGAAAATGTAGGTGAGGGAAGAGAGGGGTGCGGGGGGGTAATAACTTCCTTCTGCGAGTCCTATCCTTGGTACAGTATCTACAGAGGCAGGTACTTGGGCAGGTACTTACTGTGTATCCCTAGCCAACGTGGATGGGCCCAACGCTCACCTGTAGGGCGCCTATGGCTGCACCGTCTAGTGGCCACTTAATGTTCTACCCAATGTTCTGACCAAGTACCGTGGTGGGTGCTTCTGCGCTGGGTGAGACGAACGATTTGCCCAACGTCATCAGGAAGCTGTACCTAATATGTACGCCATATGATGCGACTACCTACGTACCTACGTGTACTTCCTAGAGGGTAATAGAGGGGTCAGAGGGCACTGTGAGGGCACTTGGATCCTGGAATTCTGGAATTATACTGGGTGACGTAATAGCGCTAATACCCAGAGCACTCTAGAGCCTGCCTAGCCCTGCTAACCTACTGCACCTACCTGTAGGCAGATCGAGGGCAGATTTTCCCTCCAGTGGCAGTGCCATCTCATAGGAATCAGATCTAGGATAGCACGGCACTGCCTCTATCTCTTTCTTCCTGGCTACCTACCTAACTGTCGGGCGTATGCGGCTCAGAATGTCCACAGGGTATCTCAACTTAATATTCCGCCCTCGGCGTCGGCGCATTCCTAGTCTAATAACTCATCCCCAACGTCTTTTGCTTCGAGATGGGGATAGAGTACTGTGCACTGGTTGTATATACCGTATTACCTAGCGAGCCCTAGTCCGTTTTTCAGGACATTGAACCGCAACGCCGTCTTCCTATTTTCTGTGGGTTGTTCTGTCTCTAGGAGGCAAAAAGAAAACCTTGGACAAACATGGAACATGGTTGATGGCTGGGCATCAAAGCTACATACATACATACATAGGTAGCGATGTAGGTAGGTTAGTCCATGGTCGACCGGCCGCGAATACGGTAGTTCGCACCATGGAACGGCACAAACAAACATGCTACCTAGGTATTCTTCATGCCCAATCGCGAGCTCCCCTCTCCCCCTTTTCCGTCTCCGCGCGCCCTCTCTTGACAATCGGGCGAGACTGTGCAGGCCATGTGTCTGTCAAATGTACGGTAGCCATAACTTGCAGCATTAAAAAAAAAAAAGATCCAGAAATTTTTCAAGCTTGAGCTACCACCTCGGGGCTCCTTTCTTATGCGACCCTCCGACGCTTGCTGTGTGTGTCCAGTCTAAGCCAGCCAGATAGATGGTTCCATCGGTATATCCGCTGGAGCCCTCGGGTTCTATTCACCGCTGCGCATTCTTGCGCGTGTATGTACACTCTGTAATCCTAGTCTAGTAGCACGGTGAACCCTACCAGAGCCGTTTGCAGGCGCACAGCATCACAGGCCCAAGCAGTACCGAAGCTTCAAACCTGCATAGCCCCCCGCACCTCCCGGCCTCATCCCCGCGGCCTTGCCCAGGTGCTCTGTGCTCCAAGATGTGTACGCGTTTTTACAGCTTCTCCTGTGCCGAGTGACCATGGACGCCGTTGGCGCCCAGGTTAGCTGACGGAAATCGCCCGGTCAGGGTGTAGGTAGTGTAACCTAGTGCTCATCTATCTGGATGTAGATAAACAGATGTGCGAACAGAATACAAAAATGGGATAAGGCTCTCCATATTCATTCCCGGTGCAACATCATTTGTGTAGGTAGCCGTCAGTGTGGCAAAGATCGTCCAAGTCAAGGCTCTCTCCTAGTAAAGGCAGACAGGTATATATCCTCAGATCAGATGGATGTCTATGGTGAAAACCCCCTATAATAAATTTATAATACATATATATCATTCGTTACAGCCGCAACTATTATAATTAAATATAAATCCAAGCTGTATACAAAAGTCCTCGTGTGTGCACCCATTCAATCGAAACCAGCCACTGTGATATAAATCTTGAAAATCAACCTTTATCTAAACGCGGGATAGCAGAGCCTGCTTTTTCGAAACAGAAGCGACCGATCAGCTGGGAAATCCAGCCTAGTAAAATTGACCCGTTACTTCTCAAGGCGGTAATATAAAGCTGACTATTTCAACAATTTTATATTTTGTTACGACCAGTTACTCATACAATGATATCAGCCACAAACACGTTGTAGGTCATGCCTTTTGTTTTTTTTTTTCCCCTCCCGACGTCGAAGTCTAAATAGTGCTTCCCCTAACCCATTGCGCCTTTTAAGTGAATCCATGGAAGTTCCCCCTACCCGCGCAAAGATGCAAATGCGAAAAATTCATACCAGACCCGGTTTTGTCTAGAGACGACGAATTGCAGACAACTTCAAGCCGGCAGATAAGAGTGCCACAGCGGACTTGGGTTTGTGACCATCCAAGTTCGCTGGGGGAAAATGTTCGTGAAATTGTTATGACCGCGGCACATGCCTAGTCATGTGACTTGCGCAGATTTACCCCTTTCCCATCATAAGAAGGATAGCCTCCTGAAAAGAACCCAGCCCAAAAACAAGTCAATTCAAAAGGCTGAAAAGGAAAGGAAGACAGCTGGTGTGACAAGGCGCATTGTAAAAAGGGCAAGGGCGAAGCTGTCGTGCTGTACGGCTTCGGTCGTCATGCATCATTCATGCCGTGTCATCACATCCATGCCGCAAGGCGATCGTAATAACCCAGTTACAGACTGGACGTATAGGCATAGCTTGCTCTACAAGCTACAATGTTTCTTCCTGCATTGCCAATCGGAACTCGAGCAGGTTCCGTGCGAATGGCCAAGTCAAGACTGGCTATCAGTAATTACGTCCAAGAGTCCCAATACCGTAAAGGGGTATAACTGCGCACGTGATTTGTTTTATACGGCCGGGAGTTGTCTTAATGCGAAGGAAATAAAAGTTAAGGTACTAATTAACTTTCGTGATATAGTACTATGCCCTGGGCAGCAACTTCGTATGTAAGCTGACTAAGGTCTTGAACTCAGCTATTTGGCATGAAAATCCAATGAGCTTGGGCTGTTTCGCCCTGTTCAGGGTCAATGATCATCACACCTCGGAAGTAGAATCTGATTGGAGAATGTGATACGAGACCTAAAAGAGGTCCGAACAAATAGGTATGTGCTCGGGCCTAATCAATACCCTTATATTCAATGTGCAACGCCAACGCCATTGGTAAGATGAGAGTTGTCAACAAGTGCCTGTGGTTGACCAAGAATCGTACCATTGGTCAAAGAATGAGGCTGCTCGTGCGATGGGGAGATACCATTCACTTCCCCATGGGCTACGGCTTTCTTGTCCTCGCCGCCATTCACTGAGGCAGGCTTGAAGCCGTTGAAGGTAGAGGTATTGGATGGCGAGAATTCAGGGACCGTAGCAGAAAGCTGAGACTCCTGTGGGCGAGTGTACGCCATGGAGCCATTCACAGCAGCCATATTCATAGGTAGCCCATAGTTACCATTCGGGTAATGTGCGAACCCGTGTTCGCTCGTAGGGGAGAACATGGGAGGAGCCTCAACCGGATATTGAGGGGACATCATGGGATGCTGGAACCCGTTGCTGAAAGGCTGCCATGAAGCTGGGCCTTCGTGGCGAGCTGAGGGATGTCTTTCACTCATGTCTTTCAAAACCCACTTATCCCATCCTTCTTTACTTCGTACCCGTTCAACACCGTCGTTGCCCATAACCAGTTCGAGTAGGACAGAGTCTATACATGCCTGACGAAGGATGTTCAGGTCAACAAGCAATTCTTTCATGCGGTTGAACGAAGCAATGACGCTGATGGCTACAAAGCCTTGGCTGTCCATATGTCTCCGCAAAAACAGATCCTTCACAATGTTGTTGACGGAAAAGTAGTATTCAACTTGCTGTTGAGCAAGTTGCAGGAGATTTCCAGACTCATATGGGAATATTCCACCGTTAGGAGCATGGTAAATGGTGGGATCGTAGGGGATATTCATAGGTGCCATGGTTGGAACCCTTCCACTACCTTGTCTACGATTTCCGTTCGTAGGTTTGCGCTGACCCGGTCCAGATTGAGCCGAGTATGAATAGGAGACAGGCTGGTAGCCTGCATTATAATGACTACCGTGGCGGGGGTTGCTAGATGGGAATTGGTATGTGTGATGCTGGGCCGCATAGGGATGTTGGGCGTATTGAGACATTCCATTGGTATTGTTCAGACTAAAGCCACCACGGCCACGACCTGCACCCCTTCCTCGCTCGTTGCCTCGATGATTCGAACCATTTTGGCTTTGGGGGTGGTGTTCTTTATGAGTTTGGGTCCTAATATCCTTGGAGGAATCGGAATTTCTGACATTTTCTCCTGCTTGTTGACTTGACATGGGAGCTTGCCCTGACTGCTCTTGAGTTGTGCCATTAACAAATCCAGACTGGCTAGGCTTGTGTTGATCACGACTCGTGATATCCTGAGCGAGAATTAGCTGGCTTTTTAATATAGAATTTAATAGCTTATTGACATACCGATGTTGACTCCTTTTGTATTTTTGAGTGCTCCACGTGTGAATTATTCTTTCGGCCCTCGCGTTGCCCGGAACTCTCAGTTGGCGCACGTTTAGGTCCTGAGCTAGTACGGGGACCAGCGGTGGCTTCCTGTGCTCGGTCTAATAAAACGTTAGAAATCGCACACATAAGAAAGGCTGGTAAGGTCCTACCATTAGAGCTGACTGCAGACTGGTGGTTCCCAGTAGCATCACGTCCACCACGAGGAGCTCCGGTACGAGCGCCAGTACGCGGACCTCGATTAATAGGCGTCTCGAACTTAACGCTGGGCACGAAGTTCTGCATCTTGACCCATTCATTCTTCTGTTTCGGCTTCACCGTCTTGGTATCTTCTTTATCCTCCTTTTCCAGCTTTTCTGGTTGAGCCTGTGGTTGGGTCTTCAAATTTACGGCGGCTGTCTCTGGGGTCGGCCAGGAAGCCGGGTTGCTTGCAACAAAGTTGGTATCCAACTCCTTCTCTTGTGTTCTGGCGCCGCGCGGAGCTGTTCTCTTGGGACCGTGAGTATTGTTGCGCGACGACTCGCCGTCTCTTTTCGGACCCAATTTTCCGTTGGTAGAAACTTTGGATCCCTCTCCCGATTCACCCTGGGATGACCGTGTTTTGGAGTCAACGCTCGGTTGCGCAGGACTGATACTAGAACTGGTCGACTGATCGGCAGCCTTTGCCTTAGCGGCTTGTTCTTGTTGTCTTTGTACCCAGATATTGATACTTGGTAACGGCGCCTCGGAAAGTTCTACCTTGGCTGGTAAGGCAGCCTTCTCCACATCCTCTCCAGCTTCTATGTCCTTCTCGGTAGACTTGCTCTTCTTGGGCTTCCTACCTTTCTTGGCCTCATCCTGTTCGCCAGCATCCGAGCCAGTACTTATTGGACGTCCTCGTGTTTCTGTACTCTTGAAACCATCATCCAAAGATGACTGATCTGCCCCTGCCTTTGCCGAGCCGACAGACTCTGCAACAGACGTTACGGTATTGGTGTCATCTTGAGTAATGTCAGTTCCATTCAGTTGAGAGTCGTCGGGCTTCACAGATGTGCTGCGGACACTGTGAGAAGAATCAATGTCGTGCGATGATGCTGAAACAGCTACAGATGGGTCTCGGGTACTGGCGTTCGTCGTGTTGGTGTCGCGGCTCGGGTTGCCAGTAACTGATGGTGTTTGACTATGGTTAGGACTTTGCTGCGATGTCACCGATTGCGCAGGTAGCTGGCCCTTTGCGGCTTGGGCGTAAGAGAAAGTCGAGGTCGACATTGCGTCTGGTTTTAGTAATGCAATGAAGAAGTCTAGAAAGGCTGTCGGGTATGGATATGGAACCGCAGCGAAACCGCTGTGGCTTACTGCGTGCCTCAATCGAGGAAGCCCTCAGGCGGCTACCACCAACGCACCAGAGGCGAAACCACCCCAAGTATAAGTCAAAACGTATTGAGGCCGAGGAAAGTGGTGTTTAATTGGGGATGTGGCCGTGTGTGGGAGATAGGGTCAAGTACCGGGATGTAGAAAGGTGCCGAAGAGTGACAGCCCTAATATGAGTTGATCAATGCCGGCACTGGCTGATGCTAGCACTCGATTACCATCAAACAGCGGCAAGGGGATGATCAAAATGATAAATAAGGAAAAGAAGGCTCTTTAGTGGTAATTGAGATTGCCTATGGTAGGAAATGAAAACCCCGATTGTTGAGTGTGTGGGAGTGCGGGGTGCGCGCAACTCAGGTTTCCAGGCAATGGAGGTGCACCACAGCAGCAAGTCAAATATAAAGTCGGATGCACGATGGGCGCTCGATCCGGCGCAGATGATAGACCACGATCTAGGACGTAGACAGTGAAACGGCTTGTCGTGGTTGAGAAATCCTAGGATCGGTCAGGTCACAAGCGACAATGCTGATGTGGAAGGTTAGGCGGGCATAGCAGGATGGCTCTCGGAAGAGTGAATAAGTAAAAAATAAAATAAAAAATTACCCAAAAAAAAAAGATTAGATAAAAGAGGAGAAAGTTCAACAACTAGTGCCATGTACATGCAAAAACGATGACTGTGCTAAGGGAAACGGAGCCAGACCAACCAGACGCAGGCACAGATTCCGAGCCGAACCGTAAATTAACCCAGGATAGCAGGAGGAGCAAGTCATGAGTGCATAGATATGGTTGGCCACGGGGATTCAATACATGCAACGCAACAATGGCATTATAATAGGATAACAGCGGCGACGACTAACCGAATGCTTGGACTAACCTGAGACAGAGCGTGTGTAGGGCAAGGAGGTCCGTAGATGTCCGATCTCCCTTGTTCCTGAGGTTTGTCAAGGCAAAAAAAAAAAAAAAAAAAAAAAAAAAAAATTAGGAATGAAAAAAAAAGAGGGTTGAGTCAAGCGGAGACCTCAGGTACACCGGAATATTGAACTATGAATGAGCAGCGCCGTTGAGCACCGTCCGAATGGAGGGAATAATCGGAACGAGCTACTGGGGAGAGTGATATATTTCCGCAACAGGCACGGAGAAGGTTGAGAAATATGTAGGATAAGGATCTCGAATCTCTCTGCCTGCTGAGGAGGGCGGAGGACGTGCCTTGGGCGGGTAAAGAGACACGCAGGATAGAAGTAGGCCCTGACGCGAAGCAAGCGAGAGAAGATGTGGGAGAGGAGAGGCAGACGGGTATTAGGGTGCAGGATATTGTGTGGTATGAGACTCGATCCCAATAAAGCGAGGATACCTTAAGAGAGATGGAATCTTTGTGGGCGAGGAAGAAGGTGATGTGGTGGTGGTGTAACCGGTGCCCTACTGAGGTGCTTAGGTACCGAGTTAGGTAGGTGTAAGTGCCTAGGTTAGGTGCCTGGATGAATGGTAGGCTCGATCGCTAGGTATGGCACTCCCCCCTCTCTTAGGTATCTAAAGTGCCCACAGGCACCTATCACTTAAGTACCTAAGGTAGCGTACCTAGCTGGTTGATTTCCGTTCAGCGGGCAGGCTGGTAGGTTAGGTGCCCCTACCACGCCTATATGTACTATGTATGTAGGTAGGTACCTATATAATATTCAGGCATACCGGTGCTGCGTATAGGACGGCCGGCGGGCAGAAACTCGAGCTGTCAGTCGTTCAACTTCTCTCTTCCTTCTAACAGGCAGGTTGAAAACTTGATTTACCTACCTAGCGCTAACTATGCTAAAGCGCTTGATGCGTAGAGAATTTCATAAATCTGTTGGGGTTACGGTCGCATGGCTGCAATAGGTAGGCGGATAATAAAAGTTCCCAGGCACATACAGTCAGTACACTATTTATGGGCACATCTACCGAGGCCAGTACAAGAAGCCGTACTCCGTGAAAGGCAGGGCAAATCCTGGTACGTTTTTGCTTTATGCCAAAGCCGCGAGACGAGTCGAGGTTAGTACCTAGGTAGGCATTATGATTTTTTTTACTCCAATTAAAAAAAAAATAATTCAAAAGGGTGCACGACGAGGGCTTTGTATACGCTAGTGCGTGCGTGCATGGGTAGGCAAGGCGTGTGCTTCGCGTGGGTTTCCCCCTCTCTCCTCTTCCTGTCCATTCACCTATTCCACACTTTGGCCAATGGTGAAGCATGTAAAACAAATAGCAATTGTACAACAACCCCAAACAAAAAAGATAATAAACATAGGATGGAAGGAGAGTGAGTCAAGAAGCGCAGTAGGTTTTGCCTCCCTCTCTCACTCTCTCTAGGCATTGGGGCCTTTTCTTTTTTCATACCTATGTTTAAGTAGGTACTTACATGGAGTTCCAGATGTTGTCGAGTCGGCACTTTGACAATATCAGTACTCCAGCTATGTAAAATATATTATTATCTCCCCCGATCAGCTATTTCTGTAGGTAGGTATTTGCTACTCTACCTCACATGTCTCGTTCGGTCTCGTCGCCCTGGTCCAGCCTTCAGTGATAGACTCTCTTGTCGATGGTGGTGACCCCGTCCAGTTTACTTCTGTGATGCTTTCTACCTAGTGCTTTAGTCATGTCAGCAGGCGCCTGCACTGGCCTTGAACTAAATTTGGTGCGGTATTACTTAGAGTCTGTTAGAGGTATTACTTCGAGTGGTAGTATGTAGGTACTTACTTACTTTACCTTCCTACCTGAGCATTGTAAAGAAAACGAGGTTTAGGTGGTAATGCAATCTGCGTGCTCCCATTGGAGGCTTTTGGTGCCGAAGGCCCAGGACCCTGACTGATGTTCGGTATGGCCCGCTCAAAGACCGGAGGACATACATGACAGGACAAGGCCGAGTCTCTTCACCTTTTTCTTTAATCGCAAAACTCGTTCAACACATACTAGGTCGACACACCTATTTCTGGTTGAACCATCTTGACTCACATGCCATTTTTCTGAATCTAGATTCCCAGGTACCAGCGGTTACCATGACCATGGCCCTCTGTCTGGGCCATAACATCTACCTACTATGTAAAGCTCAGGTTTCTTTGATGGGGCGGGGCGGGGCTCTGAATCGTGTTACAAGATTCCCGAGTCCTTCCGAATTCGCCAATCCATCCAGAGATACAGAGATAAGATATACAGCGCAATTTACCTACCTACCGTACCTTCATACCTTTTGGGGGGAGGGGGGTTTGGGTATTCCAATGTTTGCCAGTTGCTGCAAATCACCGACCACCCAAATATATGGCGTGGTTGGATGAGCTTGCGACCGTAACGTGGGCGAGCGAGCAACAGGCAGCGCTGATAAAATTAGCCGCGGCATCGCAGCTTCCTTGTGCTCCCTCATAAGCCAACCACCTACACTTGTACTATCGACTTCGGATACACGGACGGGTCACCGGGAATTACCTCGTAATGTGTATCCCCCAATGTGTACATAGTAATGTGGACGTATGTATACTGTAGGTGCAGGTATTCAGCGGTGTAACGCTAACCAATATACTTACATAGGTCGAGGGCCTGGTAGATGAAACCTAAACAATGTGTGCCGATACTCAAAGGTGCGCGCGTTCCGCATCATCACCGCAAATTGCGAATACCCGGTAGGATGAAGGCGAGTATTCCAGCCATGAATATTCCCAGCATCACCAACTCGGTTTGGTTTCGTATTGCATATTTACTGCACTGTATAAACTTACTTTGGGCAAGCGGCCGCTGTAGGTTTGTCCGTGGTGTAAGTACCCGTTAGAGGTTTCTGTGTCTTGTTCTATGTCTTGCCTCGGGACAGCTGTGTAGCGACCGCGTCAGTCCTGGTAACAGTGCCCAGGCGATTCCTAATTTAGTGCGTGCCCATGTAGACAGCCAAGCCATTCCTGTACTGTGTGTAACAACTTTTTTTTGTCTATTTATTTAGTATGTGAAAGAGCAAGGGAGACCTAAGTAAAGCGAGACGGTTATACATGTACCCGATGGACATTAACTGACATCTTCCAACAATACGACTGCACATCTATTTTCGGTCTTCCCAGGCTTATTTATGCCGCCGTTCCATCGATACTCGTACCTGCCGACGATCCCGACGAGAACAAAATCAATGCTTCCAAATTTAGAACATAGTATAAAAGAATGACACCTTATCATCACCTGGTAAAACCAAAATCTGTATTCTAGAAGGGGGCGGCGGATGAAAAGAAAAAAAGAAAAAAGAAAACGTAGCTCGTTCACCCAGCCAGGGATCAAGAGCTCAAGCTACTGTCTGGCTGCAAAGCACGCTTTTTCCCGGCTGGGCTGCAGAGTTCTGGGGGGTATCGATTACGACATCATATGAGACGGGTAATAGCAAAAGGCCGTCTAGACAACAACATCAGCCCTAGCACCTGGAGAATAAGCTACCATATGTAAGATCTACATATATGGGCACGTAGGTATAACGTGTAGAACACATATTCACGCCACTGTGGAAGCAAGGAATGAATAAATACAGGAACTTCAAAATAATTTCCAAAGTGAAGCTTATTCTTTCGGGATAGTATCATCGGATGTGGTTCTCCAGGGCCGCATATTCACTCGTGAATAGGTAGCTACCAGTTAGGCGGCTCCATTTGACGAGATATGCTCTAAGGGATTGGTACTCTCCCCAAATGGACAGTCGAAAGCTACGCTTTAAGTCGCATTTCCATGTAATATAATAGATGCGTATTTGAAACCTGGAACATGAAACCTCGACTGTTTCTACCGTAGCACTTGCCGATGCGGACATTCAAAAGCTATAGTTTTGTACACTATTAGAGCACTATAATACTTCGTAGTTGAGCACTTGTGACTTGATTTCGTCGAACGGGAAGTTATTAAGACAGCGACACAAAAGTTGTCGCATTATGCAATCGTACCTCTCCGTACATATGTAGACGCTTGCTTCTAAATGCAAAAAAAAACCCCAAAGCCTGGCGCGAAGAAAACATGCTTCAATGCTCTCCGAAGCCCATACTGCTACACATTTGTACTACAATCATATACAAGTTCTAACCAGTCATCCACGCTGCGGCTCTTCTAGCACCGAACGTGGTAGCCAGCCGAAGACCACTAGAGCCCATAGGGAAGTAACTGATAAGATACCATAAAAGGCATGCAATCTGTACGAGTGCGGATATTAGGGTTAAGATCGTGTTTTGAAGCTGGGATCGTTAGCGACCGTGACGCCCTAAGCATGATACACCGGTACTTACGCCAACCGAGAAATATATAGTAAGTGCAATAGATCCAAAGTAGGCAGCAGTAAAGGGAAGACGAGGGCCTGATGTTAGATGTTGTAGATATGGTCTAGGTCCCATTACAGCTCCGAATGAGGATATGAAAAGGAGCGAGCCGAAAGTCCAACTATAGAGGTGTACAGTCGTTAGCAAGCTGGCGTGACCAACATGATTGTATCAACGGAGAATTGGCAGGCACAAAAAAAATGATGTCATGAATGGTAGGTCGCGTCGGGTGAGGTCTCAAAGAGCTAAGTGAACTTAACTAAGGGCGCCAGTTCACATGACCTCTACAAAGATGGTAACCTGCACATGTGCACCATGTCTCGATGCTAGCTCGAAAGTTGATAGTTTGATAGTAGACGTGCGGGAAATCGAGCATGATAGTCGACGGAGGGAGATTGGAAAAACTAAGCCTTACAGGATTACGAATTTGCGCGGCTTGGCCATAAGGATGGGCCAAAGGGCGAAGCAGAGCACGAAGCAGGCGAGGGCGCCCAGATTACAAGCGCCGAAAATAAGTAGCCGGTCCCAACGACTCACTAGATAAGAATCGGAGATGTTTGGTCAGCTTGTTCGAAGCTCTGGTGGGTCTTGCGCCATGCGCATCAGTGAAACATGGCGCGCGGTATTTGCGCATGCACATCGACCAGGCACACCTCTTTACGCGACGCTTGGAGGGTATAGCAATGCTCGATGACGTAGACGACTCTAGAGTGACTCACGGACAAACCAGCCTTCTTCTTCTTCGCGACGGTTGCTTGCCGGCAGGGGCGCACCGGCACCCTCGGTCGTGGGTAATTGTACATAGCCGCGGTCTCCAAAGGGATTCAGCGATTTGATGGACGACAGCAGGCCGGTCTGGGAGGAGGTATTGACGGAGTAATCGGGCTCTCGGCGCGACCATCCCAGAGAGTTCATCGACTCCCGGAAAGAGGCAGAAGCCATTGTGGGCGGGGGAGGGGGCGGACGGATGGATGGTGTCGAGAAAGGTGCGTATTAATGAGTAGGTAGGTATCAAGGTGGTTGACAAGAGGGCAATGCGCGACGCGGAGCACAGCAGAGTGGGTTTCGGTGTGGTACGGCGGATTCGACGGGAGAAGCACTCTTGGGGCCAAGCTCTAGTATCTGACGGCGTTCGTTGGGTGGTGTAGTCATGTGTGCCGAATGACCTCGCTCTGGGTGTTGGACGCGGGAGATGGCAAAGAGCAGAGTTGTAGCGGTGATGGAGGACGTTGTCGTGAAGCCGCGTAGGGTGGCTCTGGGTGGTGTGGCCATGATGGGAAAAGTGGGTGCTCGCGATCGGCCATTGGCTGGCTGGGGGAGTCTTTGGCATTGCTCGATCTTGGCTGCCTGGCTATCTGTTATCATGTTATCATGCTATCGACAAGCCACGCCGATCCACGCCGGATGTGTGGTCAGTGCCCCCTTCCGTCTTGTTGATTGGCTCCGCGGCAAGGCATGTGGCTGCATTGTTTCGCTGGGACCTGCCAACCTACTGAAGAATACCTACCTACCTACTCAAACCCGTGTCCAGAATGTTCAGAACGGGTGTTGTGCTTATGAGGCTTTCATGTCTTTCGTATAGAGGCTATTCTTTCTTACTAAGCTGCCTACTGGAATCGTTGCTCAGCGGCGAACAGTCGACTGCATCCGCCTCTTGTTCCTCCACGCCCTCTGACGAGACCTGGTGAACACGCGGTCATATGCCATTATTCGAGTACGCTAGTTTCACCGCAATAGCATACCTACCTAACCTATACAGTAGGTACTTGCTATGTAGGTAGATACGCAGCCATCCACACAGTTATGAAACTCTGCATGGAAAATGCCTATGGCATTTGCAGGCCATGTCTTGTCTATCTGCCTGGAGACGGCAGTCCTGCTTCCTTGGTTGTAGCTGCAGTGTACGCAAGCATCTTTGGCACCCTTATCGACCCTGTTCCTTAATTTGAAGGAGAAGCAAGCCCACGCATCCGATGCCGGCTGTTCCTTGATTCGCGGAATTAGCGATCTGATCTTAAGGGCCAAGCGGCCGTCGACCCCAACTGCGATTAGTCCAAGGTGAAGAGGGTTGTGTCAACAGCTTCACCTACCTACTTTGGGTATTTGAGGCTAGTATAAGGATGCTCTGCAGATGTAATAGCAAGGTACGTGCATCATGCACGGCGGGGAGCGCGGTAGCACCACCACTTAGGACCCTCTGATTGCCGGCGTGTCTATCCAGATAGAGGACGAGAAGACAACACCCTCACATTTCCTGTTGGTGCATCTGAGGTAGGATAAAGAAAAATGGGTAGCTGCCAACCACATACTTACCTATCCCACAAGATTAGACATACCATGGCTTCATCTGAGTTCTTGATTGTCGTACACAGACAGACCTTGTTTCCCGCTTGATATCAACTGCACATACAGTATTCGCCACAGAATCTCAGATAACGGGTCGTGCCGCGAGGAACGGCCGTCGACGGAACGGATCAGCGATAGAAAATCTTGAATATCTACAGGTAGGACAGCCCTCCCTGCCACGGGATCGATCCGGCGATTGGCTAGCGGGACATGTGAGTTGGGGTTACAGGGGCGAGAGGGGTTCCACAAAGGCAAGCTTGAAAGCTCTCAACAGAGCTCTCAAGGAGACGATCGAGGGTTGGGCGATCACTGTCGGCAAGCGGCAAACACACAACCCCACGGTTTTGCAGCTGCACTTGTCCACCAAGACGAGCCCTGTCGTGTTACATCGAGCCATCACGGACGCAGCCGTTGTGACTGTGTCTTGCAGGCTGATCCGCGCGCCGTCTGCTAACCCGAGTAGTGCCCGAGCCACACTTCGCCTATCTGCCTGCCTACCTACCTACCTACAGTCGATACTATTTTACCCCTCTATTCCTCGAGACTAGGTATCAAGTGTAGATGCCTACCTACCCTCTCGACCTGACAGAAATGGTGGAGGGTAGATAATGCCTAGAAACCTACCTGTTTACCTACGTATCTTGGCACTTTTATTTAGTTCTCCAATATAGCCGCAGATAGGCTACTATAGGAGTGGTGTTGATTGCCTGGCGAGCTCGCCTGGCTGTACTGGATATAGGAGCAGGCTTGTATGTCGTCGATATCAACAAGATCTGTATCTACCCCTCCCCCAGATGGCGCCCCGCATAATAGTAGACCCATTCATGTACATTATGGTACATTAATTAGGTAGGTATGTCGTTGAACTTCCTAGTCTTCCTATCTAACCTAGCCCAGTTTAGCCTACGGTCGTCCTGTTCTTGTCAGGACTAGCCCATGCGACGTTTCACTTCAAAGCGGCCGCAAGTGATCGCGGGGCTAAATGCAAGTACAACGAGAAAGCAAACCGGTCGAGAGCTGTGCAATGTGTATCAAGCCTAAGCCGAGAGAGTAGGGCAAGGTGGATGGAGATCCAGATAGGCATGTAGCTAGGCAGAACGAGATACTGCCGAGTATACTATGTAAGAGCCCAGGCACTAGGGTTGCCGAGGGTGGAATGCCTACTGGTGCAGTAATACATACACATACAGTAGCGAGAGTAGGTAGGCTATTCATGGTAAATATCGTATATACTGTATGTCAGCATGAGGCCACTTACAGTAAGTACGGAACTGGCCTTGTCTCCATACCTTACGAATTCTCTCCTGGTTCCTGCTTCTCGAAGTGCCCATGTTGTTGTGGCGATATACAAAAGCTGATGCATGGTGCCAGGACCAGCAGCGGGTGCCTTGCACAAGCGATCGCTGCTGCTGTGTTTCTGCCGTTGGAAGCTAGCCAGTGCCAACAAGTGCAACTTATAACTTGCACAAGTTATAGGCAGCTCCTAACGCGCGCTGCTGTCGCCCCGTCGAGGGCTATGGCAGTGAGTCAGACGGAGGTTCATCCTGGTCGTTCTTCAACATCTACATCCTGAACGGGGTGAGCCGGGCATTTCGGGCAGTTTCTAAATACCATGCTCCATCTAGCATTCCCATGGTAGTTAGTTGCGCAGGCTAATCCACAGAGGGTGGCATCGTGGCTTACCCAATGAGGGTTGGCTGACTTGAATAGTGTCACGAGCCTTAAGCTTGCCCTCCCTCACAGCCCCTGGAACCCACCTCGGTGCGGGATATTGATGATAAGATAGAGCAGTCTGTTGTGGTTAACATCCAAATAAGGTATTAGAAAACCTGGTAGAAAGACGATCGTGTTTCTCTCCTCGCTGCCCCTCCCTACACACCATCAAGACGGTCTACACACCACACCACCTCCCATTCATGGGCTCTCTACCGTCAAGGTGTCAAGAGTCAGGAGACGCACACGCTCGCTCTGATTTACAAACAACTTGGAAGAGACACCTGAAGTGGGAACACAAGTGTTTATAGTGGGCCAGAGTGTAGGTGGTAATACCTGCGAGCGGGTGTGCTTGATGAAGAACATAGGTAGAAGGTAGGTAGACTAGGTAGAGAGTATAAAATCCACTGCGGCCCCTGGATAGTTCCGTCTAGTAAGAGATGAAAGACCTCTTTCGAAAGATACTCGCTCTCTCGGCGTTATCTCTGTTCCCTATACTTTTGGGTGGTCTGTGAGAGACTTGATCTACCCCGTTGAACTGAACATTCGATTCACTTATATAATACTTGTAAGCAACCACATACTACAGCTATCTGCTTAACGAAAGTAGAACCAACGTGTGAGTTGATGGATATCCACGAGCATAAACACATACATAACTATAGGCCTAGCACCATACTGACTCCTTTCGAGACCAGATCTAGCTACCGCAGCTCATCTAACAAGTTCCCTTTGCAGGCGAACCGAGCAAGCGACCAACAAGATAATCAGACCAGAGGCAGCGCTTAGGACAACATTCGCAACTCGAAACTCGCGACACGATTCAAGATTACTTTGGAACAATAAGGCCGCTCGTTTACCTGTGTCTGAGATTTGTTGACGAGCGAAGAAGCTCTTGGCGGTATCGCACATTGTCACCGAACTTGAAGTAACTGCTGGATAGCATCTGGGCCTAGAAGTAGTAGGTACTGCGTGTGGAGGTGGAGCACATCTTTCCAGCCAACGCCGATTACCCGATCGGATACTGGAGCGGAGTGAGGAGCTGGCCTCGTCGAAACTGGAACGAACTTACTCATTGACTGAAGAGGTGGAAACTCGACTTGCTCAGTCATCCACCTGGGCACTTAGTCAAGTAGATATCTAACGTGCCAGATATCTAATTAAAGAAGGGTACGTACTTACTCAGGTATACTTACTGTATGGGTACCTACCTACCTACCTACCACTCTTTCACCACTCTTCACCGCACAACACCGCTGTAACTTGCCACTAACCACTGGCCTTTAGCGCTACCTACCCTCGCTACTAAGGTACCTACAATACCTACAGTATCATCCTGCACACTACTGCAACCACTTCTTTCTGCTTCTCTACCGGACTTTCTTGCTCCCACATCCACCACACAAACTGCTTGATAGCGCATTTGCGTTTTGCGTTTTGCATCTACATCATCCACGGCGGGACCGTATAATATTGAGCTATCATCCATCAAAACTGCCTGTCTCCTTGGCTAGAAAAACACCCCAGGCACCGAAGCTTCGCAGCCGGTATTTACACGCCTGCCTATGAGTATATATCCATATCCCTACACCGTAACTTCAGGGACCTGTACAGCAACTCGCTGAGCTGCCTCGACTTCCGAGATCGCAGCTCGACATACACACCCTTGCTACTACTGTCTCTGCAAGGGATCTACCTGATCGTTCAGATCCTACCTAGGCTCCGGCCGAATTAGCTGACCAGCCCCGAGTCTTCCACAAACAACTACCTACACCAGGTTCCCTCGGACCGCCCTCTCCAGTATCCAGTAGTGCTTGCTTGTAGCACCGACTCAGGCTTCCTCTTCCTCTTCCTCGTACGGGATACTGTGCAGGGCTGTGCCGCCGCACATCAACGATTCACGCCTGTGTTTTATTCCATTTTGGGCAGAAGCTGGCCAGGGAGCCAAGGCATCGGGAAGACTAGCAGCTCCGGTAGCCTACTTCTTACTTAGTCCGGCCTACATATACTCAACATATACATACTGACGCCACTGTACCTATTGACTTAGTCGGATGTAGCTCAGGCTGCAAGCTGCTCTCGCTAAATCAGTTCAGCTTCGCCAAAGTTTCCTGCCAACGAGTAACTTGGCCTCCACCGAAAGCCACCAACCTGCCTATCGTCCTGGATTATTATTGCCTTGCCTGACAGCTGGACGCAACCCTCGACTACGTCTCTGCCTGTCCTAGCCTGTCCCTGTCTCCTACTTCTCCACTTCCACCTCCGCCTTTCCCTACTCCTCTGAAAGGCACGAGAGAGGCTTGGACAGCCGATAAAGCGCAACTTCGTATATTCGCTCGCCCAGGTACATCGCAACCGCTACATACCCCGAGGTTACCCTCTTTCCCTCTGCTCTTTCATCGCCCAATCTGTCCACCTTTGACTCGGCCCGTTGGTCAAGATCAATAAGATCATAATCGAGGTCTTCTGCTCGGGTACGACAAAGTAAGCCCGAACCCCATCACAGCCGGCCTTCCCAGCTTCTTTTTATTCCCACTGCCCTTGTCGCTTTTTCTCACCTAAGAAGCGCACCAACGGGACCAGTTGAATCCGGTCGCATTTCTTAGGCCACCGTCATCGCATCTCACCCCCCATCGTAGACCTGACTCCTACCGTCCCCTTTACCGTCTTGTTCTCCTTATGAAAACATAGCGGTCTCGTCGACTGAGACAACCTTGTTTCTTTCCGTACATCTGTCATACTTCAAAGTCAAACTCCCCTAAACCACCACACAACCCCACTGTCCGAGTCCTGTCCACAGCCGTCGCCAACCAAGCACTGGTTCTCCGGCTCGGCAACCTACGTCAATTGAGCAACGTGGGATAACAAAAGGGTGTTTCAATTTGCCCTCGGAGCCTTACTTTTTTTTGTAACGCTCCCCACCTAAGAGACCAATAAGTGACACCTTGACAACCCCTCCGCACTACCTACACTATCCACAAAATCACCCTGTCTTGTCTGCACTCTTTTCGCAACGATTTTTCCGGAGCTACATGGCATAGCAGCACCGTCAACTCCTATTCTCAAGCATCTCGGCATATAATAGCATTATTATCAGTAAGTACTCGACCGTCCCTTCATTTCACCACGTTCACAGCTGCAATCTACTGCTGCCTCTCCAAGACTTCGGGGGTGTGGGGCTGACTCGGTTGGATATCCATAGCATCGGCTCTTGGTGTGACCAGACACATAGTATTTTCTGCGTCGTCATTGCGGTATGACATATCTTGCAACCAACTTCGGTCACACACACGATACGATGGCTCAGCACGCCTTTAGCCACTTCGGTGGTGGCCAGAACAATGGAGGGAGTGTTGACCCAAATGACTTGTCCTCCGGGGCTTACGGCGCTTCATATTCGAATAATTTCAATGGCAACAACAGCACTTCCGGTGGGTTCTTCAACGACGACGAGCTCCTAGATACCCTCGCCAGCCCAGTCGATCGCATGCCCAACCAGTCAAATATACATAACCAAAGCCCAGATTTCGGAGGTGGGAATGACATGAGCATGGGCTTCATGTATACACCGCAACCTAATAACCAGGGTTTGCAAATGGATCAATCGCATATCAACGGATACTCCCATACTCCAGACGGTGACCCTATACAAAGCCCATTTGTGCACAGCTTTGGGCAACAATTCCGGCAAATTCAACATCCTCAGTCTTTTGGAAACTCTCTCCAGTCCCCAGTTTCATATTCTGGCTCGCCCTTGGCGAATGGCGACATGAACCATGATGGTGGCGACCCTAACTACCTAAACACCAAAGCTCATGCTCACATGGCCCAGGGCATGCAGCGCAAGGCTTCAAACACTAGGAGTCCACTGACTAACAAGACTGCTGCTGCTATGTCGGCTCTGACAATGAATGGCCGCGAGTCGGGTAGCTTTGGCGCCCAACCCATCCGGACACCAGGAGGTCACCATGAGAAGTCTCCATCAGCACAATGGATTCATACTCCAAATAGCTTGTCATCTTTTGGCGGTTCTGGATTCCCCTCTCCGTTGCAACACGGGATGCAAAACACTCAAATTTCTGACGTCTTGCTAAAAGGGGGCACATCCATGCCTGCTAAACTGAATAATCCTAGTGCTGTCTCGTCGCAAGAAATGAAGAGAAAGAGGCGCCGCGAATCTCACAATCTTGTTGAGCGTAGACGCCGAGACAATATCAACGAAAGGATACAAGACCTTAGCAAGTTAGTCCCCACTCACAGACTTGACGACGAAAAGGTCCGTAAGATGATCCAAAGTGGGACACCAATATCACCAAACCTGGCGGGAATCAGTAACCCAGGACAGGCGACGTCGGGATTAGCAGGCCCTGGTGCTAAGCGAGCCACGGGCGCTGGCAATATCACAACGGGTCTGCCACTTGAGGATAAAGACAAAGGTCCCAACAAGGGAGACATACTCAACGGCTCCGTAAGTTGGACAAGAGACCTGATGTGGATGCTACACCTCAAGCTTCAACAGCAAGAGGAACTTATCAACACCATCGTGGAATTAGGTGGTAGAGTCCCATTCTCAATTTCAGACGATGAGAAGCGGATGCAAACTGAACTGAATGAGGCGTGGGACAAGAACGAGCCTCACACCTTTTCCTACAGTCGGTATGCAGGCTCTGGTCTCCGGGTACCTAACCACACTGACTACAAGGGAGATGCTCTCGATGGGACTGAACCCACAGGGGTTTCAGTGAGCCCTGAGGACTTGGCACATGATATGGACGATAACGTCTTTTGGGAACAAGATGAGGATGGTAGTGGTCCAGTCACATCAAATTTCAAGGAAGAAGATGAGTACATGGACTTCGACACATGAGCGACTTCTCTATTATTCTTGTCACGGACTGTCGCTTCCGACACCCCGTTTCCTGTTTAGCTTCCCTTCGGTGTTGCTGTCTTAACATAGCGGTTCATGCATATACGTTGAGACATTCCGAGCATTTTCATAGGGTCGAGGCATCTCATTCATTTTGCATTCACAAGGTCGTTCTGGCGTCTATTTGGGTCGCCCTACCAGAATGTTCACTCTCCCTTTTTCGGGAGATCTCATATCCTGTTTCATTTCCAGATACGACCCTTGAATAGGGCGTAAGGGGCATTTCTCTTAGCTCTTGCTTATTTTTGGTTTTCCTCTCATATTATCACCCTTTAGCATTTCTCTGTGTTCTGGAAGAACCTGGTTTGTTTTTACTATGATACCTGGAGAACCATGGAGTTTCAGGTCACATATCTAGGAGGCACACGGGCGTTTCGATACTTCCCTCTTCCATTTGTTCATACAATCAGTCTACTACCTGTCTTTGTATCGGCTGTTTTTATCCTACTATTGCTCATTTGCTTTTTTTCCCGCAAAGCCAGATGCACAGATTTCCATCTTCATGGGAGCCCATGTAGCGTGCCATACTTGAAGCATAGTATAGTTTGGCCATATTTAATACTCATGTACTAGTCCCTTTGAAAGGGACAGGCTCCCTAGAATAGTTTATATACAAATTTCAAACAAACTGAGAACCAAGCTGTATTTGGGTACCTATTGAGCAATTGTACGTATACATGTCTTAGTGTATCTAAAATCCAGGTAAGCCAGGATCGAGCTGATGTGACACTCGAACATATGTCCCTTTGATTCAGTGTAGCTAGCTATCTTCTAGACGAAAGAAATAGGCAGATGAATATATGAATGAAAGAATAGAATGACATGGAGACGAAGTGACTACCTACCCAGTGTGTAGAATTTTCTTCTTCTTTTCTTCTCGATCATCAAGTAATTAAGTATGTCAATAAGTAAAATGAAAGGAAAGGCATTGCGCGTTTGAGACTAATAGTTACAACCAACGAGCAATATATAGTGTGTTTGGTATTGTAAGATGCGCGGGCGTACCAATGTGATTAATACATCCTACATTTTCGCTCATTTATGCTATTAGATGATAGATAAAGTGTAGGTGTACATATATACATGTATGGAGGGATGTCAATTAAATTAATTAATCGACGAGTCATCTAGATATCTAGCGAACCAAGTGAATCTAGGATGAGGTATCTAGCTCTCTTATATCTTACCTATCTATCTAAAGTCTCCGTCTTTCTTTCATCGTATTTTCGTAAAACGCTGAAGGAGCCCATAGCATAGTATGAATATTGGTTTAAATATATAAATAATATTACATTAAACTCCGGAAAAGACTTCTCTTAGTTTTTATCTATCCACTCTGCTCCGCTGCGCTATTTTATTAAATACATTACATTAACCTATAATCTCAATAGGCACAATATTCCAATCCACGGATAGTAAAAATAAACACCTCTCTTATTAGACAATGCTTGAAGATTTCTTGGACAAGATACAATCTAGGAGATCTCTACTAAAAAAAATCAAGCAAAAGATTGACCTCGCTGGGGGTCGAACCCAGAATCTCCTGATTGCGCGCGTGTGAACTTGTTTGTGTCAAGTTCTGATCGTAGTCAGACGCCTTGCCATTGGGCCACGAAGCCAGATGAGTTGAGCTTGTTGTGGTTAGCCGAGTTCTATTGGCCCATATGCAAGCTGCGCCAGCTAGCTATCTAGTCTCCCCGCTGCGAACGCGATGATCCAATGAACAGATCCACTGTCTCAACATAAAGTTCATCGAGGCTCGTGGTGGCCTGGACATGAGGATTCTGCTCGAGTGCATCAGACCATTGTCGCCAGCGCGTGCCGGGTAGAGGATCCTGCCAGTTCCGGAACTCGCGGAGTATACGCGACATTCGGATGACGAAAGGCGCGAGATGGATGTCGACAAGACATAAGTCACCGCCCAGAAAGTAAGGACCCTAGATACGACAAATGTCAGAATGAAGTCAAGACTGGCCTGTATGGAATGCGTGTTCCTACCTGTTCATCGGCAGCTTGAACCAATGCCAGTATATCGCCCTGGAGCTTATCGATATACTCAGTCTGCCTTTGCATGTCCGACGTCTTCACCAAGGCGAAGAATGCTGGGACTATCTTTGTATTGACCTACATGCAATTAGTAACTTGAAGGGAACCAAGCAAGGGCAGAGGAGTCGTACATGGTCAATCCATAATCTACAGTTTGCTTTGAGTCTAGGGTTTGTAGGCATTAAAGGAACCCCTCGGTCGTAGTCTTCGAGCTATATAGTTTTGAAGTTAGCCATGATGGACAAAATACCCGACACGCCAAAATCACCGCACTCACGTATTCTAATATAATTGCACTCTCTCCACTAGCCCAGTCGCCCTGGCGAATAGCCGGGACTAACCCCCTAGGATTCGCCTCGAGCAAATGAGTTGGGCGCTGGAAGGGATCTGTCTCGCAGTACTGATATGGTAGGTTCTTCGCTTCAAGAGCAATCCATACCCGTTGAGAGAAGGGGCTATCGACGCGGCTAGATTAGCAGATATTCACACTACGGCAAGGAGCGAGCGTACCAAAAACTTGCTGCGTAGAGTTTTAGCAGCGACTCTTTCGAGTGTTTCCTGGCTGTTACGAGAGCATTTCCAGATGGCCGCTTCTGCAGTATCGTCTTCTATCTTTGTGATTAGTTGCTTTGCCCTCAATATTGACTCTTTATTTTGATTGCTGGGCTCGTGATAGAAGTAACCAGACGACTGTGTAAGGAATTTTCGGACAGTCTGGTCCTAATTGACCTTCCATATTTAGGCGTGGTTCAAGGGAAAACATATTGCAGCCCCTCTACCTCTGACATAGAGACTCAGTGTGTGAAAGCACGCAATTGAAACTCACCTGTCCTTTCCTGGCTTCTTTCTCCTGCGCAGCGAGGAATCTCTGCACAGTAGACTTCTTGATCTCGTCGCTTTTCTGCAGCGTATGTTTATGGGGGCCCGGAACACCATCCCCTTTACCATTACCTCCATTCCCGTTCACCCTCTGGATGGTCCAGTACTTGTTGGTGGTGATCTGACTGCTGATACGTCGCACCACACCATCTGGGAATTGGTGCAGTGATTGAAAGCTGTTAGTGGAAGGGATATTAATGTTACCATCCACCGAGAATGTTGCATCAGGAAAATGTTCGGTAATCTTGATTTTAACATCACACAGATCACGTTCCCGCGCAGACCGTTTTCGCTTCTTCTTAGCAGGATCATCCGACTTAGGAGTACCAGGCGGCCGTCCTTTCATCCGACAGTCCCAGTAGTGTGAAACTGTGTTTGGAAATCAGTGATTTGTCTACTAGACAAGTGAAATAAAGTGAGAGAATGGTGATATAAGCTCTCTATATGGATCTTGCACCTTCAAAACACCTTGAATCTCAACATCAATTGAATTGAAGGAGGGTAAAAAGACGAAAGGCGGTAGCTAATGGCGAAAGAGGACTCACCGAAATTTTTGCGCTTGTATTTCTGAGTTGACCGATGTGAGTAGACATTATCAATATGGGGGAAATAGGTCTCAAATCTGAGGGTATGTCAGCTTTTACATCCTTCAATGCTTATGAATAAGTTCAGGACTTGGATAGAGCGCACTCGTCATTTGTCAAAGTAATCATGTCATCAACATGGAACAGCTTATCACGCCAAGTCTCCAAGTTGGGCGGATCGATCACTATTCTGTTCACTAATTGGCCGTGTGGTCGCTCGGCCGGCGGCTCGGGAATGGTGACGACCGATGGCGGTCTAGGCCGAGGGCCGAATACAGCCTCCCTTGAACTGATCTGGGGTATAGTACTAGGCTGGGGTGTGGGGATGCTAGGAGTTGTGAGACCGAACTGGGGCTGACTCGACGGTCCGGAGTGGGGAGGTAGAGAGCTTGGTGACGTATGGTGCGGACGAGGAGGCTGCGACTGGGGGTTGGACGAGCGTCGATGGATGCGGGCCGACGGCGGCGGCGGTGGCGGGTGATCACGGTCGAAGCCATCGTGTGAAGAATGATGGGCGCGGCCGAAGTCGGGATGAGCACCAGGCGTGGTGGAGAGAAGGTTTGGACGTGGATGAAGCTGGTAGGCGTGGTCTTGAGTATCCACAGCAGTCAGATCGAGATTCGGATGTGACGAGAGAGTTGTGATACGGAAAGCATGGGTTGGCGGCGGTTGGCTCGTCTGGTGATGGACATCGCGGGAAAGCCGACGGTGGCTACCTTCCGGGGATGAGTACTTGATCGAGGCCGGGTCCATGGCGGTGCGATATGTTAGACCAGTACCTTAAGATGCAGCAAGTCCATATATGTATATGTATGGGAACGTGTAGATTTCGAGTACTTGTTCATCCGATTAGGTATTGCCCTCGCCGTTCTCTCGTCGCCGAGACAGTCTCGTAAGCGCTGTTGCTCGCCGTCAAACCTCGGTCTACCTACTGCTGCCCCCACTGCTGCTGGCACGACGGTCGATTTTGCTTCTGGCCGACGCAGCTTCGGCGCACCTTAACCCAGCCCATGTCGCATGCTGCCCTGCCAAACAATAAGGGATGGAGGAGGAGGAGGTATGATGGAGGCAGGGAGGGGGATATTGTATGTAGGTACCTAACACGACTGATTGGTAGGCAGGTAGATACCCAAGGTGGTTCAGTAGGTAGGCGAGGGGCGGTGGTGTTGGTAGTGGTGGTGGTGGTGGGTCGGTTATATAGCGAAATAGACGCGGAAAACGAGACACAGGACAAAATTGCTCAGCTCGGAACAGAAGCCGAGGCGACAGCAACCCTAATCACGGTTGTCTGGTGGTGGTTGTGGATGTGATTGTTGACGAGGACGTCGATTGTGGACTTGTGGACGTGTGGACGTGTGTTGCCAGTTGCGGCCCGGCGGCTTGTCTCGCGCGGTCGGAGATTGGGCAGAGAACGGCCATGGCAGGTATATGAAGGCTTGGGTCAAATCGGAACCATATCGGCCATGCGTGAAGGAGGTTGTTGGCTCGAGGCCACAAACATAAACAACATAGCCAGCGCCAGTCCTGGTCCTGGTCCTGGTCCTTAGTGCCAGTCGACCGGAGGGAGGGAGTGGATGGCCACGGGTGCTGGGACACGAATTGGGACACGAAAACAAAGAGGCTTAGTCTGCGAGATGGTTGTCGTCGTCGTCATCATCATATTGTCACATCGTGGCCACGGGGCTCTTCCGTCTCTGTCCCCGTCTTCTCTTATTGCCCTGTTGTTATAGCTCCCAGTAGTGGTGGTAGTGATAGGAATGATGGTAGTAGTGGTGATTGTTGCCAGAGACAGACGACATATCGATTCCCCAAGTTATAGGTACCTACTCCGTACATGCATGCGTTCTACTCGAATATACATGGCAGCTTACTTCGTACTGCGAATTGTTGCCTCTTACCTATCAGCTCATCGATGCTGTTGCCCCGCGGCGTTTGTCACCACATCTGTGAAACGTGCTACATACACACGATACCTATCCGAGTACCCAGGTAAATATATGTCGTAGATATATTTCGTCCCACTTGATCAACATAATCGAGCCTCATCTGTGCGTACCTATCTGTTGCAATCTTCGTCTTCGGTCACTTCGCAGAATACTGCCCACCTACATACATATATCGCATTCGATCGGACCATCTCGACATCTGCATATAGCAGCCATTATTCCAATCCGCATTTCCTACCACCATACGTATCCGATGCTGCAGCTGTACTTAACTTACACTGCTCACGGTATATACCTAGCTTAGCTGAAAAGCACCTCACTTCCGTCCGTCCACCCCCGCCTTTCTAAGCAAGCTACCCCTGCATGCGTAAATACTATGTGGAGGAAGGGAAGGGAAGGTAAAGCATCACGTCAGCAGTTCCTTGCAACACCTCGTTCTGCTAGGTAGGTCCCCAGGAAACAGAAACATTCGTGTTTTCTCTTCCTGGCTAGGTATTTAGTCATGTTGAACAAGTAATCGAAACCATGTCGAGAGTGGATATCAATAAATCGCTATGTGTCATCACCAGCCTCCCGCCCTTGATAACTATAAAAACTACATAACTATAGTATCGACATAGTTATAGTCCACGCAAATAATGAAGACCCCCTATAGAGCTAGCGCGTTAATATACCTACTTATACAACCTCGGGGCTCAGTTGCCGAGGACCCTTGCCCAGCCGCCATGGTCGGTCGGGGCTTAGAAATACTTCATTCATATACATTCCCAGCCTGCCAGCTCGTGCTCGTTCATACATACCCCTTTGCGCCACCCCATCTAAATCCGTTAAGATGCATCCCACGCTTCTAATACCATGTGCCCAGCCGACTGACCCAAAATAAACATGTATATATATCTGAAATCAAATAAAAACAAGAGGACAGGTTTAAACAAGTCGTTTTTTTCGTTCATGTGGATGGAGCTGGCTGCTCTACGTCCCCGCATCCCAATTCATCTCGACGCCGTCCATGGACATGTTCAGCCCCTGTATTATCGCTTCGGCGGTTCGTGGAGTCATCCCAGCCTGTCCGTTTTCCCACGCTGCTGACATGCTGAAGTCGTTGCTGGGGGTATCCGGGATGGCGAACGCCCGACCAGGTGTCATGCCGACGAAACCGTGATCAGGAAAGAATGGCGCTCTGGAGGCATCCATCTCTGCTCCCTGAGCCCCCAGATTTTGTTGTGATCCGATGGGACTCGTGTTGAAGGATGCACCGTTCGAAGGAGCCATCGCACCTGTGCTAGCCACGCTGCGTCTCTGCTCCGAGGCGTTGCTGCTGGAGTTTGGTGTCGGTCGGTTCGATTGTGCGTCTGGATTGGACGATACAGACATATCGTTTGCGTCGCTCCCTTGGGCCTCTCCGTAAGAGGTAAATATCATGGGCGGTATAATTACGCCGTTGACCGCGTCGTCAGGACCTATAACTCTTTCACGCGACGGTATTTGCCGCTCTCCAGAATACCATTGCTGTGTCCCAAATTGGTTACCCTGTGAGCTGTTGTTACCTTGATTTCGACGTTCCGGTTCGATTAGCTCCGAGGCATCGATGGCATCCGTTTTCTCATAAGTCATGAAGTTACAGCCCACCTCATCAAACACAGCTTCTACGCCGGTTCGGTGATTAGTACCATCAGATTTCGGTTGGTAGTGTGCGACGTTTGATTTCGGAGCCGGCTATTCAATCATGTAAGCCAGTGCTATTTCTTCAAGGAAGAGGGGTTCAAATCAGATAAACACCTACGCTGTCCGTGCTTCGCGGGAACGCAGACTTGAGTTTCGGAATTCGCATTCCTAATGCCTCTAGATCGACATCAAGCTGAACCAAGAACGACTCTGTTAAAGGGTTCTTTTTCTTCAGAGCGTTCATGGCCGCAAGGAGGAATCTTAACGAGTCTGCGGTCTGACAATCGTCTGGGCGGCTCTTCAGGTACTGCACAAACACTCTTGCCGCTACATACAAGCAGAAAGAGACAAAAGGGTTCATCTAGGGGCCTCGTAAGTATTTCTGAAATGTAAGTTTTTCAGAGACCTGAAAAGGACAATAGGCCATGAATAACTGAATGACATACGGCAGATATATCCAGATGAGACGTCATTCTCATTATACTCGCGATCTCATTCGCTGCCGTGATACAGCGAACTTTACTTTCTGCGCTGACTGTCGGTGGGAGTACATTCTTATCGGCCTTGAATATAGCGGCCTGATGCAAACATATCGTCGACGTGTGGATATTCATGTTTGTGAAAACGATATTTGGGTTATTCAGGCCAGTTGGAAGCTTTAGGTGGTTGGGGAGACACAACGAGGTATTAAGGAGTATGTTATCTAAAAGTCGATGTCGTTTCCAAAACTCGCCATTCATGTCGTGATCGCGGTCATCAACATCGGGGCGATGAAGGTGGGTGAGGTTGCGGCCGAACAGAGACGCCATTAGCACAATGCCGCCGAATGCCGACAGTTTGGCCGGCCCAGCCGGGGTCATTGCATCTGATAACGTTTGCGTTTGCTCGGGCCTGCTCAGATTAAAGGCTTCCTCGGAGGCGGGTAAGTTGGTCATGATGTCCCTTTCATCGACAGTCATCGGCCATCCTGTTCCGATGCTGGCGTATCTGTCTTGACAAAAGGCCATCCAAAATGTTCTCCGCCTTTCTTCCCTCTCCGTCCAGTCACGTGGTGGTGGAAGACACTGCTTGACATCCAGGCCATTACCATCAATCCGATGGAGGCCAATCCTATCCTTTGTAGTCAGCAGAGCTGCCCTTTGCATCACGCCTCTGAGTAGACCTTACATTTGGGCGAGGCGCACAGCTGCACCCGTGCTCATCCAAGCTCTAGGAAAGTACATCATCTTGAACTCATAAGAAGCTAGCAAGACATGCGTTTGGCAATGAGCAATTGTAATCGAGTGCTCACCATAACCCTTAATAGCATCTGCCTCGACATATTTGCGGGAGCGTTGATAAAATAACTCTTTGAGATCCTTATACTTGTCCGTAAGGGAACAGGCTAGAGTCCATATCGCATAGCGCAGCGCTACCGGTGGTCGTTGACTCGGTGCCCTAACAGTTCTAGTAAGCGGAAAGTATTTCAGGTAGGGGCCAAGGGAGTTTCGATGGTTGGTAAGCTTCACTCTGAGGGAATAGAACGAGCGGTACTTACAGATTCATTGCCGCCAGGTATCTAAATTTATGAATCATGGGTACAGATGGGTGAATTTTTTCGAAATAGATTTGGTGGCTAAAAGAGCGTCAGAAGAGTCCCTGCCTAGGGAGCATAACTGGGAACTCACAGTTCGTCAATAGTCTCTTGGGGTGGAAGAGGTTCCTCAAGCCCAAGCCCAATCATTTCCCACGTGAAACTCGGGTCCATGCTATTCATGTTGATAGGCATGTTGCTTGTGAAATTGAACTCATCCAATCCGTTTCCTTGGGGCGACTCTCCATTAAAACGCCATCTATCTATATCACGCTCGCCGGAGATCCCTATTGAAGGGTTGGCGACATTGAAACCGGCCGGAGTGTTTGTCTGATGATTTCGAGTCGGCTCAAATGTCACGTTGGGTGTTTTGGTAGTCTCAGGGCTTGCACTACTACTAGGTTCCTGGGTCTTCAATAGTTCTTCGACTTGCTCTGCAAAGATCCAAAGTCAGTCTCTTAACCATCCAGAGAGCGCGGCTTAAGAATGAAAGCCTTGCGCTTACTTAGCCTTTCCTCCAGGGCCTTCACATAACCTCGTTTGGGACCACTCTTTTTCCTAACCTCGTCATAGGCGCACGAATGACCAAGGCGTGTGCAGGTGCTACAGCTCGGTTTGATGCCATCACAGCGGAGCTTTCTTTTGCGACATATCATACACGCAAGCCTCTTGGGCTTGGGTACATCATTATTGCTTCGAGGAGCCGTTTGCGCCGTGGTGTCAGCAGGTGGGCTGCCATCAGTGCCTTGTGACGGCGATTCGGCAGGATCAGTCGTCGTGGGCATTATTCTCTGCCGTCAAGGGTTATGGAGTCAATCGACTAAGGACCGGCCTTGTTATCTGTTTGGTTGATATCGTCGGTTAAAGACAAGTCGTGGATGCGTAACTCGGCGCCTTGCAAACCGGCGCGCCGCATAGAGTCGCAAGAATCCCGGTCAATGGTACGGTTCAGCAACAACACCGAGGGTAACCTGTGCCCCGCGCATAAATATCTCGGCCGATTATGAGTGCCCGGCACTTTTGATGTCCGGCTTAGTCGAAAAGGAGATTCGCTAGCCCGGAGCGTCGCAACTTGTTTCGATACAAGGCGAGGAAAGAGAAAAGGGACCGATGTGTAGTGGGGCCGGCTTCCTGGAACGGAGGCAAACAAAACCTAGCTAGCTAGCAGTATCTGGGCAGGGGTCTGAGTCGACGAGACTCTTGTTTTCCGTCGGACGTATGCCTAAACGAGGTTATGAGACGGAATGAATGGCGAAAGCTGATGCTGAGGATAAGGAGAATGGTCTTGTTGGCATCACAGCCGTTCTTACTAATACACCTCGAAGGTCCCGCACTAAAAGTTGCCAAGATATATGACTGCTTACAGTACCTACACTACCGCGTTTGGTTCTGTATCCATACCTCTATCTAGGTAGGTAGGTGATCTGTACTAGACGCAATCAGAGGACCTAGAACATATCATATCATCAGACAAAGTCGAGCATCAGGAGCCCGTCGTTGCCATGAGCATCCTGATTCACATACACATGGCATGGTGGGAAAAGACTGTAGCATTCTGTCTAGGTTAGCCTTCAATAGATCCTTCGATGCCAGGGAGAAGGTAACGCTGGGGCAGTTCCGCAGTGGGGTCAGCAGCTGAGAATAGAAGACGCGGATAAGACGTGGATATAACGTGCCATTTGCGAATGCGTCATGCAGGCGAGGCAGCAGCAAGAGGACCACACAACCTCGGCAATTGGCTGCATCAATCGAGGATCGAAGCTGTTGTTACCTACCTATTCACCTACCGCTCTTTGGGGCTGGTTACCATGAGCCAGGGACCAAAGTGCAAGGGACTTTTTTCCCGTGCAAGTGGCGCAGTTAGCCAGCCAGTCGTAAGAAACAGTCTCGAGTCGTCCGTCCCGTGACAACCTCTCCTTGCGCGCCATGGCCATCTCTGCATACTTATCCATGCTTGTCAAGACCTTGTATGCCAGATCACTTCCAATCTCCGAATTGGTTGTATCTGTCCTGCTCGATTGAAACTCGGATGGGAGCTAATAATACCAGATGACTGCTTACATCTTTTCAGACTTGCACAACAAGTGCCTAGTTCTCCTTGTTAATTAAGTAGGACGCGCCGAGTTTCGCTATAGATTGGTATTGATACATCACGGTGGATAAACCAGATCGAATGCCTCTGTTGATTCGACACTGCTTGATAGCATCGCACGTACAGAACATGTTGGTACAACTGGTTCACCCACACGGAAGATTGCCAATATCATTGCCTGCTCCAAACTCGGAGTCAAGTTCATCCGCGCTGACACTGGATAGCGTCAGGTACCGTCACAACCTGTGCGACAGCCATTCGTGGCGTGTGCGTGCATGCCAACCTTAAAACAGCCTCCTCCCAGTCCAGCGTTGCATCTTCTGAATCTGCAGCCACGAGGTTCTTCATGATCCTTTAGTTGCGACAACGCCGTGCCCATCAGTCTTTCTATTTTCCTCCAGGGCTTGCCCCTATTGTTCTAAGACTACCTGAGTCAGTATATGCAAGAGCATATCGATTCGGCGCCCAAGCCACCATAGGGGACGACGTCCGCGTTTTATAAGTGCAAAGATGCTCTCCCGTTTCAGAAACGGTGATCTCTAATCCTGTGCCTGGGGCGTGTTAGCTATATCTATGAGAGCAGGCATTGGCCAGAAAACTGACCTTCATCACTCCCGCCAACGACGAAGAGACCATCCCAAGAGAAGGCTTGATATCATGTTAGTGCTATGTTTCCAGATAATGCAGACAGCATCTTGTGCATACATATACTTCGGACTGGACCCGTCATCTTAGTGATGGTCCGAACGCAGTTCCACTCGTTTGTCTCCCAAAGCGCAATAAGAGAATCTGTTCCGCCCGTGGCAAGGTATCTGTTGAAGGGGTGCAGCTCGACAGCGATACAAGACGAAGTGTGCCCGGATAGCATGAATTCGTTCTCTGGCATATCCTTATAACTGAACTGGTAGGCCGGTTCAAATCCCGGAAACGTGAGGATTCTAGTCTTGCCCTCTCCCGTAGTAGCAAATAACCTTTGACCACTCCAACAAAACGTAATGTCGTTGGTCATGGTTGGTTGCTGGTGTGTGGAAATGACGTTGGGTTCAGTTGGGGATAATACATGAAGTTTATTTTCCTGTACCTTTGTTAGTGCAAAAGTTATCAAGGATTTCGCAATTGAGGAGAATGGGGCACCTTGTTGCCAACGACGACGTGTTCTCCGCTGGGCGTCCAAGCCAACGTGAAGGTCTCTCCTAGACCTCTGACTTCATTGAGGACCACTTTATTCTTGACATCCCAAAACCTCGCGACCCCATCACTGCTCACGCTACAAAGCTCAAGTTCCTTGGCCGGGTTGAAAGCAACCTTTTCAATGGGTGCCGCATGCCCCCTGAGCTCCGTTGACTGACGAACATTAGGCTTCTCTACGTTCCCTTAGATACATCATTAGCTAGAGTATAACACAAAATATTGGCCTCAGTAATGAGCTTGGAGAATAGACCGGTCAACTCACAAACTCGCAGTGTCTTGTCTGTGCAGCCAGTGGCCAGGTATGTACCCAGAGGGTTCCAAGCAATAGTACGGATACTGAAACGTGAAAATTGAGACCTTATCCAAGTAAAATGTGCATTCGGGGCTGTAGAGTACTCACTTGTTAGGGGATTTGCTTGCGTTCGGGTCAAGATAAACAGTGGGCTGTAGTGATGGGAGGAGAGTCTTGAACCTCTCAGGAGCGACGGAGGTCTTTGTAGTTAACCGGCCTGACGCCATTTCTGGATATTGGTGGTGCCGCTATGATTCTGGGATGCGGGTATACAACAGACAGTATAGTATATGTTCTTGTCAACACGACTGCAAACTTACAACAGATGATTTCGAGTGTTTGTGGCTGGTGTGGATTCCGGTTTGAAGAAGTAGAATATTTCAGGATCGTTTCTGTTTCTGCTTCCTGCTAAGGCTAGTTGACCAGATTACAGAGCAAGGGCAATTGAATCATAGAAGAGTATCGAGGAAGCACTGGGCATAACTCAAGGTTCCAGCTGCCAGGTTTCAGTCTATTACATCGAATTGGATTGTTGTGATATATCGTAGCCTTTGGTACTGGGTGAGCTGCGATGAAGGTACTTAGGTACCTACACATCGCAGCTGCAGCTGGTGACATACATACCCACTTAGGTTAGCACCTAAGGGCCGACCTACCTACCTAGGTACCTACTATATTAGTGTGCATTGGCCTGCTGTAGGCTTCTTGGGTAGGCACCTCAAGGAACATGGGACGTCACGGTTCCCCTGTGGCACTCACCTTCCCATGCTTCACGATACCTCTTAAGTGTCTACCCAAATAGTTATCTGTTATCAAGCGCAGCGGCAAATCGACGTGCAAGACCGTCCAGGCTCAGCAAAACTCGTCAATCCGTCACCAAAGTTGCCACCGCTCCATGAGTCCCGTTCGTTGAGCACTTCACCTCGAATGTAGGCTCCCGGGCCTGAAGGGTAGTCATGTACTGGCCCATCGGGACTCCCAGGATCTATGCCACTACCACAACCCTTGCCGCAAGTCAAGATGGCAACATCGTCGTCTCTCACGATGGTCTGCCGCCGCGCAGCTTTGTCGGTAGCTCCGAATCAGCCGCAGCCAAAGATAATGACTTGAACTTTGAAGACCCAGATGTTGTTCCTCCCACGCCTGCTACTCCATACATCAGATCCATCGAGCACGACACTCCGAAGTTTGGTAATGCGGATTCTGGCATACATTACCTCGGTGCATCCAGCTCTGCTGTTGTGCCGACCGGGGAGCCCATTGTCGCTTTGAAAGTTTCGAGAACCGGTCATCTATTTGCTGTCATTACTGCCTCTACCCTGACTATTTGGCAGACCAAGGTCCGTCTTGCCCGTCTGATACCTCATCTTGCTCTAACTCGAAGCCACTTGTGATGGCTGCTGACTCCATATCTATATGTACAGCCTACTGTTGTTATTGCCATCGTTGTTCGACCCGAGCTTTCTTTGAAGACCTACGGTCCTAATGTAGACCTTCTCATAAGACCTGACTCGGCTATATTTGTATTACAGACGAGCTCCGACTACTTGATCACGTACTCCTTGGCCACAGACCAAGAAGCCAGAGTATACAAACCGCATTTCGTTGACCACACAAACATACAGAGGCGAAGGCAAAGCCATTTTGGCGGTCCCGGAAATACCACCCCTGACCAGATCCTGTTAGGTCCCGGAGAAGGCGCTGGCGTACGGGATCTCAGTGTGCGATTCCGTCGAGTAATAAAAGTAGACGCTGGTATCAATTACGCCCTCGCGCTAGATGATGAATTAGTTGTCGCCACCAAGAAGCCTGCAACAGTTCAGTGCATTCGTTGGACGCCAGACAATGCTTCTAGCCAAATAAGCACCGAGATTGTCAGTCGCATGGGGTGGCTCGACAAAAAGGCCTCAATACAACAAATGACACATGATCGTCCCATGAATCTCTCTACATGGGTTACAAACGACGGCAAAGCCTACGCTGTTCAACGAATCCCCCCTGCCCAGTCTGCTTCCGACATGGACTCCAAGAAGCTATTCAAAGGGTATTGCTTTCATAGCCCCCAGGGTCCAGATCACCAAGCCATCCGCGCCGTTGTGAATGCCCGATTTTCACTGATTGCGGTAGGATGTTCTAATGGAAGCATCCAAGTGTATTCTGCTCGGGATTATGCGGGGAATATTCCTCCTTCGCACACGCATAAAGCACCAGTATCCTCAAGCCAATCAGGTCGGCTCACTACGCTCACCTATTCACCTGACGGATATTGCTTATTTGCTGGCTACGAAAATGGCTGGGCGACATGGAGCGTATTCGGCAAATCTGCTTCCAACAGTTTCACCGCAGATCGCTCGGTTGCTCAGACTAATGGAGAGGGCTGGTTGACAGGCATTGCCGATGCTTGTTGGGTTGGTGGCGCTTCAGAGTTGCTTCTAATCGGCCAGAAAAGCGAGGCAATCTGGTCCCTCGAGATGGCTCGGAGTGCTGTGACAGGCTGTTACAGCCCACCAAACCTTTTCCGGACTGTGCTTCAGAGCTCATCCAGTATCATGGTTTACAGAGGTTATGATCTCCCAGATTTAACTAGCATTTCAGCTGAACCATTTCTCTGGCATACAACTAGGATACCATCCAATTACTTGCTCAATCAGTGGCCAATCAGGTGCACTGTCATCTCCCCAGATGGCAGATATGTAGCTGTCGCGGGGCGACGTGGGCTCGCACATTACAGCGTCAACAGCGGCCGCTGGAAAACGTTCACTAACAGCGCAATGGAGAATGAGTTTCAAGTCCGGGGCGGCATGTGTTGGTATCAGCATATCCTCGTGGCAGCGGTTGAGGCCAACAGATCACATGAACTTCGTCTTTATTCACGAGAATCTTCTTTAGACAACTCAAATATCATGTTTACCCAGCAAATGCCTGCACCCATTGTTTTGATCACGCCTTCTGGGGACGATTCTCTACTAGTATACACCTACGAGAATTTGCTTTATCACTTCGTTTTTGCACCTGTAAATGGCACCGTACAACCCATCCAGGTTGGACAAATTGCCTTCAATGGCATAGTGCGGTCTCCCGCGCGGGTGCGCGGGCTTAGCTGGATCTTACCTGAACAGCAAATGACGGACGGCGACCCGTCTCAAGACGTCGCCTATGCGTCAGTACTCTTCTTGGTTGATGGGAAACTCGTTCTTCTCCAGCCGTCCGTGAACCAGGGCGGTCAGCTCAAATATGATATGCGCGTCATTTCTCATAGTGTAGAATTCTATGCGAGCATGAGGGATCAGTCTTCAGTTTATATGCTTAATGAAAACAAAAACAACAGCTTTTCGTGGGAGATTGAGCAAGGCAGCCTGCGGAATTCTTTATGGTTATTTGAAGGGCAGGCGCTGAAGGTGTGGCCAGATATACATGACGTTCTATATGCTGCTTCAAATGACTCTCATAGGGAGCTGCCTCCTACAGTTGCGATCTCTCTTGATTTCTACCCGTTATCGATCCTACTAGGCAAAGGAATTGTGCTCGGGGTAGAACCTGATCTTGTCCAGCGTAGAGATATAAACTACTCATTCTTTCGATTCTCCATACGGGTGAGTAAACCTGCCACCCAGAGATTGAGCTACGCAATCATCTCAGCTAACAAACATCTTAGACACATTTGTTTCTACCCGATGTTTTACGGTCTCATCTCAAGACCAACGATGCAACGGCAGCCCTCGCCCTAGCTCGACAATACCAGGACCTCGAATATTTTGCCCATGGGCTTGAAGTGCTTCTACATCATGTTTTAGACGAAGAGGTCGACTTAGCGCCACCACCAGATGCAGCTCTTCTTCCAAGAGTACTGACGCTGCTCTCGTCATTCAAACAGTATCTTGATATTGTCGTTCAATGCACTAGGAAGACTGAAGTCAGGTCATGGCGAACTCTTTTTGCATACCTGCCGCCTCCTCAGGAGTTATTTGAAGAATCACTACAACGAGGTTCGCTGAAGACGGCAGGAGGCTATTTGTTGATACTACACACCTTCGAGGAGTTAGAAACTGCCTCAGAGCAATCCGTACGGCTGTTATCCCAGGCCATTAAGGAAGGAGATTGGGAGCTTTGTAAGGAGTTGGCGAGATTCCTGGCAGCGATGGATGAGAGCGGGGAAACACTTCGCGAGGCCATTGAGCTGGTCAACCTGCAAGTGGGCAAGGGCTCTGAGAATCCAGACACCATGATGAAGCTCGAAGTACCTTCGTTCAGGGGTAATGGCCATTCGAGGCTGCGACGGCAGCATTCGGAAGCGGGCTCGGATGGACAGTCAACTAGCGATATAAGTAGCCATGGGACAGCAAGTCCCATGTGAATCAACGACGAGCGGTCAATTAAATGGTTCGAATGTAAGAGTGTATAGATGACAGAGCCAGCCTTGTTTCATATAGCACCAGGCACGTTTTCAGGGATGCCGATACTAAGCTCTTCTTGGAAAGATAATAATGTTATTATGTTAGCCATCTTATTACATGCTCCCATCATGTTGCTTCGGAGATCTACATATTATTTAGTGATGGATACATGCTCATGTGCTGTACCTATTCCGGATATCTCATCAACAACAAAGTCCTTGAACAGTTACGCCTGTGACGTACCTACGATGTAGTGGTTGGGCACAAATGCCCTTAACAACGACATGAGCAGTACATGCCTTTTCGGCTCTATTAGCTCTCACAGCTAACTGTGCATTTCTTTACTTTTTCTTTTCTAGTTATTCAAACATGTTACCTCGCAACTACTACTAGTAGTCTCCTTGTCAGGCATGTGAACAAGCGTATTTGATAGATACCTATACTGGTAGGTGATGGCAGGTACGGTGGGAGTGGCTATATTACCCCTCACAGTGGATTCCTTCAGTAACTAGAACTTCTACTCTACAACATCAATAATATCCCCTTGGCAATCCATTCACTTATCATAGGCAGATAGGTAGTAGGTCTACACTGTGCAACAAGGCACTGTACCGTATCTAGCTGTCGGGTATCAGTGGATACTTACAGTGTAAGTCGTATATTTCTACTGTATAGGTATCCATCGTCCCTTTGGACCCCACCACAAGGAATGTCTGGTTGCATCCATTATCACAAGCACCAAAAGTTGAACCCCTCCAACCTCGCAGCGGCTCGCGGGCTCTCTATCACGTCTTTACCCGCGGTTTGTCCGTCCCATCGCGACAACTTCCTACTGCCTCACCCTCGTTCGACGCGCGTGTCCCCGCGCTACGTCCGACGCCCGACGGACCGGTAACTGACCTGACCAGGCAGGTAACAGTTGAGCTGGAAAGCATCGAGTACTATTACTACCCACACGGCACCCTGCTTGGGATCATCGTCGAAACCCCGAGCCTAAGACTTAATTATTTTCTCGCCCACAGCCACGATGATGGAAGAGTTCGCGTCCGAGTCCGACAGTGACTACACTAGCTATTGGCGAGATTGGGTGAGTCCTCGTTGTTCTCCGTTCTCGGCTGGCATGATGGCCCCCGGCTAATCCTCCTTTCCCTTCTCTAGTTTATTTCATCTAGGGGAAACGAGTACTTCTGTGAAATCGACGAGGACTACCTTACTGATCGGTTCAATTTGACGGGCCTTAACACGGAAGTTCAGTACTATCAGTATGCCCTCGACCTCATTACTGATGTATTTGATCTCGACTGTGACGATGACATGAGAGAGACGATAGAGAAATCAGCTCGCCACCTATATGGTCTTATACATGCCCGCTATATCGTCACGACGAGGGGGCTAGCCAAAATGGTAATTCTACGATATCCTCTGTAATCTATCATGTCCTGCCGCTGACATACCTCGTCTGCCCTCTAGCTTGATAAATACAAGAAAGCCGACTTTGGCAAGTGTCCACGGGTCTTCTGCCGGTCGCATCCACTATTACCAATGGGTCAAACTGATGCGCCCCATCAGAAACCTGTCAAACTCTACTGTGTTCGGTGCGAGGATGTGTACAATCCCAAGTCCTCGCGCCACGCCGCCATCGATGGTGCCTATTTTGGTACCTCATTCCATAATATCATGTTCCAGGTCTACCCGGCTCTTGTGCCATCCAAGAGCGCTGAACGCTACATCCCTCGCGTCTACGGATTCAAGGTGCATGCCGCCGCCACTCTTATCCGTTGGCAGAACAGCCAACGCGCTGATATGCTCAGACGGCTTCGCAAATTGGAGGTTGAGAGTGGTTTCAAGGAAGATATGGGTGGGGACGACTTGGATGAAGAAGAAGACGAGGACGAAGAGCTCGGTGCCGATGGGGCTCAAGATGCCATGCATGTCGTCGGCTAAGTGATAGGGATGCATCAACCAACGACGCATTGTGAATGCATGGATTTGAGAATTTAAATCTTACGCACCCGGAAATCCAGGAAGATGGGACGAAGGTACGACTCCATGACGGGATTAGAACAAGAGAGAGAGAGGGCAGAAAGGAAACAGCGCTTGGTACGGGACACAACACCATTACAGACACAAACAGCTAGCTGTTTGACACCCGATGCCTTTTCCTCCTCACGCACGTATGCGCTCGCGCGCGTACACAAAACACATACACACAAGTACCGGCGTTCTGAGACTGCATGCTATGCCAATTGGTGTTGACGGCGTTGGGTGAAGATTCCCTCCTCGTGCTGCTTTCTCTCTTTTGTAGTGTTTTCATTGCATGAATGGCTCTACTGTGAAGTTTATATCAGGATAGGGCAATAGAGCAAAACATGACTTCCGCTTTTCCATCCCTCGAATTCATCTACAAGTGTTACTGTATAAGGAACCATTGTCAGTTGGGACGGTAGATACACATTAGCTTACTTGATATTTCACTAGATATGCTAAGCTTGCGTAGATGAGGTTTGTTCTATTCCTTAATGTATATAATATGTATATAATATGCTACGCCTGGTGGCTTCAGTCCTGATTTCAATCAGGACGCGAGGAAACCAAGTTTTCCAGTCCTACTAATGCAATAATTCCCGACCTAAACGCCTTCCCCAGAGTTACTTGCTTTGTTGCGATATGAACGCCTATTCCACGATGGCACCTCCTGTGCAAGTAATTTCGATTGTAAGGGCCATATCTGATCATATACCACTTTTGAAGGGAAAACTCGCTGTTTGCTGAAATGAGGACAAGGAATATCCCCGCAGTATTTGAAATGCCTTTTTGATGGAAACTTAAGATATACGCTATGAGCGAAGAGTTTCGTTTGATGCCGTTGGTTGGACTAGATGTACAGATATGGGTGACATGGACAAAGCTTGTTGGTGTTGTGTGCGCAAAAATGGGTAATCTTTCATTAAAACGAAATATTGAACAGGAGAAAATCCAAATCTTCGTAAACTTAGATCATCGACTTAGATGCGCTCGCTCTCCTGCGGCTCGAGCGTTGTCCGCGAACCCTCGTCACGGTTGACATGATACGTGCGTACATCTCCTGGCTTAGCCACTGGCGATGCACCCCGTTGTCGTAGTCCCCCGAGCTCGATATCCTGACCCGACATGTACGGACGCTGCATTTCCTCGCCGTCGTCATTCCGGAGCCAGTGCCGCTTGTCAGAGGCGTAGCTCCAGGATCCGAGACCGGCCCAGAACGCCTTGTCGTGGCTGCGCGGCCCCCAAGCCCAGCCACCGCCTGCGCGAATGGGCATGTGGTAGTATTGGAACGAGAAGTAAGCCGTGATCGTCCCAATTATGAAGCCGAAAAGAATGTCGAAACCGTGGTGCCGGAAATCAAACCAGCGCGAGCTCGCGATGAATACGGCCAGGAAGAAAGGCAGCACGGCGAGGAGGAGGAGATAGACGGGAGGTGCGGCTGCCTGGCGGCGCACGGCGGCGACAGTGCTGTTGTGCACACCGATCTGCTTCATGACGGCCGGGTCGAGGGGTGAGGATACATCGTCGTCGACTGCTGAGACGGAGCGCGAGCGCATGCCTTCGTAAGCCGTGTCAGCCGACAGCGAGGCCCCGGCTCCGGTGCGACGGGCCAGACGAGAAGGGAAGGCAGTCACGGCACTCGAGTCGCGCGCGATGGTCTCCTGCGGCACGAAAGGAAACGTGATGGCGAATTTGCTCGCCAAGAAGAAGGACAAGTAGATCAGTCCTGCGGCGGCGGAACTCGCGTGGCCCGAGGGATAGCTGCGGAAGCCGTCGTCGAGGAAGGCCTTGTCGGAATTGGTGCAGATGGTGGCGCTGACGAGCTGCCCGTTGTACTTGGATCCGGGGTTGGTGCCCAGGAGGGGGCTGGTGAAGCCCACGATGTGAGCCGTGACGTTGGCGACGTCGGGCATGCAGCGGTCTAGTAGGTCGGGTCGCGGCTTGCCGAACAGGTTCTTCATCCCTTGCGTTATGATCCAGGCCGATATCAATGAAAGCGCCAGCCCGAGCCAGCCCATGTGAAGTTCCCAGAGCTTCCGCTTCCATATCAGTGATTTAGGGGTGCCCTCGGGCACGGTGCGACCTGGGACGAATACCAGCGCGACGACAAGGATGATGACAATGGGGACGCCAGAGTTTAAGGCCAGAAGAAGGCCAGAATTGACGGTTTCATGTTGGGTCACGGGGAATCTGAAGCATGTCATTAGTCAATTAAAGCGAAAATTGGGTTTGACAACTCAATTCTCAATTAAACATACGCAATGTTGGGATCTAATAAACTAAAAGGTCTCTTGTTCGGCGTAACTTCGCCCAGGAAGTAGCCGATGAGGCCGACGACAACCATAATCAGCCAGTCGAAGGCGTACGAGAGAATGACAACGACGCTCATCTTCTTGGGCCGCGTCCGCGGCGGTAACATGTCCATATCGGGCATCTTGTTGTAGGAGCGATGAGAAGAGGGCTGTAAGTTGAAAATGGACAGAGTGGGAGTGCGACGGGAGGCCCCGGACATAACTCTCTCTCTCTCGACTCTTGCAAAACCAACTTCGCTAATAGAATATTCTGAACCAAAGAAAAGATTGGTTCAAATAAAAGAAACAAAAAAAAGGGGGGGAAATCAATATAAACCTCCTAAGAGGGGACGGAGGGGGGGTTAAGAAAATGAAAAGGAAAATGGGAAACAAGGGGCGCGAAACTTCAAAGCGGGTGTGGTGTGGTGATTTAAACCCAGGGGTTTATGTTCTGCATTGGCTTTGCTTGCTTCCCTTTACAAGTCTGGACTGCCCAGACAAGGCCAAGAGAACAAACCAAGCGAGACTTGTGACGGGATACGATGCTAGCCAAGACCGTTGATTTGCGTGCGTATCAATTACCTACTTGCAATACCTACGGCGTAGGCATCCTTGCCTACTCACTTTAAGTACTGCAGGTAGGTATGTATTCTTCCCGATCTACACGTATCTATTCACCTTGGCGAAATGTGGTACGAAAAAAGATATATCTTGTACTATGTATAAACTGCCATGTAACCTGTGGATGGTACTGCCTAGCAGATTGCGTAGCACCAAGATGGCGGCGAGTCCCAAGGGTCGCGAGGCGTGAGTGTGAGTGCTTGCTTGCTGCGCCTTGTAGTACACGTGTAGCCAGCTACGGGCTAAGAGCCATCATGTATCGACTTGTATCCACGACTTGGTGGACATGTCAATACGACGCCCGTCATTCAATGAATAGGTTGGCAGGGGAGAGTACCTATACATGGCATATACGCCTGTGTGCCTAGCTAGCCGGTAGAGCCGAGTTGTACTATGTGTAATAGCAATTATGGTATGGGCAGAGTCTGGGCAGAGCATTGGGGCCAAGAGAGGCACAGACAGGACGACAGGACGGGCTCCAAGACCCTATCAGGAAACGGATCGCGTGGGGTCTCCCCTTTCTGTTCCCTCACTGCCTCCCTCTAGCTGGAGACTCTAGCTGGAGACTCTAGCTGCCTCTAGTATCGAAGTGGGTAGATCATTTGTTTGACACTAGATGATGTGCCAAGTGCAGCTGTCTCAAGTGCCGCGCGGCAGGGCCAGCCATCCACCTGTGCAGACTGTTGTCTGGAGAGTGGTTGTAAATGTAGAGTGGCGTCTAGCTATTCGGCTGACAGCGACGAGTTTCCCCTGTCTATTATCAGAGTTCAACCTCCCAGACCGTTTAGTACGAGCAATTCTGGTGTGCTAAGGCTGGGAGAGAGTCGTCGTCGTCGACTTGGAACAACCACAGGAACGAGAGTAACAACACTGACAATACATAGTATAGATCAAGTACCTGTGGATTTAGTAGGTATTCATTCTGCTGGCCGGGGGATTTGTCTGCGCCACAGCTCCAAGACAGTTCTCATTCTCACCATTCCTCTTTGTTGTCCGTCTTCATGGCTATTACGGCAGTACGGCTGCGATGGCTGCAACGGCTGGGTGGGCAGGGCCTGAGACAGGTCCGATTCTCGCAGAGGAAGCGCCGAACGGGGAGCAATTGGTGGGCGGGCCGACGAAGAGGTCAACGGACCGGCATCCTGGATATCGGGCCGGCGGCTAGGGTAAGTGCCTCCGGCTGCCCTGGCAACAATCTGGAGTGGCTAGTAGCAGCGCAATGTCAACATTAGGCATGAATTATGAATCAAATGCAGATAATAACCCCGCCAGCCACCTATATTTCACTATATCTCGCTATATCTCCCTACTCTTAGACCCTGTCTGGCCCTGCTATGACTGTTATTATCACCGTTATTATCACTGTTAGTGTCCAATCACAACCAAGCCAACACTTCATCTTGCGTGTTGATGGACTGATGGACGGTGAAACTTGACTCACATCACCGCCGAGAACAAAGCGCCTTTTATTATTTTCCCACCTGCCTTCCACGGCATTCTTCTCTGCCTACTACTACTAGGTATCTACTATTGACTGTACTTATACATTTCTTGCCGTGGTATAAACCCTCCTCGCCCTGGCAACCCTTGCTTGCATGTGCCTCGTTGTAAACAGACCTACCTATCGTCATCAATAGAATTGCATAGCACCTTACCGCGAATATCAATAAGGCCGGCTTCGCTCGCCTCCTAGGTACCTACCTGCTCCTGTCTCCATCCATCATAGATTATTTGTAAGCGTCAAACAAAAGCCTATTGGGACCCGAGTTTCCAAGGTCAGCTTCAAGGATACCACCATCTTAGACAGTCCTTCGTCCTATCTGAGTCTCGCTGCGCCTCACGCCGCTCTTACGCACCTTTGCTACCACCTGTATTGGCTTCTTGGCAGAAGTGATGCTGCACCGCGGCAAGCCCAAAGACTCGTCCTCCTCGAAGAGGAAGGTTACGCCACCTTCACCTACCTATATGAACAATGAGCAATTTGGTTCGAATGCCCTGACCTAAAGCAGTCGACTTGATTACCCAACTAACAGTTGGCCTACTACAGCTGCTTACCTAGCCGGCCTGCGCGAGAACCGTGTGAATCGTCCTGGCGGAGCTCGACCCCTACCTCCTTCGACAAGGTCAAGACCCAGCACCGTTGAGCAATTCACTACTCCTGGTCGACCATCGATTGCGGGTGACTCTATCCGATCCGAGATACCCCAAGGCCATCAGAGAACAGACTCCGACGGCTCCAGGCCGCGAGGTAGCCGCCCAAATATTGCTGGTAGCGTGATATCACGCTACTCTATGAGCACTGTTACCTCTGGCAAAGACTACTTTCCGGATAAGCCCGCGACTCCTCCTCTACGACCGTCGGAAGTCGTTCCCAGCGCTACATACATCGAACGTGGCCAGAGATGGATGGAGAAGGAGGAAGCCTTCTCACTTCATCAAGCTATGGAGGCCATCGATGTGAAGGACGACCAGGAGGAAGAGAAGGAACAAGATGACGAGACACGTCTATATAACGCCGCCTTGGATGAAGCCGCTGAGCTAGTTTACCGTCACGAACATGGCATTAAAGAACGTGCGCCTGACGCACCGTATCGATATAAACCCCATATGCGGAAGAACAGCTATGCGCATGCCCGGACAGCTTCTGTTGGGCGTTACGGTGATGATATTGGCCGAACGGGGCTCGCCCGAGATTCTGTGCGTTCATACTCTGGGAGCTCCTCCGGGAGTGACAGAGACTCATCTCCTGGTAGTAACCGTGGGAGTCTAGATCAGCAGCGTGATATTAGCGCGGGTCCTGCAAATCCAAGGCCTCGTGTAAGCTCTGGGAGTCGTCGTCGAAGTAGTATGAGGCGCAATATCAGCGGTGAGATAGAGAAGCCTTTCTCTGGAGACCAGATATGGGAGGAACCGGAAGGAACAGCCGCTGAAGAGACAACCAGAAGACAACCTCAACTACCTGGTCATTCGCAGCCGCTGGGCGTCAAGACAAGAAACCCCCCAAACAGCAAAGTCCAATTCTCTCTCGCTTCTTCGGATGACCCTAACTCGAACCCCATCACCACTCCTTCGAAACCCTTCTCGCGGACTGAGATTCACAAGAATCCCCCTTCACAGTCACGAAACGCCAACTACATGAGAAATGAACTCTCTGAATCTCCTCGGGCCTCTCAAGATGTGCCGAGGAAAAACGGAGTTGAGATACGCAGTGACGATATCCGTCAAGCGACCAGCATGCGGCTCAGCGACCGTAGTTCCAAACTCCCCACTCCGTCTGCGGTCAGCGATAGCCCCGGACGTCCAATCGTAAGCTTTGACAAAAACTGGAAAGCCCCGGAAGAGGCGGCTACTGATCCCAAGCCAGACGAGTTCCGCCGAGTCCCTTACGCAAAAGAGCATCAATCGGGACCGCAAGGTCCGCAGCCGCCTGTACCTTCTATCGTTTGTACGCCGGATATTCCGACCTCGGCGCCGCGAAACGCGAATCCATTCCGTCGTCCAGCGCCCATCCCAAGTATTCAGGTAGATTCGGATGACAAGCCTCGGATTCCGACTATTGCTGTTTCAGATGATCATGACCATCGTCCCGTACCCATGATCGTCCTGCCGGATACTGAGGACAATAGCCACGACAGCAATAATACCCCAAACATCCCAGTCATCGTCACACCTGATGATGATGTGCCTTCAAAGTCATCTGCTAGGCCTTTACCAGACCCAAAATCAGCATCATCACGTACTCGTAATCCTCCAGTCGGAGGTGGCCGTCCCCGAGGTCATTGGTCCCCGGCCCCAGGAGCCAAGAGCCGCAGCACAGCAACCTGCCATGAGTGCGGGTATCCCATCGAGGGCCGCTTCGTAGCGCTGAGCGGGAGCTCAGAGCGCTTCCACCCGCAATGCTTCCGGTGCTATACGTGCGGCACGAGCCTAGAAGCTCTCGAGATCAGTCATGAACCAGATCACCTGTACGCCGCGCGTCTCGACCGCATCCGCCGGCGCGCAGCGGGGGAAATCCTCGAGGAGAAACCCGGACAGACGATGGCCGAGGACGGCGACGAGCGCATGCGCTTCTTCTGCCACCTCGACTGGCACGAGCACTTCGCGCCGCAATGCAAGCACTGCAAGACGCCTATCCTAGGCGACCACGTCGTCGCTCTCGGCGAGCACTGGCACTTCGGGCACTTCTTCTGCGCGGAATGCGGCGACCCCTTCGAGCAAGGGATGACGCATATCGAGAAGGACGGATACGCGTGGTGCGTAGCCTGTCAGACGAAGCGCACGGAGCGGCGCGCGCCCAAGTGCAGACGGTGCAAGAAGGCCGTCATCGGACAGTATGTGCGCGCCCTGGGCGCCGAGTGGCATGATGAGTGCTTCCGGTGCGCGAACTGTGGTGGGGGATTCGATGACGGACAAATCTTCCCTGTTGGCGAGGGCGAGAGGGCGAGGGTGCTGTGTACGGCGTGTCGCGCCCAGGAGCTGAAGATGTGAGCATCGATTGAGCTGGGGAACTTGGTAGGTAAATGGATGGCGTTATGCGGGAACTGGGAAGCGAGGGGGAGAAGGAGGGATGATACATGATGATGGAAATGAAATATGATGGAATGGCTGGCGTTTGTGCGTTTTCCCGCTTGCTTGCTTCATCGCTGTTTTATGGCGTTTCGTTCTGCTGCTTTTTTAACTTGCTCGTGTATTTGCGTGTTTGCTGTATTGTTAGCTGAGTACCTATGTAATATATTGCCCTCCCTTGATTCGGGTGGTTGGGCTGTTTGGCTGGTTTGATTGTAAGACTTCAGATGATTGATCATGTTATCCCTTGGGAGTATATGGATTTGTCCCCTGCACTGGACTATTGTGATGTCTATAGAATGTAAGTCGCGATGTACCTAAGTGCGAGAATGAGTACGCGTAGCTGAGCATGGCTATTAGGTTTTAGTAGTAGAGGTTAGTTACTGGGGCTTTGAAGCTGAAGATAGATGAGCTGGCTGGCTGTCTCTCGATCCGCGTAGCTTGCGTATATGATGACCATAGATACGAATGGAAGCGATTAATTCATTATGCCCATTCGCAAGCCCTAAAGGCTCCCGTTGTTGAACCAAATCTCACGGAGACACAAACAATTGCACAACAAGAATATGGATTGCATATCTATCTTGTGTAGGAAAGCGTAACGCATGCTGGATCATATTCAGTCATATCCGACATTAAAGAGAACGCAAACTCCTCTTCATGATGACAGAGACAGATTAACAACACTATCTGGGTGGAAAAAACAACCATTCAACGCCCCGTGTCTGGGATGAGGGTATAAGATGCAGGTTCGGACCATGAAGGAACGTCTGTACTAAGCGTAACTAACTCGCGTGTCCAGACTGCATAGGTGTGTGTAATGGAAGTCTTTTGCTTATCTGTGAAACCTGTGCTTTCTGCCATCTATCCCCTCTTCCCCCGCGTTTCAATTACTCATGCCCGAGCCTGTAAAGTTTAGGTAGCTGCTCGCGGCATTTATTTCTATCAATCACTTCAATCGACCAAGTCGCGTCTATAATCGAGACGCCTGCACAGTAGTGAGATCCTCTTGACAACAATACTTGGTTGGGTTCTTGTCAAGAGTGTCGGTGGTGGGTTGTGGTGTAGGATCAGCAGCAACCACCGACTTGCTCCTGGTGAACTTCGAGCGTGTCACCGTCGGTCATCTCCAACTATAAGACAGAAACAGGTATCAGTACTAAGCGGATAGGGCTACAAGGAGCGAGGATGGAGAAGAGCATACGGAGTCGGGTGTGTCGGTCTTTTGGACACGCTGGCCCTCAAACAAGAAACGGACCGAGTCGACGTTCTTGCCCTGGCGTTCACAGAAAGCGGTCATGAGCTTTTCGAGCTTAGTGGAGCGCTTGATCTTGAAGAATACTTCGTTGTTGTTGTCGGTGACCTTGATGTTTAAATGCTCGCCACCCGCAGGCGCCTCGTTGCGCTCGACGCCAGGTGAGTTCGACTCGTTCTCTCCAGCCATTATTGATGTGTGGTGATGTTTGGGAGTCCTATCCAGAAGTTGATGTCACTGGCTGTGATGTACCCCGGACTGGAGGGGTAGTAAGGTAAGCGATAGCTTTGGGCAAATAGACGGATGCGCGGCAGGTGAGAGAGTCTAGATATGAAGTGCACACGTGGCGAGAAGTCGGCAGGAGAGAAGACGAGATGAGACGAGATGAGACGAGAAGTGCGAACAGGGAATTTGACTATGTAAGAAAGCAAGGCAAGGCAAGGCAAGGCAAGGAGGCAGCACAGCCGTTGTAAAAGTTAGCTGCTCTATTAGGTACGTAAGGAAGGGAAGGAGGGCAGGTGGGTTAGGGACGTAGGGTACCTAAGTACACACCCAAGTACATAGTATGGTACACATACTTCATAGGTACCCATAAGGTTGCGGTCGAGGGTAAGATGTAGGTAGGTACCAATAGGTAGGTAGGTACATACTTCATATGTAGGTAGGTACTCACTTGGTGGGTGAGAGTGGGGTCGCGGGGTCCTGACCGAAAGCACCGACGAACCTGGAAGTTGCATGGGATCTTAAGTAGATATATATTCAATTTGCAGTATCTAAGCAATTGCAAGAACTTACCTATCGGTTTGATATTCCCTTTCTAGAGACAACTTGAATATCGTATCTCCACAAGGATGCTTTGGATATCAAGCTATGTTTCAGACTGGTATACAAAAAGAGGTGCTGGCTAAAAGTAGGTACGTAGTTCACTGATGTTGTTAATATGAGAGTCTAGAACTAGAAGCCGAGATGAAAATATACTTTATACATTCTAGTTTGGCTAAAGTAGGTACATACAGATATAGGTGGGATCTAGCAGAAGAAGATACCCGATGCGAGACGTTAAAGGAGTGCCGAATGTAAAGGGAACATAGGTACTCATACATAAGTAGGTACCGTAGTAGTTCTGATCGGTGGATTACGCCGAACCTGGAAGTATTACATCACTACCTACACCTGCACCCAAGTCGGGACAGACCCAATGTTACTACTGCTGCAACTCTTATAATCAAAGTGATGCTTCATCAACAACACGTCTTTATAACCTACGAGCCTTCGGTCTCCCTTGACGGCCTTTCTTATAGTGTTCTCAAGCTCCATTCCGAGTGATAGAAAAATGGTTCGTAGTCTGCACACTGCTCCCAAGCATCTCAAAACCAAACTCATTCTACCTATCAGGGCCTCCAAGAAGATCTAGCGTCCAAGCCGCCATGCCATCCTCGAGCAGTAAGCATATCACTAAACTACCAGCTTCAGGCCGCCCTAGTTGACCCAAGTCATTGACCCTGGTGCAGTGTGCTATACAAGGTGGGATATCTTGACTACATGAACCTTAATTATTGGAGTTGACGGGACCAGATTGCCTAGGGAAGAACGGCTTTAACCAGGCAAAATGCGAGCATCTAGTCAGTGCTCTCTATGAATGCTGCAATGCGTTTTATGAGAAGGAGGGTGACAGCGCCATCACAGCGAGCTGCCCCAAACCCAGTCTTTTGCGTTTGAAAATGAAGCAACGACAAGAAGAAAAAAGGAACGGAAACTAGTTCGTTGCGTACGACTCAACCTAGCATTACCAAGTTCACCATTTCGGTACCAAACCAACCGCCAGGGAATTACGGGCATTGTCCACCTCCCTCGCGACAGGATAGACAGAGAAAGCTATCTCTACATCAGTTTCATGTCTCACAACTACTTCTTCACGTCAGCCTAGACAGACAGGTCGATCAGGCAACATTAATGCAGCGTGGAATTATTCTAGGCGATCATTGAGCGCGCAAGAGGTTCTCAAGGAACCTGGACAAGCATTGATATAGAAAAAGGCTTATCCCGAGACTCTAATATGAATGCCGATGACATTGATGAAAAAAAAGGGAAAGGAGAAAAACAGTCCGGCCTCCACTCGACCACAAATTTTATGTGAGACTTTGTTACCAGCCACACTGTGGCGCGCGACTATCCAACTGCTGAAGCGCAGCTCTAAAGGTACCGGTACCTACATGGCTGGGGCTAGGTAGGTATAATGTACTGAGGCTAAGTAAAAGCAGGTACATCGGCACTAGACCTAAGGAGGTGCTTAGCTATCTGGAGTAGGTTACCGCATACTGCTTGTCGCGCGTCCTGGTTGGTAGGTATTCTTTTGTTGCCATCCATCAATCAAGTTTTGGCGAGTTCCGACTTCAGCTTCTTCGTCCCAACCTCCCCTCACCACAGCCAATTCTCTCCGATACGTACAACAGGTGTATGAATAAGTGGTACGAGCACATGTCCCCACAAAACCGGCAGTGACTCCGGAATCCATTGAGTGAGCGCGCCAGCGCGATAGAAGATGCTGTCTGGTTGCTAGCCAGCTTGACCTAAGCATTGCAGACACGATGCTTGCTCAGCGGCCTCAGAGACCACAGCGCATGACAAGCCTGGTGGAATACGATAGACCAGAGGACGAAGACAACCAGATGGATCAAGGTATGCTGGTCACATCCACGCCGCCCAGTTGACCTAGAGATCTAACCATGCCACCTAGCAACCGAGATGGCGTCCCCGTATAGCTTCGTCGATAATGCCGATCGCTTTGCTAAGGCTCTCGACTTTCTCTCGGCCACCCAAAAAAGCCCTGCTGAGCAACGAGCCGACATTTTCACCTTAGTCGAAAAGTATTATCAGCATGCTACAAACAAGGCCCATGCCCTGCGCAAGGGACAAAGCTCAACATCAAGCACCGGTCTTCGACGTTTAGACGATTCTTCGAGCCAAGACTCGATGGAGTTGGATGACGCCGATAACCCATCATCGGCACCCGACTCGGCAGACGAATTAGAACGGTGGGAGCAGGAAGCGCAGGTTTGGGATTTGCTGCGTCGCCTTCTGCCTCTACGCTTTTCAGGCCGGAATGCCCCTAAACTGGTACAGCGTGAGGCGTCCAAATTTCAGTCCACTACTGCGCTCTGGGACCAGTTCATTCAGTCGGATCCTTTAGCCCAGGAACGCAAGGCAATTCTTGAGTGTCTGCAAACTAGTGCCGATGACACCCGGATCAACATCGACGACCTCGTACGAGATTTTCAGAAGCAGGCTGACCGTGGTGATATCATAGCCCATGGCTGGCTTCACACACGTTCCGCCATTAAGATGCAGAAGAATGTAAACAGTTGGACAGGACCTCTAGATCCTACAAGCGCGGACGCCGGTCAACTAGTCGATACCAACGGCTCCAATCCACTTGTCACGCAATTAGACCCCGATGTGGCCACAAGGCAAGGGCGCAAATTGGAGCCACAAGATGAATACTTTGAGCGTGCCATCTGGCTCGGTTGCTATGAGCTTCTTCGCCGTGGTAGAAGCCTGAACGAGATTCGGGACTGGTGTCTTGAACGAACGGAGGTGTGGCGAGCAGTCAGCATGTCAGCCATGCCGTTATCGAAAGCCGATGAACCACAACAGCCCTCTACCGATCCTTTATCCGCTTTATTATGGCGTCGAACGTGTTTCGCTCTTGCGCGTCAGGGGGGTATCGATGATTACGAACGCGCAGTCTACGGTATACTTTCAGGCGATATCACAAGTGTGGAAAAAGTCTGCAAGACTTGGGACGATTTTGTCTTCGCTCATTACAATGCTCTACTGAGAGCTCAGTTTGATGGATATCTCATGAAACGAATCTCACCGGACTCAACGGCCAGCATCCATCAAGCATTTCCCTCGTTCAACGCCCTTCACTTCCACGGAGATGCCTCTTCGGCTAGTGAGCGTCTTGTTAACTCTCTGGAGTCAAATCCGAAGACGTCTAGTGAGGCTAGGCACCCGCTAAAAGCCTTGCAAGGGGCCATCATATCGAATAATTTAACACAATACATGCACGACCTCGGTGTAGCATTAGGAAAACGTGCAAACCAATCAGCGCCTTCCAGTCTGATACCAGAAATCGATAGCGTTACTGTCAGCGTTACCGATCCGAGATACTTCATGATGAATGACTATGAAGGTCTACGTGTAGCAACGCACGTATACTTGTTAGTCTCTCACCTCGACCGTCTTCAAAGCGGGTATGACATTATCGATGCTGCCCGTCGTAGGGCTCAGGACAACATCATTGCCACATATGTCAGTATATTGCGATTAGCAAATCTGACAGATTTAATGCCTCTCTACTGTTCGAAGCTCGAAGAAGAACGAGGTTTCTATACGCTTAGCCGAAACATTGCTCGATTAGAAGCGCCAGGGGACAGAGATATACTGCTCAGGATTATGGAAAAGTTGGGCATGGACATTGCCAAATTTGTCATCTATCAGCCACGATCCATCCTTGAACAAGCTCGTACTCCCAATCAGGTCATACCTGCGTTTGGTGCTCTTACGGTATTTTTAAATAGCCCTCCTACGTTGAAGTACGGTCGCCCCCTAAAGCCAGACTTCTTTGGGGACGAGCCAGAAAACTTTGAAACTGTCGACGAGTCTTTAATTCGCTCCCTCGAGTGGTTTCTTCTAGTAGATGGCCTCTGGGAAGAGTTTTTTTCCGCCGGTACTGCCATCTACAAGCGATTCCTGAGTAAGGGCTCAATTGCTATGTCGATATCCATTCGAAAATTTTACTAACTTTGGGCCCAGAGAATTTCAATCTCCACGCAGCACGCTCTCTGTCTGAGCGGGTTCGGTGCTCAGAGATATTCAGAAAAAAGGCCAGTGTCCCTATTACAGACGACACAGATGTTTCATGGTTCGAAGAGCTGCGCTCGGGAGCTCTCACTAGCTCATATCAAGGTAATGATCTCGACGCAGAACAAGTAGCAGCAGCAAGAAATTACTTTGAGATGGAATGTCTGGTGCGGGCTCTCGACTGCATGGAAACAATTGCCTCTAGTGAAGCCATGGCTCAAGAGTAAGTCATTCCACGCGCCATCGGCCAGATTTTGTGGATGCTAATCAAAGACAATCTCTAGCCCGACGGAGGATTTAGGGAGAGACTTCTGGAGCCATGTCGGAAACGAAGTCAAGTCCATCAAGAGCTACATGCGGCCTATCTTTGATGGCTGGCTCTTGGAAAGTCTTTCAGGTGGGTACCAGTTTGTCGTATTCCAAGACTGGAGTTCAGGGCTAACTGTGATGAGCAGAAGACGAAGATTTCCAATATCTTCGAGACGCGTATCTTCCCGAGACAATCATAGGATACGTTAGCGTTCTACATTTTGCAGGGACCAGCTTGTCGCGGGACAACTTGCTGGAGTGCATGGAGCTTGCATCAATCATTGCCAGAAAAGACTCGGATGTGGCAGCAGTGCTTATGAAGGCTGGGCGCATGAGAGAGATCGTGGAGGGCTTTGCGAACTGCAGCAAGGCACTTGCCATCAGTAGCAATGAGAAGAAGGGGTCAGGGGGGAGCAGCAAGAAGTTGCGCGAGATGGGTTGGACTCGTGAACTATGGTCCGTCCAAAGATGAGATTGGCGCGGTGCACCGGTTTCCCCAAGGGATGATTCTAGTATTCGGAGGCTCTCTATCCATCGTCGATGTACAACAGGTTTAAGGCATGATATCCCTCAGATAGCACGGAGAGTGTGTATTGAGAAAAACATTGATGAGCTCGTGATTGGGCCAAGGAGCCCATAATGTTTCTTGAGGCGGCGTTACTACATATTGTTGTCTCGAGTGCTCTATAAGGACATTCTCCCTGCGGCGTCTACTTAAGGTACCCCGGGCCCTTTGGTGCCCATTGCATTCAGAGCTAGGTTAGGTCAGGCCATGCACAAGCTATTTCATCTAATTTCAATGTTCACGATTACTCTTTTTTTCCATCGGATTTGGGAGCAAGTATATACATGTACCTAGGCTAAGCTAAAGCGGCGGACACGCTAGCCGCTGAGTTGCGCGCGTCTAGAACCAGAGTACCAGACATACAGGTAGCAGTACGTCACCTTGACTAGGTATTTGCAGGTACCCCAACCTTCGCTCAGCACCCTCATCTACCTACCTATCTCTACCTCAGGACCTTACGTAGAGGACCTTGGGCCGTCTCGGCCATCGTCCAATCGTTCTATCGTTCTATCGAACTTGCTTTTGATGTTCTAGTATTCAGGTCCATAACGAACCATGTACGCAACCTCAACACCACCTCCACCCCCGCCAAAACCTAGCAGCCACGATGTGAGTCGTCTCGGGACGCCCACTGGAAACTCTCCCCGTCCAGCCCCGCCCGCTCCAGACCATCCATACGGCGGTGATGGCTTGGAGAGGACGAGGAATGCGAGTAGCCGGTTTCTAGAGCCTGCCGCCCCCGTCGACGTCGCTTCAGGCTTGATTCCTGTGCCAACAACCACACCGAGCGGCATCGTGCGACAGCAAGAGCCCATCCCAGATCCTGGCGATGCTTGGTTGCCTAAAATTCTAGAGGACAAGTCGTAAGTACAAGCCCAAGCTCCATGTCCACTCAACTCTCCGAGATCAACGATTAACCAAAGCGTGCCTTTACTACGCGCCATGTAGAAAACAAGATCTCGCCGAAATACTAAGTAATCCGTCCATGCTACAAGCCTTGACTGTCTCTCCCGCGACGATACACCCATCGCTTGCTCAGACTCAAGACACCCTTTTGTCTGCGCTTGACGAGAATATATCCCTAGCACAACATCTCGCCGACCTGGAAACAAGACTTACACATCAGCGTGCCTCCACTCAGGCCCAGCTTCTCTCGGCCCATGCCCTCGAACGACAGTGGCGTTCCAAGCAGGTTGATATGGACGCTGCTCTTGCACCCTTCGCCCCCAACGCCCTCTATGCGCGCCTCACTCAGTCCTTACAAGAGCAGGAGATGCTATGCGCCGCTATGGAGGAGAGCTTCTTGGAAGGGGAGGGCACGCAAAGAGGCGGCAATAATGGAGGCGACGATTTTGGGGGCGGTCTCGCCACGGAACGGGAAACACTCGACTGGGTTCGGAGGTATCGGGAAGCACGCCGGCTGTGCTATCTTCGGCAAGAACGTAAGGAGAGGTGGAACGAGAGGCGCGTTGGTGGGTGGCGATGAAACTATCCCATCATCAATTTCGTTCAAAACTACGCACACATCTACCTAGGAACGATGACGCCGCAACCACTGGCGAACGATTACTTCGCCGTTGCCGAAGCCTTACTGACTATAGTCACGGGAGTCGATGCAATTCTTTGGACTAAGGCGCTCGCAACGAACCAAGATCGCCCATCAGGGACGGTAGCCAATCTTGACGGTGTTTCCAAGACACCCGACCATATTTACGCACCCACAAATGGGTGACGTGGCGAACTCAGAAGCATTTCTCACAGCGTGAGAATATGAGTCCGGCGTGGGTGGTGTTCATTCCAAATATTTGGGATAGACTCAACTATTGGTGGTGGGTAGATCTTATAGTGAGTTGAAGATACGCCACCAACTTGGCCTATCACATCAGGGTCATCTGGCTTTGTGATGGATATACTAGATGTCATGATAATTATGTTTCGAGCGCGAAAACGCTCTATACGAGGTATTACGGAAGGGTTAACCGGTCCATTCAATCAGCTCTTCTTCATTTAGAAGCCGTTACGCATCTCATACTTAGTCAGCGGCTGCCATTTGGACACTGTTCTTCGACGTCTATGGTAATGCAGTCTCAAAATGCCGTTGCCGCTTTTCGGCGCTCCATACCTTCAGGCGCTTCTCATGGGTATCACTTATAGTATTATTATCCAAACCAATATAGCAAGGCTCGACTCAGAATAGGACAGGAACCCTAGAATATTTAGGTTCCGAATATCAGAGTATGATCATTCAAGTGCTCACTCCCATTTGAGCTTCGCCAGTTTGAAATTTTGATCCATAGGTTGCAGCCATGACGAATAGCATTTCCTCGCTTCCAGCCAGGTAAAGAAGCATCTCACAGGGTAAGCTGCATAAACCTTGTGCAAGACATAGTTCGAGATCTACCAAGGCTATTCTTTGCTATTTTTATCTGGACTTCTAAAATTACACTCTGTTTGGTTCTAGACTTGACGGAGGAAAGCACTCGAGCCATCGCGCTCAGTTGTTCGGGCCCTGATGGCATCACGGTTAATATGGGTAAATAACCATATCATGATACGCCCTGATCTAGACTGATACCGGTGGTTAAAACACTTGGAAATTCTTACTAAGGTACCCAAGCTCCTGGACTTCTGGGTCGCTCCAGAATTCTCTGGCTAGCAACATGACGGATGATGTTCAAGTTTGGCTGCTTCGGGCAAGCGCCCAGGTGGTGATGGTATACAAATACTTCGTCTTCACCTCTACTCAATTCGATTATTTTCGACAATTCATTCTCAATTAAAATCAAGCATCAATCAGTTATAAATAGCCTCTACAAAATCTCCATCTGCTATCATCAATTCTCATTGCCTTCAATTACACACGCATTTAACCCCAACGAGACTATCAACAACTCGCAATACATCAGATTCAATAATTCAAATACTATCGCCTCAATATTCGTGATGCATTTTCCGAGCGCGCTTCTCATTTTACTCCAATCGGGGCTGTCAGCCGCCGCGCCATTAATCCCTTCGTTGCTCTCAATCCGCGATACATTCACACCACCCACAGTCCTCTCAGCCAGTTTTTCAGGCAACGGCTGCCCTCAAGGCTCAACAGATGCTCCGACTGGCGGTCTCTGGGAGCATTCCTTCTTCAAACTTCCAAGCTTCAAGGCCAAGATAGGGCCATCGAGCAGCGTCACTGAGAGGACCGTCAACTGCCAGGGACACATCAGCATCGGAGGCTCGACGGGTTGGCAGTTCGCGCTGAAGGATCATTGGTCAAAGGGGTACTTGGAAATCGAAGGCGCGGGCGTCACGCTCACGCAGTATGTCACGGTGTATTTCAGCCAGAACCCTGCAAAGACGGTATGGTTTCCCGGTCTCCGTTTTTCTCGCTCCTGCTTGTGTGTATAATATGAGGTAATGTTGAGGTACTAACGCGCCATGGTAGGCAACCACAGTCCAATCCGTCCCCAGCACGGACGATTCGGGCCTGTCGAAGGAACTCAAGCTGCACTCGACCATACCTGAGGACGCGTTGATCTGGTCGCCTTGCGATAACAGTGGTATATTAAACGTCAATTTCCGCATGGCTTTTACTAGCACGGCTAGTAATTCCTCTGCGTACTATGGTGCGAGCAAGAACTCATCAGTGACTGAACAATGGGGGTGGGCATGGAGGCGTTGTTGATGCGGATAATCAGTAGCCTGATGGTATTAGTAAAGGACGTAGCTTCGTACATTCGCGGCGATGCAGCAAGGGGGCAAATTGCAGGACAGAAGGAATATTATCAGTGCCCTTATTGGTAGCGAACATATAGGTAGCGATTAGAGAAAAGGTCGTTTAATTCCATGCAAATGACAGATTTATCTCTCTTTATTAGGAACTTCGTCCTCGCTCGTGTCAAGAAGAAACTGCAAACTCAAGGCTCCCATACAATCTTGCAGACATCTCTCTAGGCATCATAAGAGACTAGACAAAGCTAAGGCCAATAAGAGCTGATATGGAGCATACAGATGGCCCGTAGGGTGTGGACCAACTCTAGCAAGTGAGCACTGATGGCCGACTATTTCTGCACTCATGTAGCTAGCTCACCGATTTCGGGTTATGAGCTGCGCGATGTTGAAGAGTAAGGCGTCGTTCATGAAAGGCATCCCATGCCGACGACGCTCGTCGTCGACAAAGTGGTTATCGTTTTCCATGATGACATCAAACAGGTTGGCCGGTGGTCTTGGCTCGGGGGACTCCGGCCGGTTCGGCACTGCCCTGGCCTCCGCCGCCGCCCTTATAGCCTGGGCTTCCGCCTCTGCTACTACCCCTATTAGTGCAGCATCTCCCGGTCCGGGCCGCTGTATCGGTCGCGCAAAAGCCGGCCTTTCACGAAAAGGAGGATGTATATCGACGCCGTTAAGAGCCCGTAGAAAGGCTCTACGCCCTTCCCAATCCGGTGCTCGTTTGAAGTAGCGGCATTCGGGCTTATGTTTGCACTCAAGGAACATGTCCTTGTCTTTGGTGTACGGTGCGAAGCACAACCAGCACCACTCGTGGCCACACACACCTTTGAGATAAGAGTTAGGATTGTGCATATGGCTTCGGTTGAGGGGAACTCACAAGTGACGTGATCGCAGCCGGCGTACTTGTTTATATTCTTCTTACAGCCTGGGCATGGCCTTGCGATTTTCTTGATGTGCTTCTCGGAAAGCCTAGCGCTTTTCTGTTGAGCGCGAGTACGCTTATCGTATTGATCGCACTATAGTTTGCTGGAGTTAGTCATTCATTGCCTAGGTACTTATCCGGTGGAAAGGAACGGACTTGGTGAGAAAAAAAGAAGAAGGGGGCTCTAGAAATAACATACAGTCTCACCACGATGCCATGGAATATTATGTCGCGCGCATGTAACGTTTTGACAAACATGGCATTTAGCTTTCTGGCAAGTCGACGGGAAAATCTCTCCGGCGTTGCATTTAGGGTTGAGGCACCATCGAAAGCCCTTCACGCTCTCAAGCACGGCCTTCGTGGCTAATCTGTCATAACTTGATACGAGTTAGTCCGATATCACTTGTTCGTTCAACCGAGATGGAACAATCGTACTTAGTGAATATGTCCTTCGTGGCGAAGTTCTCAACATCTTTGAACTCAAGCATCTGCGGACATTCCGGGCATCGTAGACGATCCCACGCGACGCTCTCCATGCTTGAAGTAATCCACTGGCTGACACAGTCCTTGCAGGCCGTAGCCTTGTGTTGACAATTCCCCGTGATCCGCCCATGGGCTGGCATTTCCGATACTCGCTTCTCATCCGCGCAGATACTGCACGTTTCTGTCAGGGGTAGGAGCCACGCCTCTGCCTGGATGAATTCACCTTCGACATCCCGACTTAATGTGAAGTCGAACGCTTTACCGGCTGAGAAACTTGCATTATCCTTTACGGATTTACCACGTTGGTAGAGGTTGATGTCTCGGGTCCTGATCTCGCTTGGGCGGTCGCCTGACTCGGAGATAGTCGTGAGAATTCGGTTTTTCAAGGCCTTCTTGATATAGTATGCGAACACCGACTCGTTGGGACCGAGACTAGGCCTATGCAAGACGTATCGTTCGTTATATCCGCAGAATATAAAGAAGTCATGAGGTTGCACTAGGCTTACGGATAGATGGCTGCATAACCATTTCCTTAATTTAGTACACTCCCAGTTGTCTCCCTCGACAGGCCCCGGTCGAAATCCACCGAGAGCCTCGATGATAACCTGGTCCGGCTCAACCTTGAGTTCCCATACGATGCGTAAGAACGAGGCCACTTTACTTCGCAGTTGACCCAAGGTGGCACCTGACTCGATGGCCTGTGCCACGTTGTTGAGCTCTTGTTGAGACAGTTGTACTTGATAGTGGCCTTTTTTCCATGTCACCTTGAAGAGACCATCATCTCGAGGGCTCTGCACCCTGTACCATAGTGTAGACACGTTGTCAGGTATTTCACCCCCACGCAGCTGCTCTCGTGCGTGGAAAAATTCAATCTGGTCGTCGGGACACACCTTGCACGCATCTTTACCGAATTTAGCTCTCAGGAACTTGGCAATGTGGTCAAGTGTATGGACCCTCTTCACACCAATCTTAATATCAAGTCTGCCGGTGGCTGGGGCATCGATGTCAAGAAGATCAATCTGTATTAATCCTTTCAGCGGCGGGTCGTGTCGCGACTCTTGTTCAGGGACGCTCGGTCGTTCTCGTGGCGCGTCAGAGCTGTGGTGAGAGTCGTGATGGTGATGATGATGGTGGCGGTGATGGTGGTGGTGGTGGTGTTTAGAGCCAGAAGGAGGGGTATGGGTTCTATGCCGTGAGAACATGATGAAGAATAGTAAGGACAATGCCGCAGTTAGATACCTATAAACAGTTCGCGGCGGCGAATTCAAGCCAAGCGACGCAAAGGAAAGCAAGGAGGAGGCGACCCGATAGACTGTCATCGCTCCACCAGCACGTGGGTGATGGGGCGGCACTTGAAAGCTCTCGGGGCTCTTGGGGCTTCTTCCAATCCCGGCCGCTTTGCGGGGAAATGATGCCTCGAGAGTTTTCGGGACGACCGAAGACCCAAGTGTGACCTGAGGCGGCGTATGAGATTCACGAAAGCGAGAACCTCGCCGGCTAATTGGTTGCTGCCTCGCGGCCAAAGTCAGTATCGGCCATTCGTCCAATAATAAACGATGATAATACCTACAGATCACTGATTGCCAAGGACATTCCTGCAACCCTGAAGCCTTCTGAACGGGGCGCATACAATAAGCAAGGTTCGTCGGCAGTTGGTGAGCTAATCACCTGGGCTGACTTATCAGTTTCGAATCGACATTGGATATTGCCAGATGCTACATGTTTTTTTTTTTATCTACGTTACACATCTCCAAGTAACAGTTAACAATAGCTGTTACCGCAACCAATTTTGTTGCCCAAGGACTGGATAGAGTGCGATCAGAAAAGTACCAACATTGGAATAGTTTTAATTGCCCAATATTCTGTCTTGTTAGTAGGATTGGCCTTTGGAGGGATTCTCAGTTGACTACGGTCCGGCCTCACTTTGCATCATCTATTGTTGGGCTTGTACACCGCAGCTAATCGGGGACAGCAGCAGTTTGATAGTTCAGCTTCAGACAATATCTACAATACTTTGCCTAGAAAGGTATATAGGTGTACAGCATGTACCCCAAGCTGAATTACATAAATGATCCGTAGGTTAGCTGCAGCTTGGTAGCAAATGAACCACGTACTCTGCATTCTAAATCTGTCCGGAAATCGGGTGCTTCATGTCAGAAAGGCTCCTCAACTGGCCCATCACTGGCCTGCCAAGACGTATGAGTCTAATGACGTAGATGGCAGTAGGTCGGGATTACTTACATGCACAGGCAGCTAATATCATGTCTTGGCCATCCAGTTGCCTTAAATGGTGATAGGTATCCTGCACGTAGATCCAGCCCCCTAGTGTCTCGATACGCTCTGCCCTCGTTCTCCAGGCACACGCATACGTAGTTCTCGGTAGTCTTGGTAGTATATGTCGAGATTACGAAGATCCTGGCTTGGCAACGAGACATCAATGTGAGTAGCAGATGATTCAAATCGCCTAGCTACCAATCTGAGACTACAATACGTTGCGGATTGGCCATCCTGTAGCAAAGATGCCAAGTTCGAACTGTTAACGGTTCAGCAAGAAGAATCGACGCCTTACCTAATAAGAAACCCCTGTATGGAATTGCCAAGGATCATCCAAATTTTTGACCAGGATCTCCGTATTTTCAGTAATACCATTACCAACGAGCATGGCATCAAGAGCATCATCTGCTCTTCTGAAAGCTTTTCGCACGACTTAGAGGCTACACAGCCTCTCCTAGCATAAGCACCATGCCTTGAGCACCAAGGGACAAGGGTAAATCATGCCCGGATTGAGTAATCTTAAGAATTCATGTTCCTTTATTTACTCCAAGTCGGGTAGTACAGGGGATTTCTGAATACGGCGTATTCGTTAGAGGTTAACTAAGCAGCGGATGAGGGTTGAAAATGGTATCCATGTAGAAAAATGAATATAAAGTGCAACATCCTACCTCTGTTCACATCATATAGCAGCAACTACTCACTCATTCACTTACTTCTACTCCTCCTCAGTGTTTTGTTCAACTGTAGAGACCGCTCAAAGCATTTGTTGACTGCAATTCTTGCGCGCCATAAAAGCTAGGCATCATGCCTTTCACTACCTCCTTCCAAGTAACTGCTTTGCTCCTAGCAGCTACAGTGGCCAATGTCCACGGCCAGACACCAGTCAGGTCGCGAGGATACCCAACAAGCGGAATAAAGTGGCAGCAATGTCCGGACGATCTTAACGATGCAGCAACTCTAGATGTTGAGTGTGGCACTCTGGCCGTGCCACTTGACTACACAGATGTCAACAGCACTGAAACCCTCGAGCTGTCTCTTGTGAAAGTCCCTGCTGTGAGGAAGCCCGCCAAGAATAGTATACTCTTCAACTTCGGTGGCCCCGGGTTGGAAGATCGTTATTCCCTTGCGGGCTTAGGCGACATGCTCCAGGCGTAAGTTTTCGTTTTCCTGTTATCACTTCTCTAAACCAGTATATATAACCTCGTTCTACCACATTTTACATGGCTGTGGATATTTGAAAACAAAGCACGGCGAAGACAGTGAGCTGTTAAAAGGCGCACGGCTAATAGCATGTATAGTGTTACAGGCGGAGAACATGACCTGATAACCTGGGACCCACGAGGCACAGCCAATACTCTTACATTCTCGGTGTGTTTAGTCAGGCAACTTCCCCTCCGTGCCTTGGGCCTTTCCTCCTTTACAGGGGAGCTTGGGCATATACCTTGCCGGGCCTTTGTCAGAAACTTACCATGTTTCGAACGCCTCCGGACATGCTCACGCCGGCAACTACTGACCCTGTATCTTAGTGCTTCGCCAACGCTACAGAGCGTGCCGCCCTCAGTCAACAGTTTGGTCTCGGCAACGCTTCCGATGTCGCCCGTGGGGCCGTTTGGGCGGGCGCGAAGAACTTCGCCGATGCTTGCGCCAACTACCCTGAGGCTCAAAAGAGGGGTCCTCTAATCAGCACGGCCTTCACTGCGCGTGATGCGATGCAGATCGTCGATGCCGTGGAAGAAGACGGGCTGTTAAGATATTGGGGTGAGCAATTTTTCTTCTCTGCAAGGAAAGTCCCGATCATTGCCCTAATATGTTGTAATTCCTACAGGCCTATCGTACGGGACAGATCTGGGAGTCACACTGGCAGCCTTATTTCCAGACCGAATCGACAAGGTGATAATCGGTAAGTAATCGCGAGCGTTAGACTACGCATATGTCAGTATCATTGACGCGGCGTTTCAGACGGCGTCTATAGCCCAATTCAATACTACAATGACTGGTAAGTCCGCTGCTTTTAGATCATGAGCACTGACTGGAAGATTCTGTTGTCTCACAATCGAATATTAACGCCCGTATATAGGTCTGAATCAGAGTCTGGGGCATCCGCTGATGACACATTCACCGAGTTCTTCCGCCAGTGTCTCTCGACGCCTAATGCTTGCCAGCTCGCGCGTACCCATCCCAATGCAACAGCTGAGCAACTTGAATCAGCGGCATATGGGCTTCTTGACGAGCTTAAATACCGGCCCTTCGCGTACGATGGTAGTATTGTAGACTACTCGGTGCTAAAGACCGCAATCCGATTCTCTCTATATTCTCCCAATTCGTGGTTGTCCTTGGATAGAATCTTGGATGCTTTACTCGCAGAGCCTCGGAACGAGACCGTGGTGGCAACAGAGCTTCTTGCTTACCTCTCTGGCTCACTGGCCGCAACTGCAGGGGGTAACGATGCAGGTATTGGCATCGAGTGTACCGACAAGCGGCCCCGATCAGATTCATTCGACGTCGTCAATCCTGCTTTCGATCAAAGTGCAGCATCCAGCCGTCTGCTTGGGGATATCAACACGGCAATAGTTGCTATATGTGCGCAGTGGCGTCTCGAAACGCGCGAGCGGTATAATGGTGACTTTACCGAAGTCAAGACCAGAAAGCCGCTGCTAGTCATTGGTAACACCTATGACTCGGCCACATCAATCAAGTCGGCAAGGAATATTAGTGAAACGATTGAGGGTAGTGTTCTGCTTGAACACGGTGGTGTTGGTGTATGTGAATTCAACCCCCTGCCTTCGTTGGCTTTGGAGTGAGCTGACATTTAGCATAGCATACTTCCATCTCACATCCTTCCCTCTGTACAGCGAAGGTGACTCAAGCATTCTTCAGCAACGGGACCCTCCCGAAACATAACACCATATGCGATACGGTGGCACCACCGTTTCAGTTTGCCACATCTGGCCCGTCATGGCAGGAGCTGTTTCCTGAACTGGGTTTTGAGCTACCCAGCACCAATAGCACCAAGTCTACCCAGAAGAAGAGAGATATCAATGCTAGTGTCTTGGGAAATATTGGCCGACGCGGTTTCTAAACGCCAGTCGACGAGTCTAAATTTTGACTACTCTCGTTCAGATAACCTGCACTGTTCTCTTTCAGTTGTTTATATATATTTCACACAGAATCCATTGTATGTATACGCAAGAGGATGATGTAACTTTATTCTTAAATTCGGGGGTTTCTAACTCCACCTCGTTGCCTATCTTGTGAAGAGTACCGAGTTAATCTCATGGGCTTAGCTCTAGCTTGAAATGGCGTTTGGTCATGGATAACCATGAAACAGATACCGGCAAAGTACAGGCTAGTTACCTCGATGAAAAGACTCATGTGGGTAAATAATAGCTAGCTAAGATGACCAAGGGATTTTATCTTCTCCAATAGTTGGAGTTTATAGCTCAAATAGCTACTAGTCGGTAAGTCTATCAACCAGCACAATCTGACCGCCTTCTCGCACCGTAGGCCGGAATATCTTGATCCAGTTCGGCTCACCATCTAGAGTGTCTAGTTGCTCAATATTATGCGCCGACTCCCCGTTGTATGCCACATAGAAGCTGTAGCTTTGCAACCCAGCGAGCACTAGTGTCTTGAGCCGTAGTCTGCGGCCCATCTCCCGTGCTCTCGCGATGATTTCAAACTTACTGAGGCATCTTCGCTCCGTGTTCGAGTCGTGACTGTATATTCGTAGATCTAGAAAGACGCTCTCGAGATTTGGCATCTGCGCCCAGGATAGCCACAGGTGAGCAGACCGGTCACGATCTAGCGCATTGTACCCCTTGTTGGTGTTGCTATTGCTCTCAAATGCACTAGCGTTTGTATGCATTAGGTTCAGTGGGGAATGAACCGCAATATTTCGAAGATGTTTATAAATAGGACTCGAGGTCGGGTACGCCTTCATTTTCGGGCTGTTAGTCGGTTCATCATCGAATGGCAAGATAGCCTTTACCAATTCACTACGGAAAGGTTGAACGTTTCCCCAGTTATCCCCAGGTAGCATTATCATTGCGTCACTACTGGGCTTGTTAATACCAAGAGTAAACACGTGAGTATGGGTGCGGTATAATAACCGTATATACTCAGTGGTGAACCCCTCACCGAGTGTGACCAATCTCGGGTCAAAAGATGCTATGGGCGTTGCGATATGGTCGTTGTCACCATGTGTAAACCGACATGAAAGTGTACCTGCGCGGGAAATCCCGACCCCTCGCGTATAAGTCAGGATTCGAGTAGCCGCCACAGAGTTGTCAAGCTCAGCGGCTTCACCGCGACACATGTTCCAATCGGGGGCAACGAGATTGAGAGCGCATTTGGGCTTAGCAGTTAGTAATTGCGATATCAACATTGATATAATTTCGGCAGGGAAATATTCTACGGTCTCCGATTTTCTTCTTTTCGAACTAATGATGACGTCGCTTGTGTCAGCCTCGGTCCGCCTCTTCTTCTGAACACTTGCCCTGTTGAGTTCCGTAGAAGATCCGACAGAGTTGACGTAGGTAGCATTTGCACTCTCACATACTGGTGTCTGCGATTGACTCCGTGATAGAGCGATTTCCCGCACCTTGCCCTCTTCTGTATAAATCACCTCAGAGATGGGCCAATTCAAGACTAGGTCTAACGTGTCAACGTCACCCTCGAAGCATGTGGCTACATGTTCATGGCGCTCTACTGTTGAGTAACATAAAGATGACTCCATTTTGGGGGTTAGCTTTTTCTTTCTCTAATCTCGCCCTGCAGATTCTCCTTCGATGGTAAACCAAGGAGACGGGGGGTGGGGGTTTGGGTTAAAGCTATCAATGGGGCTTTAGTTCCATTCTATGCCATCATAATATAGTGAATATGAAAGAAAACCAAGGTAACGAAACATACAAAGAATCGAAACTATCGCATTGTGAGTAGTGCACAAAGCGCTGGTATAAATCAGAGGGTATAGGATTATTGTTGTTTTATGAAATGGCTAGTTACTACGGACAAAGGGTCTCCGGCTTGTGTAGTCAAAAACTTTCCGAGCACGACGCTGTATGTTGATGATAAGGGCTGATGTAAATAATATTGGCCACCGAGGGAATCGAACCCCCGGGACCTAACGATGCAGAGTAAGATATGTAGAGTAAGTATGCAGGGCTAACCGCTAGGTAAGGATACAGTGAAAGATGTTTCGCTAAGCCATACCAACGCGGCCAAAAGCCCGGATGTCTATTTATTAATATCTGCTACTGTGTTTGGGGCCAATGGGCTGGTTTAAGGTTGTTGATGTAAACCTTATCCTGGGTCAGCCCAATTTAACTGACATTGACAGTAAGAAGCCGGAGAGGGAGAGGCGTGAGGGGATTCAGTTACCAGGTAACCGTTGCGCAAGGATTACGAAGGCCAGAAATGGCATCCTTTACAAATCCACTCTCTTAACTTGCACCAAAGGGATATTCGCCGAGGCTCAATGTTGGGCGCTTAGACGGGGAGCAAATGAATGACACATTTATTGCACGAGGATTTTGAAGCCTCCATAGCCAGGCTAGGATAATATAGAGAAAGTCGGGTTTGCTCTAGTGCTGGCACCATTACACATATGTTGGTCCCTAGCAATTACAAATTAAGGTGATACTAAAGTGCTCGGTTCTAAACAGGCATGGCTTGTACGTATCTACAAAGACTTCCTAGATAACACCCCTACTCTGATATTACCTAGGTTAAAGCGGATATAGATACACTTTTCAATAGCTTTTCAACCCAAGCTCTTACCTCTTTACCCTCCTTTAACCCATAACGAGCCGCAAGTGGAAAATCGTGCATCATTCCATCTCACAGAAGCCACTCTCCCTCCACCCCAGCTTCCTTGCACTTCTCCAAATACATCAGCACATCGGGTGCCAACACATCCCGTGTCCCAGCTACACAGTTCACCGATATCCCACTTTTACCCAACGCCGTCATATCCGCCAGAACAGGACTCAGATATGGATCACTCGTATCTGAACCCCGGGACCAGTTGCTGGCGGCATTCTTCGCATTGGTTTTCCCTAATATGGGATCCAACTCATCCATACGAATGATATCCGGGTTGATAACCCTCATATCTAACGGCGGAGATATCATTAAAACAGAGCGAAGGGCATAAAGGTCCAATGGGACCACATAGGACAAATCATCGGAAATAGCCTAAAGGACTTGGCACTTAGCACTTAGCACTTAACATATAAAATTTAGGATTATATTTATATAAACTATTATTATACGAAAGGATATCCAATTTAATTAAACTATATACCTATCTAATTACCAGGTTTTAATTTTACCAGAATACTTTTATATAATTAGTTATTCACCTAAAATACCGCGTAAAGGTGCCCGGTAGTCGTTTTAATACCTTTACTTATTTAAATTTTATTAATAATAGAAATTATATATACCTAGCCTTACTTTAACCTAAATAAAGAAGAAAATTAATCGTATAAAAAGAAATAATATATATTTAGGCAAGAATGATAGGGTTAGTAACCAAGCTGCTAATTAAACAACCAGATTAATAATTTAGCATTTTTAGCTCTTTCTTTACCAGCTGGTAAAGCGCGGAAAAAAGTATATAATTATTATTGTTATTATTATTGTAACGAACATGTTAGACATATATTATGCCGGAATATTATACATACTGTAAAGGGATACTATAGAAATACATAAAACACATACCAATAAGGTTACATAACCCATAATAGCCGTTAACACGCATATATCTCCACACACACTTATATTCTAGTTTCATCCTTCCTTTCTTTCTTCCTTAGCTTAAAATCTTCGTTTATAATATTAATATAGCTATACCCTAAACCCCCAATTGTAATATTATTTTAAACTCCTTCTTTTCGTTAATAAATGCTATATAAATATATTACCTATATTTAATCGTTATTATCCACAATTTATAAGTTAAACCTTTCCCCCCTTCCCATTATTATATCCTGCACCTAATAATAAACAAATATAACCTTATAATAAACCTAACTAATAAAATTAAACCCTATACCCCTTAAAATTAAAAAAACCCCAATTAAAATAAATAACCTAAAATAATCTTAATAATTATTATTATATATTATACCTAACATTCCTATAATTAATAAATAATTAATTTAAAACCTTATCCCTTCTATTAAAAAAGAAAAAACTAATATTAAATCCAAAAATAGCTTCCAGGACTTTTTAAACCTTAAACTAAAAAATATAACGCTTTTACTATTAAACCTTAATTTAAATAAAGGATTAATAAAACTACCCTAATTAATAAATAAAATAAATGCTATTAATTAAATTACCCTAATCCAGTAGCTATAAAAATAAATTACTACTTTTTAAGCTTAAATAAAAAAAGGTAACCTAACCCCAACGCTATAAAAAAGTATAATTAAAAGTACTTTTAGTAAAATCAACTTTAAGCTGATTAATATAGTTATATAAACTATCTTTAAAATAATTAGTCCAATAAGCAACCTTATTAACTTAAACCTAAAATATATAAAAAAGGCTAAAACTTATAAAACTAATCCAGGTACCTTTTTTAAAAATAAAAACTTATTTAATAATTAGTTAAAAAAGCTAGCCAATAAATTTAAAAAAAAGTAATAATATATTATATTAAAAAAAGCTAAATATATTATATTATATCCCTTTTAAAAAAAAATGCCAAAAAAGCAATCGAAACTTACTTCTATTCTATTACCTAACTATATAACAGTTTAGCTAAAATAGTATAAACGCTAAAAATAGCCTACTATAATTTAAACTAAATTGCTTAAACATAAAACGCCTTAAATAAATTCTACTTTAAGCTAGGTTCTAATATCTATTAGTTTATTTTTTAATTTAATAACCTAATATTAAAGTTAAAACTGCTTAAATCTAAATAATTTTAATTCTTATAAAAATATATTAACTTTAACCTTAAAACTAAAGTATTTAAAGCTAATATTAATCTATTAATACTATATAAATACTTTTATAATAAAGTAATAAAGGTAATATATAACTATAATTACTACTATAATTACTAAAAGAAAAAACAAACCGCTAGATCTGCTAACTATAACTTTAATAATAAAAAAATATAAATAAAGAAAACATTATAATAAAGCCTAAAGGGATAAAGCTTTTAAAGGAAAAGAAGAAAACTTATTAAAAGAATAATACCTACTTTAACTATAGTAAAATAGGATACCACATTATAGATTACTTTAAAAAAAATAAAAATATAGCTTAAATATAAAATAAGGAAAATAAAGAAAAGCTTATTAATTTCTCTTTTATTAAATTTAAGTTGGAAAATTAGCTAAACTGCTAAAAAACTCCTTAACAATTTATAAACTATCCTTAACCTATATAAAAAGTAATCGAAATACTATTTAATTTATATACCCCGTTTAAATATAAATAAATAATTTTGGAATAAAAGCTATTATACTATATAATATTAAAGCTTAAATATATTTAATAATTAACTATAAATTAACTTACTATATTAGCTATTAATTAAAGGCCAGGTTAACTACCTTAAAATAATTATAACGATTAAATAACTATTAAGGACAACTTATTAATATAGTTAACTAATACCTTACTATTACTTTAAAAGTAAACGGATAAAGGTTTAAAAATTAAACCTTTTAAATTATTAATATTAAATATAACGTTATAATTGGTTTAAAATAGCTAGCCAAAAATAAGGTTACCTTAAATTACACCTATTAAATATTATATTAGCTAAAAGATTTATTCCCCCTTGCCTTATTCTTACCTATAATTAAAATCGTACAAAAGTCTTTTAATAATTAATAAATTAACCCTATTATCCAATAGGATACTAATTGGAAGGATGTTACTTTAGAAAAGAAATATACTATTTTAAAGCAACCAGCTATATATCTTCGAAAAAACATTTAACCAGAAAGCTTAAAAATAAAGCAATTTTAAAATAAAAGGATTATTTAATAATTTATTAAAAAAACTAAGTTAAACCTTAAATAGAAATAATAAAAAAAAAGGGTACTTTTAAATAAGCTAATATTTATTAAATTTATCGAAGCAGCTTTAAAAGTAGCTACAATAGTATTAAAAAAGATTTGGAAAACCTTTAATAATAAACGTATTCCCTTCCTATAAAACAAAAACCCTAAATATATAAAGCTAATTTATTACCTAATTCCTAAAAAACTAGCCTATTTAAAAGGATTTTTTTCAAAAATAAAAGCTAATAAATTACCCTTATTATAACCGGAACATAATATAGTCCTTAAAACTATTACTAATAACCCCCTAAATAGCCCCCCTTAATATTAAACTCCAATTTAATACCTATTATTAAAAAAAGAAGTAACGGATAAACTATTAGCCTATAGCTTTATCGAACCCTATATAGAAGTAAATGCTTCCCCTATCCTTTTCGCTTCTAAACCAAATTTAACCAAAAGATAGTTTTGCATAGATTACCAATAGAAAAATAAATACTTAAAAAACCATATTATCCTAACGCTAAATTTAAATAATACTATATATAATAATTAAAGGGCTAAATATTATATTAAGCTTAATATTATTAAAGCTTTTTATAAATTAAGGATAGCTTTAAAATTTTAATATTTAATAGCATTTTAAACCTAATAAGGAATATTTTAATAATTAGTCCTACCCTTTAAATTAAAAATTAAG